TGCTTTTACTCGTACACACAGCCATATATGCACTTGTATAACACATAATCCATATAAAAGGCCCGTTTTCTGACATGTGAATGAATGCGGAAAATTTGCCAGAAAAATAGCAATGACAATCAAAGTTTGGTAAATGCAATCCTGGCGTTGTTCGTTAGTAACTTGTGAAGAACAGTTAATCTCAAATTAAGTTATACAATAATGGGCATGTTGGTGAGGAGCATGTAGCTTATTAAACATTATTTATTATTTTCAAAACATTTCGTCCTTGATGAGCTGGATTTTGCAGATTGACATTTACACGCAATTTCAAACGTACGAGTTCAACCAACGTTCATTTCATTTTTATTATTAAAAGTACAGTTGCAAACGTAAAACAAAAGAAAAAAACCATTTTTGATTGTTGTTGGTCAGTTACTCTTGATTTTGATGACAGCATGACGAGCAAGTTTATAAGAATAAATTGCTGCGACTGACGTTGTCACTCGCCAATGTCAATTGTGCTTCCGCTGCTGCTTAGGGAAAGGAAATCGTTACATAGCAGCAGCTTAATTTTTACACAAGACTGCTTGCATTGTTTTGCGCTGCAATTAATAGTTTTAGAAAAGTCAAAGTTATTGTTGTCGTTAGAGGAGGACTAACCTTTGTATGTGCATATCTACATATACACATAGTTTGTCATTGTCAGTGTCAATCGGATTAGCGGTATTTCTTTATTGTCATTATATTCCGAACAAATTTTTGATTTCTGACAGAAGATAAGAAATTACATAATTGTAATAAAAGTAGTGACTTTTGCCAGAGAATGACAAAAAATGTATTTTTCACAGATGGACAACGGCAGAAAAAGTTTGCCATTGTAGAATTGACATCTTTAGTAATTTCTTTGCATACATGTGGTAAAAGTAACATCCACATTGAAAAGCCATTATTTGTTTTACAGTTGTGTATTTTTCTTTGAAAATCCGGCTTTCCTACTTTATTTTTTGTCAAGTTTATGTTAGAGATAGATATCCTTGTCCATTTTCTATATGTAATGCAGTCGTTATTTGTCTTGGTATTGCTCAACAATAAAAATCCAGTTCTTCCCATCCTATTATGTCAATGTCACATATTTATTATATTTCGTTCAAATTATTCATGCTATTCAGATCAAAAGCAAGACACCAACATGTCATGACTTTCGGCTGTTTTTATGACCCGTTATTACCCGTTGACAGGGTATCGTGCATTATTGCGAGGGTTAATGTTACGTTATTTTTTCTCTGCTAATTTTAACAATAAAAACAAACTCTATCTCAAACTCTTGTTCCTTTGTTGAGATGGATGGATGTCTTTGTGTAAAAGTTTCACATTTCCCATGTGATGCATGCATAGAGATGCCATGTGAAAACCATGCTTTATTGCTTTGCCAAAGCACGAGATTTGATTGAGCCTTCAGTCAGTTCCTCTAAAAAACCAAGCCAAATTAATGCAATAAAGACCACAACCGCCACCCTAATGATATAACATTAAGAAGCTAAATGCCAGCAATAAACATCCCCACGGCTGCTGTTGTTGGCTGACTGTGGGTTGTTTGAGTTGTAGGCAGAGCAAATTTAAACTCGGTGAACGGGACTTGAGAATTCTAATTTGAGCCACGATAAGTCAGTCAAGCCAAGTCATTCTCGATGAGATGATGCCTATGACTGGCTGGCTGGATCTTCACTCCGAAAGCAATTGACAGGGAAGTAATGTTGGCGGATGAAAAACAAACGAAACATTTCGAGATAACAATGCAAACAATCTCCCCCCAGACCAGAGAGGAACCATTATCGTCATTTTGGCTCTTCGTGGCATTTGCTTGACGTGATCTGTGGCACAAGTCAATACACGTCCAAAGAAACCATGAATGCGAATGGCATGACAGACAAGACATGAACTTCACTGGCATGAACTGGGGGTGGCTATACAAAGGTGACAAAAGTGTTAACTGTTTCTGTATTACGTAGAAAGAACTGACTGAATGAATGAATTGGAATTAGCACAGTGAACACAAGTGATGATGAGAGATTATTTCGAGACATGCCGTTTTTCCTTCGCATTAACTTGACTGTTGGCATCTGTTTTGTGTCACCACAAGCGAATTTGTAAACTATTTGTGGTGAAGTGTGACGCTTTTTTAACATAATTAATTGCCGATTGGACATTGTTGAATCTTTATTGAAAGGACATTGATTTAATTTACGGATGATGGGAAAAACACAAATGTATGCAATCGTAAAAGAAATTTTTCGGTGTATTGCAATTGTTTATGTTACTGAACTTGTAGAAATGATTGAGAATAATCCAGCATTATTTAGTAGGAAGTTATTCATAGTTATGAAGACGATTTAAAAAATCAGTAGTGTGCATCTATTGTTTGCAAGAATAGACTTTATCAGATCAAATCTGCAATTCTAAAGTTAGGAGCAAAAAAAATCAACAACAAAAAACATTACGTGGTAGGATGGATTAGATTGATATTGCAAAAATTCAGAGGAATTAGATAAGAGCACTCCATCATCTTGGTGGTTTTACAATTCAGGTTCAAGTTGTTGTTACCAGTGCAGAATAAAATCTTGAGTACTGAATTTAAAATTACTACCCTAATATATTGTGTCGGCGTGCATGACATTAAAAATATTCAAGAAAAATTCACACAGACATAAGAAGCACCGAAAACTACTTTTGGTGAGCTTGATCTATATCGTACGTATTTAATGGCTTACTGAGAAATAAATAAATAAGCCGAGGAAGCCAACTGCTCGTATTTATTTTACCTACATAATAAATGGAAACCGTGTTTTTTAATATTGTTGGGGAATTGAAAAATGTAGGTCTAACTCTAATCCCAAAGTTTAAGGCTGGCATACCTGCCTTGGTATCGGCGTAATGGCAGCGATTGATTGATGTCTATCAAGTAATGAACGGAACAGACTACAACCTCGAATAGAATAATGAATGACATCAAATCAGTAATCAGATCATGCAACCAGATTTGCTGCGTCTATTTTCTATCCTAATTTCAAGAGGAAGGACATGAACCTTTTTGCTCTGTTCCTCCAAACCATGCGTCCCTGAACTTGATAATAAAGTTGGCTGGGCGAGCGAATTGCATTAAGTATTTAAAAAATTACTATAGTTGATGGCAAATAGGTACATATAAGCAGGCATCTCTATTTTCTAATCCCCTCTTCTCCTTGATGTTCGACTAGTTCGACTCATGTATTTACTAGCAGAGATTTTACTTTTATTGTTTACTCGGGTTGAATTTTGTCGTAAAAAAGAAAATAAAATCACTCGACTCCAATTTGCTCTTCATTGTTATCCACTTTTCGAAACTCACGATTTCCCAATCCGAGTGAACTGATCGCACGAAGAGACCAACATGCACCGATCCGACAAAACATCGATCGACAACATCACAAAAATCTTTACGATTTCGCTCACAGATTTTCCTAGTTGGGTTAAACGGACTTTAACAGTGAAGAAATCACTTTGACCCACCATGCATTCTTTTACCTATCAAAATATAATATGTATTTATCTATCATGAATAGTTGACTAAACCCATGAGGCCCATACAAGGTGTATGTAGGTTGTATAAGGATGATAAAATATTGAATTATCTATTTTACTGAATAGTAAATATAATGGAATAATCCATTTATTCGCAGCTTCTTCTCGGAAATATGTAATACCATAACTGACTCACTTGTTTATTTGATAAATAATTGAATTATTTAGTCTGTAATCCATCATTATTTACAAATAATAAGCCATTAGCCCCTCCCATCTTACGTGCTTAAATCACTGTTGTTAGTTAGTGCAGCGAATAACTGTGCATGTTCTTATTTATTTATTCATTTTATATGATTATGAATGACAGTCATAAAGCCGAATTCCAAGAACTTACCTTCCTCTATCTCAGCAAATGTTGTCACCATTGTCATGGCATAAATTCATATCCCCCCAGATTTTATCAGTTGCAATTCGTGGAGTTAGCTCAGAAAGTTATTAACGCAAAAAGATATAAAGATGGGACTAACAAGGAGTGATTTATTTTCTATTGTATTTTAAATAGAAGCGGTGACGCGAACATATAGCGCTGCTAACGATAAAATAAATGTAACGGTCATTTTCTGCCTTATCATCCACTAATAGGAAAGCATGTCCTCCAATGTAAATGTTTTTTTTAAATCTCCTACACGAAACGGAACTATAGATTGTCAATACTTGATTTGATAATGATTGGAATTAAGTCGTAAAATGGAATGATGCGCCTCCACCGAAAGTACGATCGATGGTCACACGCGTGTCTTTTCGTTTGCAGTTTATTGGCTAGCTGTGAAATCATCGTAATCTGATGGTATTTACAAATCATGCTTAAAAATTTGCTTGGTATTTAGGAATGCCATCGCAAAGTTAAAAACAAAAGATTTGCACATGAAAAACGACGAGAAGCGGCATTGCATGTTATTTTTGCACACGCATTTGCATTGTCTAAACTTTTTTGAAATCTGCCACTTTCAAACCTGAAAAATTGGCGATTCTGAACTTGGTCTAAAAATCTGGTTCTTCTACTCTTACTAGTTTTCCTCGGAGACCGGGCACTGCTTTTATTTTAATGTACCGTTAACCTTATCGTTGCAAATTTTTACGTTTTTACATAGTGATGAAAAACATGTAAAAATGAAACCGGTTTACCGAATACCAACCCAAATATCCAAATCTGATAGCGATCCGCAGCTTATAAGTCGTTATATACATTGTAGTTATGACTTTATGACGTCTCACTATTCAGCAATCATGATCAGTAAATTTACGATTACTTTGGTGCATTATAGCAGCCACCTACATATTCATACCACGGTCAGTGCAAGACAGTGGCTTAAGTCATCAATTTTGATTTTTACAAATCAAATTTGGTCAGAAAATCTGTATAAGTAAAAAAAAGTCCCCTGTTCAATCTTCAAAAGTAAAACAGAACATAAGTTTAATTTATTTTATATCAACATTAGTAGTAACAAAATAAATATGATAAATTTCTGATGCGTTGGGAAGAAGAAAGATTTGGGGCACTGGTACTGCTTACTTATCTTCTCGCCTGGGTAGTGCATGGCTACCTATTTGGTCATTTGTATTATTCAGTTCAAAATATGGAGTGCTCAAACAACTAACGTTTTTATTGTCAAAGATTAATTTCTGTTGAAAATTAGTTCATTTCTATTATTTTCCACATAACGAAATTCATTCATTGCATTATGCTTGATGAGTTTTTTAAAATTCTGTTTGCACTGGTGGTAAATGACTGCAATGCAATTTCATCCTTTGAATTGACCGTTGCGAATATTTACAAACTCACTTTGTAATGTAATCAACCCAAATTTTCTTTTCTAGTCATCAAAATCAACAAATTGCACATTCATCAGCAAATATTTCTCGTCATCGTAAGTAAAAAGTAGCATTAAAGCTTCTACCATTGGGTAAAATAGACCGTTAAAGGGTTACCCAAACAAATGTGCTTTGGTTTGCGAAGGTAAGCTGAGTGTTAGTGTGACAAGCACGCACTTACCACCGTTTACATTAATATTTATGGTTGCAATCGCACATAAAAAAAGTTCGGAGTTTCGAAACCTATCCAACGGTGAAGATCACGCGCTTGCGTCTCTTCTGTATGCGATTGGAAAAATGTTTGCGGGTGGCGACTCGAATTTTATTCGTTCTGGTCAAGAGATGCTGAAAAATGATGAGGAAGAGAGGGCAAGTTTACTTTTTTTCATCCCAAACATGAAATTTAAGACATGTTAACAACAGTACTTTATGGCTTTATGACATGAGTTGAATATATATCGCACCACATTTTTGTGCGGATACTTCTTGAGGTAGCTGGCCCCACGTTGATTGTTGACTTCCTAAAATTTAAACTGGTAACGAACATCAGTTTCGTTTGGCCTGTAATTATTCAGTATTTAGTTAAAGTTGAATAACTTAAAAAGTGTTGAATAATAAGCATATAAAAACTCTTGAGTTTTATTTATTATTGGTTTGACCTTTCTTTGTCATGTACTTATTTGATGGTTGAAGTTATTTTTTTTCTGTAATTATTATCTTTAAATAAATGACTGGTAGAAATAGTATCGGTGTTCTGGTTGTGTTGATCAAATTAATAATTAAAATTATTTTTTATTGCAGATGAACTTGACAAGTTGGGAAGCTTTGAAGGTCATCCAGAGGACCACTTAACACTGCTGAGGTTGACACGGGAGAGCGTGGTGGTGGGGGCAAGGTTGGTTATCTATGAATTTCTATAAGTATCTAGTCTTAAAACCATCTTTTTCGTAATAAATTTTCCAAACTTTTTCGAATATTTGATTATGAAATAATATTTATTAACTCCTTTCTTCTTTACAGGGACGCCTTATACAATTTTTCAAACAATGATCTCACTCAATACTCGGTAAGTTAATCCACCGCGTTGCAAAATTTTTGATTCATGTCATGGAGAAACTTTAATTTGGTACGGAGTTCTTAATTTGCATACATTGGTTAGTTTACATTATTATTTTCTGCCTGGAGCATGTTTAGTAATTTTTATAGAAAATTGCGGGGTTATAAATATAAGGCTCCAGTTGGTTGATGATTTTGATTGACAGCACATTTTCATGCACGCATGTCGCATGTATGTATGTGCATCTTTTTTATGCATAAATAAGTATGAGCGAGTTGTATCAAGAGTTTTGGAAAAGGGGGTTGGATATGGTAAATTCAGTATTTATTTGGAGATTTTGTACTGTGCGCAAATATGTTGTCATTAAATTTTGCGTTTTATAAGTCAGTATAAACTGTATTTAGTGGTGAGCCATTTTTGTAAATGTTTTCCTTTCTTGAGCAATCTTGGTTTAGGGTTGTGTTGTACATACAATTTACCGATATCCATAAACTCAACCCCTGCAGAGTTAAGTATTTTTTAAACTGTGTAATTATAATTATCCTTCTTCATCTTTGCTAGTCAACTGTATCATATAAATTACACGGCAAACTCAAACTCCAACACCTCCACCATCTAATGAGATCGAGGAGCAAATTACGGCGTCAATCAACGACAGTAATTTCGATCAATCAATCATTCGTTTATGCACAGTTTTTAGCGCAACCCCATCATCTCTGGTTTGTCTTAAATGTATTTTGACCAGCATGTCCCTATGTAACGCACATCATGTTCATGCAAATTAATTGCATGTTTTTAATTCCTATACGGCAGTACCGATAATCTAGCAGCACAAATGATGATGGTTTTGTAAATCTTGGCTCTGTCGTTCTGCTAAAATTGTATCTACCAAAATGAAAGTAGATATGCAAGATAATTAATGAACGGACTAACGAGAGGAAAATTGGGAGAGAATTATTGTTGTTGTAATATTAATTAATGAATAATAACTGTAAATTGCTGTCTCAATTAAATCTCAATTTTTGTATAGGCAAATAATATACCGATTAAATTTCATTCGAATTCTTAACAGTTGAGCAATATTTAGTTTATTGGGCCGTATATTTATCCCGAATATTTAAATCGCAGTTCCTGAACCATGAAAACCGTTTATTTCTGTGGTTAGCCGAATGCGTCAATTTAGTTAAACTTGAACTGGTTGGTTAGCTTAAATGTACATATGCATTTACACTCTTGATCCTGTTTATAATGGTGCATATTTATTTGACAGTTTGAATTTTTGGGTAATTAAACTCTAACAATAAAACAATAAAGGGTTTATAATGAAGGCATTAAAATATTAAAAAGGTGTTGTTCTATGTATGTACCAGTTGATTGGGGTTATGCCGTCGTCCGGTTGTGGTGTAATTATCAGATGCTTATATACTTTGACCACCGGCTAGTCACCTGCTATTGTACGGTTAGAACAACAGGCTAGTAAAACCAGTGGGGAGGATTTTTTTAGAGGGCACTCTTCGATTTTATGAATTGTCATTTTTTAAATTATTGGTTTTTATATAAGTACCATATAAATGGTGTATGCTAATATTACGTTTTACTAGTAGGTAGTTTTACTACTATGCGGTGTATTGTCAATAAATTTCATGCATACATGTGCAGCACACTTTGAAGAGGGGACAGGTTCGAATATACTTGTGACATATGAAAATGAATAAAAAACAGAACCAGTGGAAGCTATTATTCATTTCTGGCTGGTGGAACTTATTGGCTTGGGTCTTTTAGATATATGCAGCTTGGACAATGGATCGTCTATGGATTTCAATACTTATCTCATTTCTTACACGTAATTCATCCTTATAATTCTGCGATTCACACAGACCCGGCATTCATTTTACTGCCTTGTTTCCTGTCCCTTCTTGTTGGTCCTCTTATTCTTTCCTGCTGTGTCGTCTTGTGAGGTCAAACATGGCTGGTGGTGTTTTAAATACAAGAGGACGGGCAATAAATTTTATTACGATTTGATGGTTGGCTGCACATTCTGCATGCCAAATTATCACCACAATAAAAAAAATCCTGAATGACAATACTAAATGGTGTCCTCCTATTATTGAATGGAGAAGTATATGGATTATTTATGATGATCTGTATTGGTGTAAGAAAAATTGAATAATGTAGAGGTCAGACAGAGTTGGTTCGCACTTTTCACTATTGTATATGTAATATACGATAAATGAACAAAGTAATTTTGAACAGAAGGTCAATTACAAGAGAGATAGCAACCTGATTCATATGCGGCAGTGTGTGTAATACGGAAGCTCTACAATATCACATATATATTTATATGTACCTCTTAAAGTTTCAAAATATCAAGAAAACAAAATGCTACATCAAACATGAGTTCCTATCTACAATTTGACTTATGTAATTACAGATGCTTAACTGGACATCTCAACATGCTTTCGTGGAGACATGTCAAATCAAGGGACAAGATGAATCTAAATGTCACAACTTCATCCGCGTGTTTCACGGCCCAGTTTTCAACTCTCATTATATCGACGGAAATCACCAGCCCAAGGCATTAGCCTTTTCTTCTGCAGCCATCGGCTCCAGCTCCAGCTCCAACTCAGGCCTTCGGGAAGTGAACGAAGGTCAATATCTCGTCTGCGGGACGAATGCCTTCAAACCAACGTGCCGATGGTATTCGCCAAATTTGGAGACGTACTCGAAGGAATTTCCCGGTGTTGGCTACTCCCCCTTCGACCCCACACACCCCTCCACCTCCGTCCTCCACCACGACTCCGTCTACACCGCCACAGTCGCCGACTTTGGTGGCACGGACGCTCTCATTTACAAACAACCTTTGCGAACAGAACAATACTTTGACGTCCATTTGAACAGTGAGTCAATAAGTCAGACAGAATGCGTACATTCAATGATGAAATGCACTTCAAAACAAGCTTTTCAATGCATTTTCCGTCAAAGAATTTTTACACAATTGACAAAAGCCAGTTCCGTTTCCTGTTCGAGCAATTTGTCATTTCTTACTAAAAATTCTTAATTTGTTCCGTGATATTGATTGTCTCCATTTCTAGTTTGGCTAGAATGTAGTGACAGTAAAATGGTTAATCTGTGTCATATAATGCTTTGTAGGTCCGGCGTTCGTGTCTTCCCTAAGTTTTGGGGATTTAGCCCTCTTCTTCTTTAGGGAGGCAGCAGTGGAACATGGAAATTGTGGAAAGGCAGTTTTCAGCCGAGTGGCCAGAATTTGTCGACACGACAATGGGAGCCGGAAGCATGACAGATTCACCACATTCTTGAAAGGTAATGTTGTATAATTTATGTCCGACTTGAATATTGATACTGATACGATGATATGATGTTCAATTGCAGCGAGACTGAATTGCTCCATCCCTGGAGAGTACCCGTTTTATTTTGACCATATACGTAAGTTATGTTTGAACTAAAGAAATATATTTTATTAATAGAATCAATCTTGGTTAGCTATTGGAATCAATTAATATACAAAAACCAATTAGTTTAACCGACATAGTTTTAGCGTAAAATACGCATGTATGTACAAAAATAAATTGAAAACACGTAAAAAACGGGCCCAAAAAAGAAAAAAACTGCATCTTACATAATTTGTTATTGGCAAACTTCTTACATCTTTCAACTCTTTCTCAAATTTTTTTTCTCGTAATTGGAAAAATAACAGTTCAAGTTTAAGTTTTTAGTTAATGGTTTTATATGATTTTTAAGATTTGACTTTACACCTTTTCTTCATGATTCATCGTTTCTCACTTTCCTGTTACATACAATTGTGACATTTGGAGAGACGCAACGATTCGTATTCAATTGTTCAGCTTCATCTTTGACAGTTTTGACAACGCTCAATGGTCCTATTCACTTCTATTCACTGGGTTTATCCCTTCAGCTAAATGAAGGACGCCATAACTTTTAAGACTCTAAACTTTTGGACTTGTTCCTTTTGAGTTAAAAATTTGTGAATGGGTTGATTTGGGTCCTGTCCTGAAAAAATCCTAAAACTGGGAAAAGAAACCCGATTCTGATTGTCGATTTATTTCATTGTTCAACATACATGTCCTTTTTCCCTTAACACTGAACTTAAATTATAAATCAACGGCTGCGTGAGCTTCGTTAAAGGGTGTAAATCTAAAGGTTGGTAAAGAATGGCTTCATCGTAAAGCAATCATGGTCCATTATTGGACTATTGGTTCTCCTACAAACATCAATCGCAAACACCTGGGCACCATTATTACACCAATCGGTGGAGTTAAACTTCTCTATTCTATAAAATTTGAGGGTGTGTTGTGCTTGATGGAAATTGAAAATCGCATATTATGACTATAAAATTGTTCATCTACAGATTTTCATTGAAGGGTTGGTTTTACAATGGCATTAATGAACACGAAAATTGAATAACCATAAGCAAAGTTGACCCAGGTGACCGACTAGAAGAAGTAGGCGTACAAAAATCCCCATAAGATATCATCAAATAACCAATAATTTAAATCACATTCAGTAAATTTGATTGTCGTCTGCACAGAGACTGGTTTTGTTAGAATAAAAATGCAGATGCTACATAGAATTGCATATGGAAGCTGTTTGTGTTTTCAATGTTCCATCAAAATAACCATTTTTTCGAAAACATGAATACCGTATTTTTTAATTTTTATCACGTATAACATAATAACAGGAAGATGATGTTTAATTATCAAAACTAAAAATTACCTGTTTATAATACAGAGGGAACTACCGACATCTTCATGAACAATGAGCGCCGAGAAGAAATGCTCTACGCTGTATTTACAACCCCACCAAACAGCATCGGAGTTTCTGCAGTGTGCTCCTTTTACATGAGAGATATCTTAAAAGCCTTCGATGGTCCTTTTAAAGGTCATACGTCGCTGAACTCAAATTGGCTCCCAGTTCCAGATAACGAAGTCCCATCACCACGCCCAGGAAAATGCTCCAATGACCCAAATAGTCAACCAGACTCTGCTTCGGTCGCATTCCTCAAGGGTCACCCGTTGATGGACGAAAGCGTTCAAGGCACTCCTCTTTTGACATTTACATCCAGTAATAAATTCACTTCCATTGATGTTGACCACTCCCCGGATGTGGCACCATACCACATCATATATATTGGCACCGAATCTGGAAAAGTTTTGAAGGCTGTAGTAAATGCCAGCGATTCAGCCCGACTGATTGATTTGAACACTTTTTCTGAAGATTTTAGTGTCATTTCGCAATCATGGAACATGTTTCCGAACCAGAAAATCAAATCCGTCCGTCTCCTCGACCCGTACAGACTTCTTGTCCTCACAGAGAGCGAAATGACTGTTATTCGAGTTGATAATTGTGGAAAGTTTTCTAATTGTAAACAATGCCTGGAGATAAGAGATCCACATTGCGGTTGGGATAAACTGAGTTCTCAATGCGTGGCAAAAAATCCTTCAATTTCTGACAAAGATAGAGATGAGAATCTTATCCAGGACATCAGTGGGGGTTCAATTCATCTTTGTCCTGCAGGTAAAGTTTCCTTAATTTTCTGAACGCTGTTTTCCACCTCGTTAAAAATCATTTGTTTCCTTTGTATCTTTCATTTGCATTGACTTTTTTTTGACGAGTACGAAAACAGCTACGCATTTTTTACAATGCTTGTCTGCTTACATTTCAATATATTTATGTGTGGTGATAAATTTTTATATGTGCTTTTGGTTTGGTTTTGGTTGTTCAGAGGACATAGCAAGAAACGAGATAGTAGCAGATGCTAATCATCTTAAAAGTATTATTGAAGAAGGTAGGTTCAGTCCATGATTTACAAGTATTACATATATCTTTACGACCATACATATATTTTCGAACCACGACTTCATTAAGAACATGTCGTCGTGTGAAATTCTCTCCACGTAATTTTCATCCATTCTCCACTTAGTTTAAAACTAAACGGTTTTTTTGCACATTTTTTATATAAAGAGTTGAACTCGAAAGCTGATGGAGAGTGTTGCACTTGCACGACGACTTCAACAACTGAGTCGTCCAGATCAAAAGGGCGTAACGAAAACGAAATACTGGAAATCGTGATCCGACCTCAACCAAATCAATCATTCTTCAACAATGAGAATGATGTGTCCCGAATCCCAAACGCCAACATGGATCAAGAATTAGGTAAGACTACGATTGGGTATAGAATATCCATTGATGAGTCACGAATCTTGAAAATTCGAATTTTTCCATTATTTTTCCAATGTCTTAAAATTACTCAATTTCTTGTAGTTGTAATTTTCAATTAATCATTTTCTGAACAAATCTCATGTTTGTTTGTAATATTGATCACATATCCATTATCATCTTACCAATCAATTTAGGTTTATCTTTAGTATAGCCTTTTTCTGGCTCTTCCATTTGCCTGTAATACTTAATTGAAGCTTTTTGCAATCTGTCTGTATTTGACTTTCGTCGAAATTAATTTCAAAAGCTTGTATATCTAAATAATTAGTAATCTCTGTTCTATTTTTTTACTTGACTTGCACACTTTGCACACTTTGCTTGCTTAGTATAAGCGCATGTTAAATTTTTAAATCGGAAAACTAAGTTTGATTTATTCGTGCTTTTCCTTATAGATTTCACGACTTCCTACGTGCGCGGCGACGTCACGAGCCAGTCAATCGCTTTGGCTACCGTTTCATCTGCCGTCTTGGCTCTTCTCGTCGGGTTCACGTTGGGCTTCTTAGTTTGTAAACTTATCGCCAACCATCAGAGCAAGACCCCAACATCAACAAATGCCCAGTTGGCAGCCACTTTAAACGAGTCGCAAAGGCTGACCAGCAAGCCAATAGATTTTGTAGTGAATGTTCCCAAAAACCCTTTAAAGAACAATTTAAATACGACAGACACACTGGAGAAAACAGTGAAGAAAATTTACCTCTAGTTCCACTCATTTAAATTCGTCGTCACCGTCGCCGTCGTAGACAATCATTGTTATTATTGCATTTAATTAAATTAATCACGCTGAAATACAAAGATTCTACGCATATATGTAGTTAGTTACAGTGGATGATGATAATTGTTGATACTGCGGCGAGATTGTGATTGAGGTTGACTTTATGTATAAGCGAGACTGATACAACCAGTGCTTTTTGAGGTACAAAAACAATTCAACTTGAACAAATATAATTTCCAATTTCAATTCCTCAATTTTTGTTACCCAAAATTTTCCAAATGTTTAAACAAAAAAATTTTCTCAGGTTTGAAGCTATATAAAAGTGTGCCTCATATAATAAAGCCTCTCATTATTATTATTATTATGAGCAAATATCAAATTTTACTGAAAGGAAATTGTATGTAAAGCTGTAAAACGGAATGTACATTACATGTACAAATGTACAGAATATTTAATGAATTGTTTTAAATGGTGATTAGACACTTGTGAATTTTTCTGTATTTATGTATGTATGTACATCTTCTATCCGCCATAGAACGCGTTCATAAATCACATATTTTTAGGCAAGGGAGAAACTATTTTTTTATACTTTATGATTTCAATAATCAGTAATCAATCACCCATCATTATGTGCCTCAATCTATATGAATCAGAACTATAAATTACTTAATGCTCCTACATTAAATGTCTGTATTACGTACATGTATGGTATTATTTAGTAATTTTAGTAATTGTGTAAAATATTTTTCAATTTGTTTAAATATTTAGCAAAACGGTATGAATGAATAATTACGAATTTTGAAATACAAAAGCCCTGACAGTGCCTTCAACTGTATATTTCTGTTATATAAAGTTATGTATAAGGACCATTGAGCTAAGTAGCCAATCTGTTGTAATATTATAAATTTGTTGATTTATTCAAAGTTTTAATGAAATGGGTGTGTATGGTTGACAACAATTTGGATGATGGTCTTGGATTGATAAACAGCCATACAAATGTATGTATGTATGTACATTATAAGAATCGCTTTTGCGTATATTCTATCAATTGAGTTTAATTGCTAATAATACTTCTCTCATGTGTTCATTTTTTTTTAACTTTTAGATATTTTACTTTTATATGTTTTACTTAGAAAAGTATTATTTTAATAGTTTTGGAACTATTCATATACCGGTTGATTTCCATATTATGTACGTATGACATTCACAACCACAATCGTATGTTTTAAGTTAATTACGTTCATTTAAGCAAATCCACCCACCTGAAGATCTTAGTTGTAAGTCTACATGTACACCATCAAAATCTTGTATTGGCACATGACGAATAGGAGAAGTTTAAATTAAAATATTGGTATGAAAATTTTGTTAAAAGAAGATGAAAGGTTAAAGACTTTTGAAGATTATTACTTATGAACGAGCAAGGACAGACATTTAAATAAATTATTATGGAATCTGTTATACTTCATATATCGACAGATTTGATGAATCAAACAGCTTCGGAAAATGTGTTGAACAGAAATAAAATGTGAAATAAAAAATATAGAAATGAAAAAGTATGTTGTCTATTTGATAATTAAGTATTTATTTGCCTACGATTCCCTTTACAGACATACAGGATGAATCGGTAACACGTGAACGCGGTCGATCTTGAATTGCTCCGAAACGGGTTGGAGTTTCGGTTCCAAATTTTGAGCATAACGACATGTGATTGTTGACAAGGGCTGAGCAAAAAATTAGCTCTCTAGATTCAAAAATGACCCGACCATTGACCTTAGAGTAAGAGGGTACCATAAAAACACTTTCCAAACTTAATTCTTCGTACACATACATAATTAACTACTTCAAAACTCAAGGACAACGAGTTTCGAAAGGCCAGATACATAAGGTACTTAAAAATGAAGGTCAATAACGACAAGCTCGTACCAAAGGACAACCATCATACCTCAAACACGAGTCCGAAAAGTGCTAATTCGGCCCGTGCTTAAGAAAATTGACCTATTGACCTCTAAGGACAACCCACCACCCCAGGGAGCAGTGGCACGTCTAACTAAAGTGTCAGAGACTAGTGTGCGTCGAGCAATTACAATTTTGGGGCAGCCAAAAAGAAGAAAAATCCAAGTCAATCAGCTGACTGGGAAGCATAAAAAAATAGTCGTCTGACCTGCAAAAAAAATTACGTGAATTACCTGACAAAAGATAAAAGTGGCTTTTTAGTGTCATTGGATGAAGAATTATTTTCCTTACAAGATACCAACAGTCAGAGAAAAATTTACTATACAACCAAAGGAGAAAATAATTCCAGAAGATTGGCCATCCCGCACACGGAAAACTTTTGCAACAAGTTCATGGTGGTAGGTGCATTATCTGATCGTGGTGTCCTCCCACTTATCAAAGTTCCACAAAAAGTGAAGGTAACTACGAAGTACTATATTGACTTTGTTTTAAAACCGCTTTTGGAGATTTATGTCTCAAAACTAAATGGCCAGGACACCATAAAAGTGATAGTTCATCACGACGCAGCGTCATCGCACACCGCCCTTTTGACCCAGGATTACGCCAAGGACTTAAAAGCTAGACTCGGGATAACAATCATCCAGGATAGTGAAATACCTATTAAGTCACCCTATGTAAGTCCCATGGATTTTTTCGGCTTTGGATATCTGAAATAAAATCTTTTCTCCGCCACCCAAAAACTTTTGACGGAGTTTGGAAAGTTTTGAGAGACGAGTGGTCTAAACTTGACCTCGCCATGGTCAAATCAGTGTACAAAAGTTGAAATCGCCGATACCGACTTGTAGCTCGAGAAAAGGGCTTTAGCATAAAAAATGTTCGGGACCTCCACTCCAAGCCGTTCAACCAGTAATTTAAGGTCAAAAACGTTCACGTGTTAGCGGTTCAACCTCGGTATAATTTAAGGACAGCTTGCATCAATTCTTAATGACAATCCAATTGATTTTGTCCACAAATGTGAAGCCTGCTTTGAGCTGTAATTGTCTGGATGCATCGTTCCAAATCTCACATTCCTTGGCGTGATTCCCATCGCGGCCACTTTTCTACCCAACATCTGAATTTTGACACCTAAACGTAAACCCCATCGTCGAAAAGATATCTTCGTGTACAAAATATTGAGGAGACCCACAGGCGAAAGGACGTCAAAACTTACAAGTACCGGAGTCTCGTTTTCACCTGGCGTCGTTACACACGCTCCACACGATGCCATGTTTCGAAAGGAAATTACGAAAGGGTCAAAATATGAATTTTCTGTGTCATCATCATAAATATAAAAAAAAAGTCCGCACCCGATGACCCCTGAGGCCATTATTATCAGCACTACTCACAATTCTTAGAAATATCCCGACATTACCGTTCTACATTTGCATTGATCAGGCATAAGATTTCATTTTATTATTGATGACATACCGGACGTATGCATTCAACAAATCTAAATAAATTAGAAATTATTGTCATTTTATGGAACGAATAAAGATGGCAAGGGATGATAAGAATCAAACACACAAAGAATGGACAGTAAGTTAAATTTATAATAATTATATTTTCGGTTTAGAAAAAAATACATATTTTTCTTTTCATGTACTTGAGGTGAGGCTCTAGGATTACGAACTGACCAGTAATTTGACTTAAAAACCCTAAATTAAAATACTCCATGGCTGAAAAAATACAAATTTGTGTGTACATTCAATTCAGACTATATTACATTATGCAGTTTTTTATAGTCCGCATTTAATCCCTTATTGGGTGAAGTGCTGCTGTACACGCAAAATAGTCCTAGTTGTAATAAGGCGATGCAAGTCCCCATGAAATTTGGGAATTGCATATATGGATCCTTTGCAAGAATACCATAAATCCACCATTGTGTACAAACCAAAAACATGCTCAAAATAAGGGGAAATGGAAGCATATCTGTTGATTTGGTTCGCATCACTTCTTTCTGAAATTGAGAAATTCCGCTTGTTACTAAAAACGTACAAAGGATGTTTGTAATAAGTCAGTACAATACAATCAACACGAGCAAATATTACCAATGACACAAGGGGCGAAGCACAGCCTAAAATGCCCATCACAATACAAAGAAGTCCAATGTTCTGAACAAGTGGCGAATCCCCATTGTGGACCAACGCTCCAGAATCCCAAGTATGCACATACACCAAGGTTAGGGAAAGAAACACCAAGGCACATAACACTTGTCTGTAGATCAGCGTCTAAATTCATATACCACATAAATGCATAAATATATTTACACATACATATAATATTATCTTGTAGCATTTTGCATACCTTTATCACATTAAATTTCATAAAAACGAGAACATAAAAGACGTTTAGAAGAGTTCCAACAATGTTACAATTTACTACCGTTGCATCGTCTAGAAATTAATAAAACCGTAACCGTTGTAATGCAGTATTAATTAAAAACCGATATTTAGCTGATACATACTTCGCAAATGTCCATACAAGAGCCAAACCCCGCAACCAACGACGCCCATCAAGTACGGTACTGGACTGAGGTCGCCAACACTTCCTCCCTGCTTCACCACGATTCGGTGAACTGTGAACCTGAAATTAAATTTAATTTAATGACGCACAAGTTAAGACCAGTTAAGGTATAATTAGCTTGCTTACATTCCTGATAGAAATTGACATATCGTTGTAAATGTAGCGGTTGAGCCGAGAAGATCCTTCCAAAAATGGTCATCATTTACACCATTAGCCATTTAATTATCAGTAAAAATATGTAGCTTAATTAGGCAGATCTATAATGTGAAATTCCTATTCGTTACCAGCAAGGTACATAAACGAATGTGTTTGTTTGTACGACACATATGTCGAAATTCTTATCAGATTTTATAGTTTATGTTATCAACCTGTTTTATTGTTGCTGATTGATACTTGACTGAAGTACAATTAAAACTTATTTTTTATGCTATCATTATTGTTGGCCTTGGGCATCAGACGACATAGCTATTATTATTGTTATGATCTTTCTCTTTATCAAACAAGGCTAAAAGTTTATATCTATTGTAGATTGTGGATTGAAATGTAGAAGAATGTTTGATTAGCACAACTGGAAAGTTGAAACACCCACAATCAAACTTGCTACACTACAATTGTGTTCCAGCTGCAATATCTACAGTATCATTTTCCTTCTTATTTTTGCAATTTCTCTCCGCCGTATGGAATGGAAAATGGTATTATTTAATGCGTCGCGACAGCTCAACACCTCTCGTCTCGCCTTCTTGAATAAACAAGCAATACTGAACTCATTTATTAAACATTAGAGGACTAATTAGCAAATGAGTATGAGTAGAAAGTAACAAAAGCTATTTATGTACGAAGGTTGCGAAATTAACAATTACAAAAAAAAATATGTACACTTCTTCTTTCCACGTCTATCCAATACTCGGCACATTTTGAAGACCTGTTCCCGCAATGATCAACCTCATTTCTCACCAACGCTGATTTCCGACAAATGTATCAAAGCGATTTATGCAAATGTCTTGCAATTGCAACTGAGCTTTTGAATAGCCTTTATTTAATATTTTATGGTTGGTGCATAGGTAAAGATCAGTAGCAATTGAAAAATAATGAGTACAGGGTTGAACATATTTGAATCGGACCGATTTGGACAAACACGTATTTCTTCTTTGTTCGCAATAACCCAACTGGCCGGATAGTTTGACGACTGCTTGATCTCCGCATTGCTTATTAAAAGATACTCATTGGTCAACGTTCCAAATTCTGGCCAGGTCGGAACTGTATTCGCACTTTCACTTGGGTATTTGCTGGGATTTCTACAAATACAAATATCCAGGTTTATGTACTTTATCGAGCAGTGTATCTAATTTTTTAAGTCACCCAGTATGAACAAAATTGGTCCAATAATCAACCATGATATCACTCAATTCTTGTTCCTCCTCATTAAGAACGCCAGGTAGTTGGAATAGATACTGCAGGTCATCTGCGTGGGCTACCCCACCAGGAAATCCGGCATTGTCAGGATGGCGAGTATACTGCCCTTCATAGTCAAAGCTATAAAAATAAGTGTCTTTCGTGATCTTTGAATGTTGTTGGACACTTTGGTATGAGGCGGATTTGAAGAACAATACTCCAAGCATCTGTTTAGAAAGAACAACAAAAAATTATAAACCAATGACACATATTTATCATTTAATCAAAAATCTTACGTCGATTAAGGATGGCACCATGTGGCTAAAATTTCCACTTTGTCCAGCTTCTTTTTCTACGTAAATGTCTTTGAATGTGTTTGCAATGGTATTTGCGGGGTCCGAAATTCCTACATGTTTCGAATAAATGGGAGGAACAACTTGTAATCCCTTGCTAAAAGTACGTAATTTGTATGTATATATATTGCTCACCGATAGCATTAAAAATTGTTGGAACTAGCCGATCCTTCATAAAAGTGGTATCATTTGCCAAATTATTTGCCAAGATGTAGCCTTCGCGTACTAATCTCAGAGCGAAACCCCCATCGTCCCTTGTCGTACCCATCATTAGAGACACATTGTTTTGATTTTCCGACTCAAGAACGGCTTTCGGATGCTGCGGAACAATTGTTTCGATTTCAGGGAAGGTAAACCTTTGTACCGACGGAGTAATCGCACCAAAACCTATTGATCCCGATTTCATGTCCAGAAACTATGAAATAATGCAAGCCTGGTTATGCAAACACCTGACAAATTATTTCGAGTAATATATACAGATACAAATGCTCATTAGTTCAACCTGGAATGTATTTTGGGCGAGGATCAATTCAGACAAAGTTTTGTTTAACATGCAGGTCATCACTTGAGTCTTGTTTGGAGAGGTATTTTCAGGGTTCAAGCAGCCTGCATACACAGCAACTTGAAGTGAAGCTGACAGAGGATTTGCAGATGTCGCCCATATGTCGATGGCACTTCCGCTGGAAGCAATAGCACGGTGAAATAGACCCTTGGACAAGGGGGACATTACCATATGCGAAACCGTGGCTGCACCCGAACTCTGACCCGCAAGGGTGACTTGAGAAGGATCTCCACCGAAATATTGGGCAAATATTTTCACCCAGTTTAGAACTGATAACACGTCGTAAAGAGCTGCATTTCCTGGGGCAGTCGGCGTTTCCAAGTTATAAGATCCTGCTCGAATTGTTTTTGTTAATCGGTCATGCGAGCAAATATTTTCTTGATAAAAACTGGCTTACCAAACACCCCAAGTCTGTAGTTAAACGTAATGAGAACGATGTCTTTATTTAGTAATCGAGCCCCATCGTACATATTTGCATTCCCCGAAACGAACCCTGCTCCGTGTACGAACACGAGGATGGGATATTTTACAGCAGTATTCTGGTCAATCTATAAATACATAGCGTCACAACATTGTCTAATAATATTTGATAAGTTGCAGCTCGAAGTAGTGTGGATACGTACTTGAGGAGAAAATATGTTAAGGAATAAGCAATTCTCACTTCCAGTAGTTTGGGGTTGTGGGCATTCGGGTCCAAATTGTGTTGCATTAAACGGTGACCCCGTGTTGTTAAGTGATTCTTGGAGCAATTCTGAAGGCTGTCAAGATTTGTAATTCCAAATGAGGTGAGAGTAAGACAACTTTAATTTAATATGAATAATTGTATGAACCCTAAATCTGGTTTGCTTTGCGTATGGTATCCCAAAAAATTGTGCATAAGGTCGAGGACTTTTGCCAATTGTTGTGCTAATCTTTCCTTGAATTTGTCCAAGGACTCCAGCCTCCAAAATTACTTCAGAGGTAGTTTGTGAATAACTTGGTTCAATTAAATTTGAGGATATAATTATTATGAGAAACGCGAAAACTACCTCTGAAGACATGATGCAAAATTTTAATTCACTTAAGTGAATATACAAATTGGCATATAACAAGTCAAACTTTGCCACACTTGAGTATGACTTTATAACTTTGGTGCACGAGTTCTTTTATTTTAATTGGTATCATATTTTACATCAGATCAGATAAGCATAATCCCCGGATTAGGTTTACCAAGTTAAACAATCGCAAAGTTTCTAAATACTAAATTCATTGTGGTGATAAATCCCACCGTAAATCTTTAAACATAATTGGAATGCCAGTTGCAAAATTTTTCATACAATTAATGTGAGTGGCCAATGGGTAACCAAACTTTATATCTGTATCTACATGTTTAAAGCGAAACATTTCATTATTCAGAGAATGTAAACATTTTTCACGTGTTCTTTCTGCAAAAGTAGTCCAACTAAATTGCATATGTAAATTTGACTTGGTGGTCTATTGAACGCTTCCCTTTGAAATTAAAGCCAGCTCGGGTATTAAAATACGGACAAAATAGCATGTTGTCATGTCCAATATGAAGGATGCCACAGCGCTTGGGATTACTGGTTTTGAAGTCAATGCTGAAATTAAGAGAAAAATCGACATGACCAGCACAAGAGATTTATATCCTATCCAATATTGCAGCAGATTTAGGGATTTCTATATTAAATAAAAATACATGAAATTTTGAATTTGTAAGTTCAATAAGCTTTCATTCAACTTTCACCTGTCGAATCGCAAAAGTCAGGATGACGGCTGAAACGATTCTCCATCCACAAAGACCAAGCAAAATAGTCAAGCACCAAGTAATGATACACCCTACGGACGTATTTACAATGGTTAATTTAAACTCCAGCCCAGTAGCACGGCAGTTTAAATTAAAAGTTTTAATCACCTTCTAGTCCTTTGCGCCTTTCCGATTCCCGACCTTCTCCAAAATACGACGTATTGCCATCGGCAGCACCAATTACATTCGACGAGTGATGGACATATTGAATCGGGTTATCCACTGAAAGCCATGCGAAAATTACCAACCCCCCAATGACAATCGAGCCTGAAATACATGAATTAGTTTCACACAATTTTCAAATGATGTTTAATAAGTCTTTTTATTTGAAATTCAGTTTTACTTCATACCAATTATATCAAAAAGTACAATTGATCGAGAATTATAAATGTTAAGAACCATAATTTGTCTGTTTGTGAATCAAAATTGAGACAACCAGCTCATAAGAAAACGTAATTCAAGAAAATGAATATAGAAACTTTTGAGAGGTTTGCTCTATTTTGCAGTTTCCTTTGCGCATGCATGCATATACACAAATATGCAAAAACAGTTGAATAATGCATGGAGTTCAAGTATAATTAAATTAATGCAAGTCTTGTTAATTTATGACTCACCTTTTTAGCTTATTTAATTAAATTGACATGCTTGTTATCATTTATGTATATCACGTTGTCCATTCTCCTGAAGAATTTTAAACATTTTTTTGCATACGTAGGTATTCCATTTTGGGATGATTCATCATATATTTTTAAAATTTAATTGTCATCTTTTTAGAATTTTGCGTTTTTCGAAATATATGCATTACCAAGAATTGAAAAAAATAATACACACCACCGTTTGACTTTATATGATCAAGGGGTAATCGGTCATGACCATAATTATAAGCTAATGCTGGTAATGGAATAGCCTTAGCAGAAAGTATAACGATAATTGGTTCACTTGTGAGAATCTTGAAATATGTTCAAATCAACACGCACCATAACCAAACCTTCAGTTCATTCCGTGATGACTTGATTTATATAAAATAATGAATGCAAAAATCCAAAATCAATGCAAATGAGAAGAATTGTACAGTGGAAATTTTCAGCAATTTGGTCATTATTAACACATCATGCAATCCAACCTCTTAATCTTGGCTGTGTTATTGGACTACTTAGATTCCGTTTGTCCAAGTCGTGTCTCACTAATTGTAAGGATTGCATTTTCGTAAGCAGAACGCATTCCATTTTCACATTTGATTCCACATGGACTATAAAATAAAGTAATAATGGAATTAAATCTATTCCTAAAAATTTTCGCAACGATTGTTTTCACTCCCGTGCTTCTGTTTGTTTCAATCATTGGATTTCTGCTGTTCATTCTTCCTTTACTAACATACCGGGCGATTATATCAGTGCTTGCAAGATGTTTCATGTCGAGGCAATTACGACAAATGGTGTCGCCTACGAATGCCATTATGGGAGCAGAAGATATATTCGGCGTCAGCTCATTTACGTCCTTTGCCGCAATAGAGTTATCAATCCCATCGCCAGGAGTTGATTACATTTCGCATTGTGTGGAAAAGAATGGTTTGGAAGTAGTAAATTCTGCAACAGGTGCTCTTTTATATCCTGAATTGAAAGAAACGGTAAAGTCCTGGATGGGGTTTTTGTTTTGGACTCCTGCACTAAACTTCAATATTCGCAATCACGTCTACTGCTCTAAAGGTAAATAATAAGATTATTCGTACATATTTAGTTCCTACGAATAATTAATCTGAAATACATGCACAGATCTTAACCTTAGCCTCCCGAAATTAAAAACTGAATCTAACAACGCTCTACAACTATACATTTTACATCTCGTCAGAGAAAAGACTTGGGTACCATCAAGGCCATTATGGGACTTTATTATAATTCCAAACATCCCCAAGAACCTTTTGAGTCCTGATACTTCCAGTAAATGTAATGAACAACTAGGATCCATCCTTCTATTTAGAATGCACCACATTTTAGGCGATGGAATTTGTATTTTCAAATTTCTGAGTAACATTTTTGGATTTTCACATGTACTGCAAACTGCTGCAAAATCAAACTTGCATGCTAATAAGAACAGCACGTGTCAAGGTATCTTTCTGCGAAAGCTTATATTTTGCCTGAGGATACCATACGATATTTTGGGTGAATTATTGAGATCCTGTCCTAGTCCGGGGATTATTCCGAAAATGAACGGTAGTTTCTTACCACTTGGAAAATTTTTCAAATTTTAAGTATTATCTAAGATTGTATTTTTAAATAATTTATTGCAGACCGGGATGGAAAAGGATCACGCTTGGTAGGAATTGTTTCAAACGATATTCCTGTATCTAAGATAAAGCAAGTAAGGCAATTGCATCAAGTGGACTTCAGTTCTGTCCTCATTGCAATATTCGCTGGAGGGAGTCGACGTTTCATATCTAAAATTGGAAATGGTATCAAAAATCTTCCACTGGAAGTGGAAATTATGTTCCCTTTGCCAATGCCTGGCCATCCATCCTCGCTTACAAACCATATGTACGTATGTGTAGTAAAGATTTGAGAAATATGCTTCTATTCTACGGAATGACACAAAATTATGTAATACAAGAATATAAATTTAAATTAAATGTATGCATTACAGTTCACACGGTTTTATCAGAGTTCCAATTTCTGAGCCCGACGGAATGAAAAGACTGCAACTTATTCACCGGAGAATTATGGCTTTACGGAAATCCACCTTGCCATGGACCACATTCTTTCTTTTAGGACTAGTCGGGTCTTTGCCAACGGTGCTTGTAACCTTGTTGAGAAAGTTTGGTGGTCAATATGGACCGTCCCTGATTTTTACGAATTTATTGGGACCTGCTGAGCCGGTGAAAATAGGTCAATTTTTCGTATTAGGCTTACGGGTGGGTTCGAATGCTCCAGTGGATGCGCCATCAGGTATTTTAAAAATAAATAAATAATCTAAATACCAGTACATAGTTTAGTCCATATTTAAGTTGTGCTGACGATTGGAATATTTAGGATACTGTCTTATGGCGATTACATACAATGGGAATGCAAGATTGACAGTGGGAGGATTGAGTAATTATCTGTCTAATCAAGAAGATGCTCAAGAATTTCTTAAAGGTTGCCTCGAAGAACTAGATGTTTTGGCAAGGGATGAGTCAGCAATAGTGTAGTATCAGTAATAATATATTTCAGCTAAAATTAGTACAGTCAAGTTTATAAATATATGTAAGTAAATATAAGTATGCATATATTTAGACAACGCTAACTACTGTACAAAAAAATACACATTATTGGCATATACATACGTAATATCTATTTGGTGAAAGTATAGGATTTACAATCTATTTCTTTGAAGAGAACTTTTGAACATAAATATTGATAATCCAATAAAAACATATCCACCCAATCGTGGACAGGAAGCCAGTCCACACAGAAAAGTGTGAGAAACTCCAGCCACGAAATATAATTGATCTAAATGCTTCATTGCCTAAAGTTGCTGGGAGAAAGTAAGACAGTTTTTGGAGAAATACAGGCATGGATTCGATGGGCCACATTGAACCAGCCAGAAAAAAGTTTGGCATCATGATTGCCATTGCTAGAAGAATTGCTTCAATCTCTTTTCCACAAATGGAAGCCAGCAATAAGCCTAATGATATCCCAGCAAAGCCATTGAAGACAACGAGGGCAAAGGCGAGATAAATCGATCCCACAATTTGGACACTAAAGACGGACAAAAATATGAAAAGGCAGAGGACTGTCTGCAAGACTAAAACTGCTCCCTCCGTAAGAAAGTACGATATGAGGATCTCCCAAGGGTGCGTTCCTGCCACACGTGCACGAGTCATGGTCCCCTGTTTTTTATCACTCAGATAAGTTATGGTACTACTGGCAAGAGGAAAAAATAGGGCTACCCTGCAATTGTCAATTATAAAGAAGGGTTAACATATATAATTGGTTGGATTGGTTCTATAAAATCGGTGCAAATTTTATTGGCTTACCCGACAACCATTCCTGCAGCCACAAACTGCTGAAGCTCCATGTCCAAATTCCCATAAATCGGATCTTCGAACTGTTTACACCCACAAAAAATTAATGCAATTGTAATGTAAGAAGATTTATAGCAATATAAAGATTTAGCATTAATCCTAAGCTCACCTTGATTGGAATATTTCCAAGTTCAGGATTCATCCCACAATTTGATAACAAAGTTTTCACGAACTTTGAATACGTTTCATACAATACCCTTTGCAGAGATTTTGTCATCACAGCGTCTAAACAATTCGACAATGTATTTATGTATGTATGTGCATAATACGCATCACGAAAAACTCACAAAAACTGTGTAACTTACTCGATGCATCCATTTTAAAGGATATCGTTGAGCCCGAAATAGTACTGTTGTCAAGCATGATTCCACTACTAGAACGTTCATATATATAATCCGAATAATTCTCTGGGAACTGCATAAAACCACGAATAAGTCCTGATCTGATCTGATCTTTTGCTTCTTCCGCAGATGAATAAAAGCTCTATAGAAATTAAAGTGAAAGGTCTTTATGTGCACCACATGACTATAATATTTGACCTTTCTTTTTATCGACGACTAACCAATTCTACAATGTCTGGAAGGGTTGATAGAAATCTGCAACTCAAATTAGCAATTTGGCATTCCTCCTCCTCGTCAAGTGGAACGACTGAATTAGAGTTTAGTAGATAATCGCAGGACTCGTTGGTAACCACACCCAATCGCATCTGTTTTGGGAGGTCTCCCATTGACATCCCCATAAGGACAATTTGGACCGCAGGCATGATAATGATGAAAGCCAGTAAACTATGAAAGTGTTAAATTACACGATTAATGTCAGTCTTTATACTACGCACAAGAAAAATATGTTATGGGGCTCACATCAGGTTGCGCATCATCACATAAAAGTTTTTGCGAGCAAGTGATTTTATTCTGGTCAGTGAATTTTTTACTGCATCGGGGTCAAAGCAAAAGAATTCCTTTATTTCCTTTTGACAAGTTTTCTTCTCACGCAGCACTTTGTCGATGTCTTTCGAAATTTCTACGTTTATAATGTTCCCTGATGATTTAGAACGTGATCTTCCCGAAGAGGTTTCTGCATTTTTCTCGTCTTCGTGACACAATTTCAAAACGATATCTTCCATAGAATTAAGTCCATATTCGGCATAGAGTTCAGATGGCGAATTTTCTATAATGAGCCTTCCTCCACGCATAAACCCCACAGTGTTTGAGTGAACGGATTCTTCGATATAATGAGTTGTAACTATTATGGTTGTCCCTTTATTTTCTGCCAGGCCCTTTAAATGCTTCCAAATCGATTCCCTCAACAAAGGGTCTAGTCCAACCGTGGGCTCTACGTGGAAAACGGAGTCATCAGTAAGTTACATCATCTTAATCTTAATTATAAGCTCAAATTATTACCGTCTAAAATAAGTAGGGGTGGTCCGTGGACCAAGCACACAGCCATCGACACCCTCCTGGCTTGCCCACCACTGTGACCAGCATTAGAAATTTTAGCACGTTTTAGACATTTTTTTATGGAAACTGTCTAATTATTTATCTAGCATTTAATTACCTCAAGGTCTTGACTCGTCTATCTTGGTCAGGAAGACTCAACAGTTCCATTAGGAAATTGCGACTTTTTTCTACGTTGGACTTCGTCATGCCGTTCAGTTTTCCAAAATATGTAATAGTTTCAAATATTGAAAACTCCCCGTACAATGAGATATCCTTTAAAACCAAAAACCCCCATTTTATTATTTTAATGAGTACGAGAAGCAAGCTTTAATTGGCTTTCTCTTATAAAGTCTGTCATTACTTGAGGCATATAGCCGATGCCCCTGCCAGGCACTCTTGCATTTTTTTCACCGTGTTTCTTTCCGGATATCAAAACTTCGCCAGAGTCTAAATGTTGAAGACCTACAATCATTTCTAACAGGGTCGTCTTTCCGCAGCCGCTAGACCCCAAGAGGGTGTAACTGAAATTAAATTGGTAACATTTTAATTCACACACAGTTAAGTAATTTTAACTTCTATAGTGCTTTGAGTCTCCTTACATGGAACCCTTTTTCACATTCATGTTCATGTCGAATAGAATTGGACGCAATTTTCCACCGGATTTATAACTTTTGTACCCATTTTTTACTTGCACAGCAGGATAGCTATCCGCTGACTCTTGGCAATTGAAGCAGCAAAGGTCATTCCAGTTTCCGTAATTCTTGTAAAGACACGGGCTCTCTAATACCGATTTCTGAATGTCCAAAATTGATTTTAAGCCCACAAAGGCAGTGTTAGTGTAGCTTCCGTAGCTCTTCCAATACGCTTCGTTGTCCATTTTCTGGTGTTTAGCAATGAGTATTTAGCAATGAGTGTTTAGCAATGAGTGTGGTTATTTAAGATATTTATGTTTTTCGCTTATTTATGTCAAGTGTCTTGTTCTTAGGGTCAGTTTACAATGGTAACTGACTGATATCAAAAGTTGTAATGGGTCGACGGATTAGTGTCGCTTGAGAATTTATTCATTTTTACTCTGGTCAATTATTCATATTTCTACGTCATAAGATGTTTACCCGTCTCAAAATGACAAGCATCCGATCCCGCAAGTTCACACAAGTAACAATGGAGAATTAAAGAAAATATGATTCAAATGTACAGAAGTAGCAACTGCTAAACGTCATAGATTACCACGCATAGAAAACAAAGAAAATAAGTGTGTACCGCAAATATTTTCAGTAAACAAGTTACATATTCTTACTTAATTGCATATGAGGCACCCAAAACATTGTGCAGGCATTGTTTGGCAAAATACATAATGTGCAAAATCAAGTTCCCTTTGTTATTTTCTTGCCTCGTTATAAACCTAACAAAGTCAGGCAATGTTTTGCAACAAGTCTACGTGCAAGAAGCACCAATATTGTTGCTTCTTGCCACTCACGCACGAATAATTGCGAACCACTCATTTTCATATCCGGAGTGACAATTGAATTAGAGCAGGTAGGACAGGGCATATGTAGCTGTTTTGTAGATTACTAAAATGTATTACATAATTCATGTATCGAATAAAAATGCATTTTATATATGTCTGCAACTACTTAAGTAGATGATGATGATGATGGACATATTATGGACAATAAATCAATTTTAGTTTTAAATCAAATTATAATATTTCTTGCAATTCATAAGCCGGATATTGAAGATTGTGCATTTTATAAAACAATAGGTCATGTTTTGAGAAGCGCATAGCATATGTACATAGCATGTAAGGCAGGGTATTGTTGTTTGTGAAAATTATATGTAATGCGTCACTACTATTTCACTTGTTATGCACTGTGATACGATGTGGTCATGGTCAAGGGAAGAGTATTAGAGGCACACATACATAACTTAACTTAACTTTGCCCATACTTATTCTAAACATGCAAAGTAGGTATGTAAAGTTTAGCATCTAGAACGAGTATACGATAGCATCGTCTATAATATCTTGCAAGACATGTAGTACTACTAAATGGTATTTTAACTGCATGTCTTGATTAATTGATCAAGTGTTATTTTACTTAAAACAGGAACGCAGTACCGTATGTATCTTTGTCGTTTGTGAAATTGCTTGTAAGAATTTGCGTAAAAGGATAAGAAAAAATTACGGCGCGTGGCAAAATCTAAACAAAATGTACGGAGTTATACAACTTGTTGTTAATAATCATAAAACATGAAGTATCATCGGCAGACAAAAGATGAGGAAGTGGCACTTCCATTATTGTTATCAGAGTCTAACTGAGACCTTAGAATGAATGAATTGTGAATTTAACGCCAATAAATGATCGTCATAAAAAGTTTATAAATCAAACAGCAAGAAATCTTATTTAATGATCATTGCATACATGTAATTAATATTCGCTTGGGGTTGGTCCGTTTTCCCAGTCTACAACTGTCTTATCGTGCCAGACGTAACCCCCACGAGGAGTGGTCACATTTTCAGGCAATAACGCCAACCATGTGGCAGCAATGGCTCCTTCGTCGGGACTTAGAGGCCCCTTGTGGCTTGACATATCCGTATCCACGTATCCTACGTGCACAAAATCGTCCATGTTAATGAAAATTGGTCAAGAATATGGCTTGTATTGTTTAAATCATACCAGGATGAACCGAGTTTACAACAATATCGTCGCCAGGTCTGGACGTATCAAACTCGCGCTGTTGAATTTTTGTCAACGACGACACAGCTACTTTCGAAACATTATAAGCACTGTTTGGGAAACCGTATTCAAAATGATTTCCTGTCTTTGTCAACCTGAGATGAACATGTATATATATGTATTATTATCAACCACACATAAGTGCCACAAAAATGATTGTAGCCTACAATTTGTAGGTACAACTCATTCGATTTACATATTTGTTTCTTACTCAATAAATTTGTTGACCATGCCCGATAATTCATCCTGAGTTAGCTTTGGATCAGCAAATTTTTTCTGGAGTTCCAATGATTCGGGTTCTTTCCCATTTATTTTCTTCAAAAATCCTGTATCATAAAACATCAATTAAATGTAATAACGAATTAACAAATCCAAAATAGCAGGAAATTATTGTACATCATATTCACCACAAACAGAAGATATGTTCACAACTCTTGCGTGCGGTCGAAGTAGTGGAAAAATTGCATTGCAAAAATCTCTTGTCGCAAAATAATTGGTGCCGTTTGTCACTTCAGCTTGGACATGAAATGGTTCTGTAGCATTGTTCTTGAATGCGATCCCAGCATTGTTCACAAGCACGTCGATTTCACCGTGGGTGGTTTGGATAAAATCCTTAAATTTTGCAATACTCGCTGATGAATTGATGTCAAGAATGCTAAATTTTGGGTTCAGTCCTTCCTAAAAATAAAGTTTACAATATGTTAATCGCTTCAATGATAATTTCAATGAATGTGTTTGAGACTTTTTTCAGCAACTCGACAGCTTCAACTCCTCTTCCTTCATCCCTCGAGGTAAGGTAAACGTCCCCGTCAAATTGCTTGCAAAGGGCTCTCACAATGGCAAAACCAATGCCTGTAAAAACGCAAGTTATAATTTTTATTATTATTCCATATTCCTTCATTAAGTGAAGTTATTGCTTCTTGGTTAATTTAATAGGCATAGGCATGTCACATATGTGCATGTTATTGCAAAAATAAGTATATAGTATATATACATACCTTTATTAGATCCTGTGACAATTGCTACTTTAGACATTGTTTGCAAAATTACGGAGGGTTTACTAAGTAAACTTATTTTTGCTGGACAATATTTTGGTGGTAGTTAAACAAAGAAAGAGCTATGGGCATGGAATCATTCCAACTCCAGTCTATCTATACCCTATTGTAGGAGATTCTACAACTCTATAGAAAGTATGTATGTAAAATACCCTTCTTTTGACCTTGGTTGCATTTGAGTTTAGCATATTGAAGTAAGATTTTCGTTATTGCAAACAAAGAAAATATTGATTTTTATATTTTTGCATAATTTCATGCATTGGCCCATACTTGTAATGATGCTTATGATAGCTTATTCAGCTCAAATTGTAGTTTATTATATAAATTTCAGTTTCACCCATTTTTATTCTAAACATGAACAAATTATGAAAAGAATATTAAAATGCATACATGGAATATAAAATAATTCACATTGTTAACCAACAGAAAATAGTAACACAAAAATCAACATTATTATTGACAGGATTTGTGAGGTGAATGAAATCGGCGTGATTACGGACCGTAATTTACGGTCCATCCTTCTTGTGCATGTTCTAATATTCACCTGGAGCTGGTCCATTTGCCCAGTCTACAACTGTCTTATCGTGCCACACGTAACCCCCTCGAGGAGTGGTCGCATTTTGAGGCAATAACGCCAACCATGTGGCAGCAATCGCTCCTTCGTCAGGACTCAGTGGACCCTTGTGACTCGTCATATCTGTGTCCACGTATCCTAGAAGTGACATTAATAAGTACAATTTTATATTCCACAATGCTAACAAATTTGGGAAGGTTTGGTTAGGTTAGGTTACCTGGGTGGACAGCATTGACGATAATGTCATCGCCAGGTCGTGCTTCGTCCAATTCACGCTGCTGGATTCTTGTCAACGACGACAAGGCTACCTTCGAAACGCTGTAGGTACTATTGGGCCACCCGTGTTCAAAATGATTTCCCGTCTTAGTTAATCTAAACGTTATACCATATTTTCTATGAATGCCTAACTTGTATTAGAAAGATTAAATATACGATTGTTACACACTCGATGAATTTATTGACCATTCCAGACAGTTCGTCTTGCGTCAAGTTTACATCTGCAAATCGCTTCTGCAATTCGATGGACTCTGGTTCTTTGCCGTTTATTTTCTTCAAATATCCTGAAACATTAGGTATGCAATTATACATCATCACGAGTTCTTTTTTAACTTTAGAATGTACAATTTACCAGACGAACTGGAAACGTTCACAACTCTTGCATGCGGTCGAAGTAGTGGAAAAATTGCATTGCAAAAATCTTTGGTTGCGAAATAATTGGTGCCGTTTGTCACTTCAGCTTGGACATGAAATGGTTCTGTAGCATTGTTCTTGAATGCGATCCCAGCATTGTTCACAAGCACGTCGATTCCACCGTGGGTGGTTTGGATAAAATCCTTAAATTTTGCAATACTCGCTGATGAATTGATATCAAGAATGCTAAATTTTGGGCTCAGTCCTTCCTATAAAAAATTGAAGGTGCTTAATAGATCAGTTCTTAATTAATTAATTCTGCAGAATGATTTTGGTACTTTTTTCAACAAGTCGACAGCTTCAACTCCTCGTCCTTCATCCCTCGAGGTAAGGTAAACGTCCCCATCAAATTGCTTGCAAAGGGCTCTCACAATGGCAAAGCCAATACCTATATAATATATATTTCAAATGTATATATCGGTATTCGGTAGGTGAATAAATTCAGAACTTTTCGTAATTGATTCGAAAACAACGATACTACTTTACAAGTACTAACTTTAGGACTACTCACCCTTGTTTGACCCCGTTACAATCGCGACTTTGCCAGACATTATTTAGAATATTGTGGAAATTAAGGGTGATGTATGTGATCCAGAAAATTATTGCGAAATGTCTGAATAGACAATGGAATTGAATTGTTGAATGAATGTAATTGAAGTGAGACGACGAGGACGACCACAAATGAGCAAATTCTGTTTGAAGCCGGGCATCCATCTAGCCTTGAACTTGGCCTTGAATGATTGGGCAGTTTGGGCACCATGGACACACTGGATGATGCATAGGCATTATTGTGTTTGTATCCGCCGTGTAAGAAGCATGATTGCATTGTTGGGAAAAAAATCAATTACGTACGGTGCAGCATGAGATGTATTAAATACATATACACCGTATTACCGTGTATTAAATATACGGTGAGATGTATTAAATACTCAACACATCTCATTAATTGGACATACCTTCATGCATGATAGTTGGGAGGGATGAATTATTGATTAAGGATTTTGTCATGTTTCATGCTCATTAACGAGGAAAGCATACGATTATCATTATCTGACAGTTTAGCTAATATTTATATTGACACCAGTAAAACTCTGGTGTGGCTAAACGTAAGGATTTATAATCCATTAATAGACCTAATTCAATAAAATAATAAAGACCATACGGATACGTTTTCTATGCTTATTACGAGAGAAGCTGATTTCTCTCAATTTATTTTCATATCATATTCGTATTGGTAAATTCACATTAAAAAGGTTTGAAAATTATGAAATAATAAGTTTATGAATTACTTTTTGGCTTGAAGGCAGTACCATAAACATGGATTTTAACGAAGCTCCAAATACTAAGAAGTGTATCCGTCTCAAGGTAAAAGGTATAGGTTTTCACATTATCGAACCCTTGATTCAGAACAGTCTTTTCCAAGCTCCTTGACAATTTGCAACCATCAAAGATCGCCCCCCAAATGCCCGTAAAATCTAAGAATCGTTGAACATAATGAAGTTTTGCTGGTGGAGGGTGTAGAATATGGTCCAGAAAAATGTATCTTCCACCCTTCAAATAATATAGCAATAATAATTAACACAAAGTGAATTTACATTCACTAGAAAACCAAATTGAATTATTTTTAATGAATGTCCAGTACCGGGGTCAAAGCATTTTTCACTAGTTGGTAGGTAGCTGAGAGATTGTCCACACTGCAACAGACTAATGTAGAAACGACAGCATCAAAACTCCCAAACTTGACATCGTCGTTAGTAATTTCTTCTGCTGGTTTAACCACGTACTTTTCTATTTTAATTCCGGGGTACTAAATGGTTAAGAGATGATAATAATTGTTGTAAGCCAAGTTCCTATAAAAAAGTAATATGAACTAAGAATGTAACCTTTTCTGCATTTTCTCTTAAAAACTTTTCGCAAAAAGAGTTCGGTTCGACAACAACAAGTCGACAATTTTTGGGATAGAATTCAAAATTAGCACCTGAAAAATAAAATAAGATATCGTGAAGTTATTAATTAGAGTTAACTTTTAATACGATAATCCAACCAACCAGTTCCAGCTCCTATTTCCAAGATTCGAATCTCATTCGACTCACGAAGTTTGGGGTCACAAGATTTGATACTTTTAAGTTGACCGAACATTTCAAGTTTTTGGGGCCGTACTTTTTCATTATGAATCATAGAAGTTCGGGTAAGTAAGCTAGCGAAAATTCTGAAATAAATTGAACAAAATAATGTCATCAATTTATTGATTCAATCAAATGGAAAATAGGCCCATTTTACGTGCTTACCTTTTCCTTTGTGAACGAAATAGGAGACAGAATAATACCACAGTACATAATATTATCCACATCTTGAGTAATTGTTACAAAATAAAGACTACTTATAAATGAGAAGAGTGCTGGAAAACAGCCGAGTTTAATTTCGGTGTGGAGTTGTTATTCACAAAAAATCAGCGCATTAAATAAATAAACTTCAACACTCCAGCAGGGTTCGGAAAACCCCGGGGTTTTTGTAGAAAAACCCAACCCCGGGGGTTTTTCCGGGGTTTTTGTGGGTTTTTGGGTTTTTGTGGGTTTTTGTGGGTTTTTGTAGATTTTGGGGCAGGTTGAACCAGAATTCCTAAAATTATATATTAGAGATAAACTAATTTAGTATACAATTTTAACATGCAATTTTAACCGTTATCATTGATTTGGGCTTTTACATCGAAAATTCATGTTTGACATGTAAACCTGGAAATATGCAATGATATTTGGAAATTTAAGTCGCAATTGAAAATTCTCAAAATTTCAAGATGAAGCAGAAAAGTTAATTAGCATTGATCTACGTTGTAGTTTAAGAGATTTTGTTTCAATCTGCCTCAAAATCCTACAAAAACCCCGGAAAAACCCACAAAAACCCACAAAAACCCGCAAAAACCCCATTAAGCATTAGGGTTTTTCCGGAGATTTGATACCCCAAAAACCCACAAAAACCCCAAAAACCCCAACCCACAAAAACCCGGGGTAGCGAACCCTGCACTCCAGCCATATATTTACATAAGTACTTAATTGGACAGCGAAATATGCACAGAACAACAGCTCGACTCGACCTCGACGATCACATTGACATTCGTTTTATACCTTGTAGTCACGAGATTTGATGAAGTTGTTAAAAATCTTGTCTAGTCAACAAAAAAACTGAGCGAGGTTAACCTGTTGCTTTTGAGGTTTATTGTTTCTGAAATAATATGGAGAAACAAACATAAATATGCTCCGGTATTTACTCTAATGAACAAAATTTAGTATCCAAATGTCGTTTCTTCATCTTTTCTAAAATCCATGGTATAAAATTGAGAACATTGACATAAACGGCAGGCGTTTCAGAATTACAACCTAAATACATGCAAGTATGTATTAGATAAAGAGATTTGCATAGCATAACCAGAGATTATGTTGAACATGCCTATGCCCCAACTCACAATACCAACTTGGACATAGTTTTGTGAGTTGAGGTCCTTACAGAAAAGGGGCGAGCCTCCGTCTCCCTTTTTAACGAGTAGACTCAATCAGTAATTTGTAGGACAAAATATTTTGGGATAAATATTATACCACACAAGTGTCCTTCCCAGGAATGCCTCCAGCGCAAATAAACGACTCGTGTCTATATGTATGCAAATCAGTGTCATATAAATAAATGTACAGTGACAGTCCATGTAAGGTATGATACGTATTTAAGCAGTACAATAAAAATTTGTCTCTGAGCCTTGTTTTTCTGAGAGCACTTTGACAATCCTCTCTTGGAACGATAGGAATTTCGGTCTTTTTCATTATTTCCTGGTATCGACCTTCAACTCCTGTATGTAAAAATTACCAATACATACACATAAGTATATTATATTATCTACGGGATTGACTGAATAACTAATTCGACCATTATGTCTCTGATCAGAATATTGAATTTCGGACAAGTAGTACATATGTAAATAGTATAAATAAATTGTCATTATCATGCCCACTCCATTGTACATGCATAAGTACATACATAAATACATACGATAGTCCGTTCAGTTTGCTAGATTTCGGATACATGCATAACACACATTGACCATTTGTTCGCTTTTCGTACATTTGAAAATATTCTGATCGAAGACCTCCGGTACAAATACATAATCGCCGGACCACGAGCTCACCAAAACTATTCTTCCCCCATCCGGACGATAGACAAACCTGACCATCAAAATCCTTTGGAGTTAACGACTTTGGGGGTAGACACAAGGTATCAACGTTTGCCGTAAGTTTCACCTCTTTTTCAAGCACATATTAATTGTGATAATTGTGATACAGTGAAGCATGTGATTCGTGATCCAAAGATACACTTTCAAAGTTAATAATATTCAAAGATCCTTCTAATGAAATTGCCAATAACAAGCTCTAGCAACTTTTGTATAAAAAATTAAACTCGTTTCAATATTGAACTCTCATCTTGGTCATGAAATACATCACAGAGCTGCTGAAGTGCTAACAGTGACAAAATGTCTTTCTATGATTGTTGGTCTTTAACCAAGCCGAGTTGTGCATTTCTTGAATTTGCTGGATCACGAATCACATTACAGGAATTGTATAAGAATATGTACTACCTTTTTCAAGTACAAGCAGTGCAATGTCATTATACAGAGACTTCCGAAGGAGTTGATTGTGAATTATTACCTATAAAAACATATCCGTTATGTTACACAACAATTGTGCTATTAATGGCAAAGATTCTTACTTCTTTTACTTTACGATCTTGATAAGGATAAGGCTCATCTGTGGTCTGAGTGTCCCACTCACCTAATCGAACTTTGAGTTGTTGATATCTTGGCGAATTTCTATACGAAACTTTTATCATTATAATTTAGTCACTTATAGTCAATCTCTGAAATATGCAACCTTACGCAATCTCATACACACAGTGAGCTGCCGTTAATACGACTTGGGGGTGTAACAATGAACCTCCACACAGCAAAGCATTTCTGGTCATATTCACTTTGACCCCATCAGGTCGTTCCTCCTCTACAATTTCTTCTTCAACGACAGCGGCTATCCATGGGAATTCACCGAATTGAGATTCGCCACCCGTAGCTCCAGTAATTTTGAATCCAATACCATTTTCGTGCCGTTGACCACAGCCTTTGTGGACCCAGGTCTTGTTAACGGTTAATACATCTGGCTTTGGATCTTCTGGAGGTTGAGGTTTCTCATCGCTTGTTTTCACGTTCTGGCAGAAAATATTTTTAGACCAAACAAAATTTTAAAAATATACATCGATCCAATAAAATTACTCACCGTACAACAAACCTCAAAGTAATGTTTGCAGCCACCATTTGTTACTTTAAGCTCTGTCCCTGTTGAATTCGGTCTTCTAATGTCAACCACGCCCAAAATTTCTTGTGGATCTTCAGCTTGTGTTTCATTTAAGCTATGCGTTTTATTCACAGGCCCACCACTCACAGAATTACACATGTAATATTTTACGCATTGGCAGCCCTTCTTTGTTGAGGTTTCGTTAAGATCAGATTTAGGAGTGAGAGATTCAGGGGTATTTTTTCGGTTAATCCAGTCATCCACTAGAGATGCGTCGGTTTCATCGTCAACATTTTTAGTGGCCCCAGTGGCTCCTTGATTAGTAATTCCTAAACTAATTTGAATTACAGATAAAGCTAACGCTAATGTAACGAAAACCCAAGTATATGTAATATCCATGTCAAAAAATACAAATTTTGCAAATAATTTGTCTCATAAGCTTCAAAAATTGGACAACTCACATTTCCATGATACATTTATTCTCCTTCTATGTTATAATTAGTTTGCATTACTTACTAATTATTTATACAATTAGCTCCCTCAATTTCCTATTTATTTATTTCCTTAATGTTGCTGCATCGGATCATTAAGATATTATGAAGATATGTATAGGATTGCATGAATGAACAAATTATATTCCAATTATCCGTAGTCCGCAGATGATGTATGCCGTAAGGTCACTTATAGATCATTAGTTCAATGACTTTATTTATTTGATAGTACAACGAAGATTAGTTGACAAATAAATAATCAGCTTATTTGCATATACATATGTGTATGATACATATATGTACATACAAATGCAGATATGATACATATGGAGCAGCATAATAAGCTAATCAATAAACAACGCATTTTATTGTGTTTATCTGATTGAAAAATAAAAGTTCAATTTCATTCCCTTGTTCGCAGTTCAACTGTAATAATTAACTTTACACAATGCAAGCAACCAATTTGTGTTAAATTTTTCCCTCAAATTTTAATTATTTGTTATTTCTTGAACTTTCAAAGTGCAAAATCATGGAGAGACTCGACTCAAAATCTATTATTGAGATTCTTGAAAAATTCGGAACTTCTGTAAAGGATTTAATTCAGAGCTTGAAAATTATTTCTGAGAATGGATTGGACGTCTTGATTGAGAATCACATGTCTGAAGTCTTCCTGATTTACACTCATTGTTACAATCTGCTGGCCCAATTGGAATGCTCTGATTTTGCGTCAGTGGACAACATTTTACAAGCCAGTCGATGTGAAGACGTTGTAACGGCTACGAATGCATATTTCAACACCATTGTAGATTGGGACAGATTTGTAGCGGATTTGGACAGGAAATATATTGAAGAATTACGAAAAACTGAAGTCCATGCAAGGCAGATACGAAATGATGCCAGCTTTGAACTTGAAGATTTGCTTGGTGGAGTGACAAATATGAAGGATATTTGCAAAAATAATCGATTCACTTGGGCCGTGTATATGAGAAAATTTGCCTGACTATCCTGATGTCATCACTTGATACAGTTGGAGTCTGTCAAGGTTGTTGTGCATATTTGTTGGTTTATTTATTTTAAAATATTGTATAGATATGTATAAATATATATTTTTATTATTTTTAATTATTCGTGAATGTAGCAAAAGCTGACAGAATCTGATTGTCAAGTGGTGATCATTGGGTACGGAAAAGTGGATTCAGCCAAATGTTGGAAAACCGATGTTGGGCATGCATTCAACTTTCCTGTGTACGTGGATATTGATAGAATTTCTTATGCAAAATTTAGCATGGACCGGTCGTTCTCGAAGGTTTGCAAATGCACGTACATATAACTTTATTCTACATATATTCAAATAGTTTCACTACAGATAGTCCCTAATTTGCTTCAGGTATGCCTCTCATCTGCCGTGTCCACATATGTAGAAGATTTTCTTTTGAAGAAAATCCCAAAGCCATTTGGGGATAATCATTATGAAGGAGACGATCCTCTACAGAATGGCGGCGACATAATTTTCGACCAAACTGGACAAGTAGTTTACAAACACTTGGGAGATGCTGCAAACCGGCCTAATATTAAAGATGTTATTGGAAAATTGAAGCCGACCAATATAAACTAATTACTTACACACTTCAAGATAATGAGAATAATATTGTATCAGTTTATATGAATGGAAAGTGGGAAAGTTGCAAATGCAAATCCAATTTTCAGGATTTTTTTATGCTGATAATAAAGTTTGAAGGTTGTAAGGAAAGGTTTCACATTTCTTCACTATATTTGTAATTTTTATTTAATTAAATTTATTACCAATTGGTAATAAGTATGCATATCGCTTGCATATGTATATGTATGATTAAAATCTTAATTCCATCTAATATGAAAACGTAGAGTAAAGATTTACTTGCTTTGCTGCTAACTAAATTGAGATTTTACCCCGATCCTGTATGTACACAAATAAGTACAATTATTTAATGTGTGTAGGGAACGATAATTTGTATTAAATTAATTAATTACCTGCTGAACATTAGTACAAAATCTTGCCAGACTTAATATTCGCTTGACTCGTAGCTCAGGTTGTCAGTAGGCATATTGCTGTATGGCCCATCATATTCATCATAAATTTCATCATCGTAATATTCATAAGACCTGTCGTAGTATTTCTGATCATAATAATCGTCTTCTTCATAATAATCGTCTTCTTCGTAGTAATTGTCCTCATAAAACGGATAATTGTGATCATCTTCGTACGATGAATGGTAATAGAAATCACCGTAATTTTGGCATTCATTGTTCTGAAAGGTGTTAACTTGCTCGGGTGAAAGTTGAGAATAAGTTTGCCTATCAGGCAGATCTGCTAGTGCAATTGAGAGCTTATTATCCTCAGCCACTGAAAGAGAACATGAGAGATGATCAGTTTTTAATAGTGTTTGATCTGATCTGCATTCATAAACCTACATTTGCTTATTTCTGACTTAGTATGACTAGAAGCATATTTTGAGAGAGGTAATATTAGGTCAGCTTTTTTAGACATGTCGTAACTTGGGGGTGAAACGGTAGTGTATTTCAAGCTTTCCGGTTTGTCGCCTGACCACTGAAATCCTTCATTTGACTCGCCATTATTGCCCCCCCCAGCCCTCATTTTCTTGTGAGATGTGGTGGTCACTCTTGTGATATTTGGTGAATGATCTTCCTCTGATTGCGTTCAGGAAAGTCTTATTCTTGAAACAAATGCACCAGTGCATGGCATGACACATGGTCGGGACAAGTACAAAGTTCGTCGAGTTTTCATGAATAGCTCCAACAGACATACACTTTCCAGGCCTGCCACGTTCTGTAAAATTTAACAATGGATCGGTTTCATTTGATGAGTCGACCCAGTCCCAGTTGAAACCAGAAGCTGAAGGTCCTTTAAATAACTTTGAAAATTTTCCTGAAGTTATAAACGACACTGCTTGTGAATAGAATTCTGGAAAATACAATCCATTACAATTACCGATTTTAATTTGATACTTTAAAATTTTTATTATTGGTGCTTACTATTATCAATAATAAACTTGGAAAGTAACTTGTATAAATCAGTGGTTTCTGTATCCCTTGAAAATTCCAGGTCTAATAATTTCATATCTTCATTTGTGCATTTCGTATAAGCATCTTTCCAGTTTTTCTGCGTGTGTATAATAATTATGGTTAATTGTTAGTTATCGTCGTGCAATTATGCATATTACAAAAAACAATGTACACCTGAATGCTACAGATGCGGTACTCTCTAGTTGTACTCTCACCCAAATACTTTAGCTCATCTTTGGTTTCTTTGTTCAGTTTGGCTGATATTATAAATATTCATATCTCATGCATACAAATACAAGTGAAAAGTTTAGAAATTATACTTACTTTCGTCGCTTTCATCGAAACATGGGGTTCCGTGCTTGAATTCACAGATGATGGAGTACTCCAAAGGAAAGTTGTGGTGTGGAACATTTGAGAAGATATGCCCGATATCAACCCCTAGCAAATTTGCTTTTCGTTTTTCACAAAATACTGCCATATAACCGTAATCACTAAGTTTCGACTAAAACAATGAATTTCATAATTTCAATAATTATGAAATTATATCAATCATTTTTATTGTATTAAAAAATACTTGAAAAGAATTTTCATCGAACAATTCCAGTAAGTCGAACATCTGAAATGAAGTGCGGGTTCCGTCGACGTCAAGCAACATGCTCTCATTAACTAACTTATATGATCCAATCAAATATATTACATTTGTTCTGTCACATTTTGGGTCCTTCTTTGCTACACAAATGAATTTTAAATTAATGAATAGTAGTATCCCAAATTTTAATAACTTATGATAAGTTAGACAATTAGAGTACCCAAGAAATCGTCGATTGCTCTGTAATCATGAACTGTCTTTATCATGGCAATGTCCATGCCATTGTTATCATACACTAAAAACACAATAGTTTCCTGAGCTTGATTATGCGTATGCATAATTTACAGGTTGTATAAATTATAAATTATAATTGTCCACCAACATTTTCTTCCATCGTCACTGGTAGCTTTTGCAAAATCGAAAACTTTAGTTCCAAAGACATATTTTGAGTTTGAATGAAACCGTTCAAAAATAGACGAGCTCAGATCATTTGAATTTGACTGGCAAGTCACACTTTCTAAAAAAATACAATATGAAATGAATATTCAGATAATTATGGGTATTATAAAACTGCATACCTAGTGATTTTTCGACCATTGAAAATAAGCATATTAAATGATAAGTTAACCACATTTTAAATAATTTTGATACATGTATGTATGCTTCGAATATTGAGATGGTCATCCAGCTTAAATAACCGTGTAAAAACTACATAAATGACCAAAAATTATTAAATGAAAATACTTAAGTTTAAAAGCGAGCACACTCATTATTTTGAGGACTTAATTTTAAAATACAAAGATCTCAGATCCAGGCGATATTGATATCGCTTAATAATGATTCTAATAATGTACGTATGTAATTGCGGTGTAGAAATTCTTCACGAATTCATATGCTAAACGATATATGCATGTACCAACCAAGTTCCGCATGTTATTCCACGAAATATATGTCGTAATTAGGTGCATTGTATTTTGCATGCATGACAATGCATAATGCATTTCTTATGCAGTACACATATTTATGTACATAGCTTCGATGTCATATTTGAACTATTTATTTTGGAATAAATAAATAAGACATAAAAGGCTAATGTTTTTCAGAAACGCTTCGTTGATGTGGGCGTTTTAGGGGTCTCGGCTTCCCGTTAAACCTTGGTTCGTTTTCGACTGACTCAGAATTTGATTCTGATTCGCCTGACTCAATTCCATTTTCCTGCCGAATGGGGTTGTGATATTCGTCTTCAGAATTTGCCAAATATCTTGTCGACCCTTTGTGTGAGCCAAATTTGTTGGGTGGGGGGAAACGTTGCTCACTTCTGACAGAAGACTTTGAGCTTCCAATTCGTTTGCCGAAGGAGCGACCTTTCTGAGCTTCTCCTGTCACGCCTTCCTCCTCGAAGCAAATGTACCAATGGATAAGATTGCAGAAAGCGGCAGAGATTGTGAAGACTTCTTTGTCATTGTACAAGGCTCCGATGGACATACATTTGCCCTGCTTACTGTGTTGAGTTTTGAAGTAATTAAAGTAAAAGTTATCAACGTTGCATTCTCTGCGGCTGTCAATCCACTCCCACTGGAAAGGGACAGACTCATCCCCTTGAAACATTTTAGTAAACGAGCCAGACAGAAAGAAAGATGTCGCAGAAGATAGAACATCTGAAATATTGTCACGGTATTGTAGGCAATTATTCTAGGTATTAGTAGCCCTGAGTTGATCAGGGAAAATACTTGCCATGCTTCTTGATGAATTCCGACATTAATTTGTACAATTCCTTGGCTTCCTCGGGTTCAGTAATTTCTAAATCAAGTAGGTGCATGGGATGCTCCTCTCCTTCTTTGCAATGAATTTCAGCGTCTTCAAACCGTTTCTTTTACAGTATATTTCATTTTAAATAACTATTTTAATTGATATTGTATCAATTAATTGATGAAATATTTATACCTGTCCTGATCCAGCCCAATATTTCCGCTTTTTTGTTTCCCCAAGTTTCCACAATTTATCCTCATGCTTTTCATTCTGTTGGGCTACAATGGTTAATTTGTATTACATGAATAAATATGTAAGTAAAAATATTGAACAAGTAGCAACAAAGATGGACCAACTTTCTCTGCTATTGGTATAGCATTCGGTATCGGCGTGGAACTGGCAAATTATCCCTGTAATAAATATTAAAAAATTACGTTGTTAGCTTTTTCTTTCATTTGTTTGATTCTTTGTTGGTACCACTTAATTTTTAAAATCTCTAAATCTGTAAAAATTAAATGTAGAATATTACCAAGATTGTAACGCCAACCGTGGGGCGTGTCCCGATAAGCGTGCCCATAAGTAGGCCCTTGCATATCGTCATCTTTTGTTACGCACATTAATACCACGTAATCTCTGTCCCACTTGGGGTCCACAGGAATCTTTCCTTTGAAAGGTTCGAACGCTAGGAACATTTGAAATTTTGTTGATTCTAAATCAGAATCCCACCACCAAGTGTCTCCTGGTTTTTGAGATGATCCGATTAACCAAACATGCTGATATTTTTGACAATCGGGGTACTTTTTCACTGTTTGTCAGAATCAATTAACATGTCAGGTTCCAGTTTTATTTTTTAATTATTATTTAACTGCATATACATAATTACGGGTATCAGTGAACTTACACATGTATTCATTTATTGATTTATAGTCATCTAGTGATTTGATGTCTGCTAACTGCATTCCCATATCCTCACAATCTGTATGTACATACTGATCAGTTTTACTATGAAAATATTCTAATCATGATCAATTTTCACATATTTAATTGAACATTTATAATAATGCAACAAACATTTTTTTGCTTCTTTAAAATCGCTAATCTTATCCGAGGTGTTAACAAATGCATTTTCTCTCACTCCATATTTGGAATCATCCGAAATCAGTTCAAAATTTTCAATTGTCGTCCCATGGAGTTTTTCATGATCCGGATGGCATTCCTTTTTAACTGAAGGAGAAATTAATATAGCAATTTAACATATATTTTACCTAATTTCCATTAAAGGAACGTCCTCACCTTGATAAGCTCCATTCACATTTGCCAAATTAAACAAATTGATGATCGCATAATACAACAGAGCTACACAATATGTTCTGCCACAAAAATTTGTATTTTTTAACATACTGTTGATGAAAAAAGGTCACAGTACAATGATGGACACAAGTCAATACCATACCTACTTAACTTACATATAGAATGTGTATCAACCACTTTTTGTCGACAGATATACTAAAAGTTGTTGATGTTTAGAATTATGCTTAGAAAGTACAATGGGGTTCCGGGTATCCAGTTCTTGGAACAAGGTTTATTACAGAAAACACAATAACAGCATATCGGATAAAGCACATTACGCCTTACAATCAATAGCTTTTTGAGATCACACAGTGTGGTTTCATTATCAATGTTACTTTAAAAATGTTTTGTAATCTACAGACGGTAAATGCTTTGTCTCGTCAATCTCGTAGGGCGAAGATGGTTTCCCAACGCCATTGACGATTCCTACTCATAAAAGCGATAAGAATAATAATATTTAATACTTTTGTTCAAAAAATTTTAAAATGAGAAACCTCCTAATTTCGTCGGAGCTGTGGAACTTGGATAGTTCTTAACTGCTACTGCTAGGAGAGAAGTAGAGAACATCAATTACTTTAATAATTAATATAATTAATATAATTATAAAGAAATATCTATTGTGAAATCCTACAACTCTTCATCGATTCCTTTGGACCGTTCAATCGGACATCAATATCTGTTTCAGCTTCAAATGGCTTTGTAGTTGTTGATATTGTTATTGTTGTGCCTGGAGCTACGAGCAAAATAAATGACAGATATAGATAAATATAGATAAATAGTATACAAAATATATACGATAAATAAATATGTATAAAGATAAATTTCGTTGCCTGATGTGGGTTTGGAAGCCTTTCTGATTGTGGAAAACATGCAGCTTTCTCCTGAAAAGAATCGTATATTTTACGTAACAAAATTTTCTCAGATATGTCATTTATAATTCATACCGAATAAGGGAATTAAAATAAGTATAGCGTAAACCAATACAATAAATTGAATTCGCATTGTTGTAATTTCTTAATTGTTAAATTGATGTATGTATATAAATTGTTATCGGAATCAAAAAATTCCTGGGTCAAAAATATGGGGTTTACATATACAGAGGTTTTTCTTAATATTTCGTCCAGACCAGACGAATTACATTGTGACACTAATTTAAAGCTCATTAGCATCTTAACAATATTTATTCTTAGACGTTCAATTACCATGATTGATTAGAGTTAATGATATGCAATAATTATATATACAATTATGCTGAGGATAATAGTCTCAAAATGAGATTCTCATTTCATCAGTTCTCTACAGCTCAATAATTTTATAATTTATACGAACATTTAAAGGATTAATAATCCAGGCAATATTTCTGTTGCACAGACTTTATGCTCTTTTAAATTAAGAGTTGTGCCAAAAACATGCCAAACAGTTATTGCATGCCATCGGTCACATATCCCAGTGCATCGATCCCGATATACATAATATATGTATATAAATACTTACATATGTATTTCAGCTACTGCGTAAAACAGGGTTACTCTAAGGCCAAAGAAACAAAGCAAAGTTTGCTCCAGCAGAATCTCTCATCTCGACATTCTCGACCTTCCATATAGCATCTTTGTTATTGTTGTTGTCAGGTGGAAAGGCGATGATGAAGTTCATATTAAAGCACATCTAGCATATTCCACATAATCGTACTTAACGTAAATAAATGCTCATGATCATTAACATTGCGAATAGAAAATAAAAGTGTTGTTGGAATAGTGTATGGTGGTTTCATGAAAAGCATTGGAGTATAGCCAAAAGAATCTTCGTATCAAAAATAATAACAAAGTTTTGGCTGCGATTTTAGTTTTGCGTCGGATTCATTAAAGGAAAAATAGATAGAACTCCTAAAGATTTATGTGAGTCATCTCATACAATAATTCTTATCTCATACAAAATTCCTCACCATAGGAACGAAATTTTTGTGGAGTGAAAGTAAAAGTACGTAATCCAGTGTCAAAATCTTTCTTTGTGGCTTGAGTGAGAATATCGAATATCTCATTTAATTTCGACTCAGTTTTCCTTTCGAGATTAATCTACCGACAAAGGGTCCCGTTTGATTTTTGAAGTTGTGGGTGGAAGTCAAAAGCGTGTGGAATCAAGCAAAATGAATCGTCCAGTCTTTGCGTCCTCCTCGGCTGGACCTATGGCCCTCGCCACCCTTCGTCTCATGGAACATGCCTCCCTCCGACCAAAAACTGCAGCGGCTGTAAGTAACCCTATAATTTTAATCTTCCGCATAATGACTGATTTGTAATTACACAGCTCCCTATTCTTGCATTGGGTGGCATTGGAGCCTTTGGAGTCATCAAGATGCTTCCTCCCAAGGACAATAAGGACAAGTCGCGGAAGAATCGACAACTCCTTCTTTGGGACTTTTTTGATCCTCAGGGACACCACCAGGTAGTGTATATAAAAGTATAGATAGAATTCAGTTGTTGTAAGATAGCTTATGCCATAATATGTGTTGATTTTATGTTATTTCAGATTCAATGGAATAACTAGACTGAGAAACCTGGAAAATAAAACCTCAGAATTGGAAACATTTTGGAAGCTCAAAATAAAAGCATGTCTTCAAGTTGAATTCTTATTTTGTAATCAAACGAATGTAAATAAGTCGAAATATGTATATACTACTTAGAACTGCTTAAATATTGAGATATTCCCTGTAAAAATTCACTGTATTATAGAAAAAATACTGCCGAGTACTGTACATTTGTATATCAAAAAATGTCTTTTCATTACTCGATCTTACTTCGATTTTTAGTAGAGTTTATTTAGTTTGTGCTGCACAAATTGTGCACACTTGTATGGTTTGAATTTGTACCGAGTGACATGAATTTAGTGTTGTATTTAGATTGCATTACTTACAAATATGAAATATTTAAGGTAGGACTATGAATGTAACTGATTTTATACTGTGATTGACAACATCAAATTGTTATTTCAGAATTTAGACTGGTATATTGCTCGAATAATCGGCAAATTAGTGTTTATCAATTCCTCGGCTTGTGAAAAGAATTGAAGGCTAATACAAATGAATATGGCTAAAGATGTTACAATTTATTGAATAACAATTTATAACCGGGAGGGCGCATAATATGTCATCATAAGTATATCAGTATTATGTATAAGTGTCTCTTGTATCTATACGAGACACTTGTTACTTTAGAGTTTTATTTAGGGTCATTTTCGCGAGCAGATTAATGTATTGTGCAAAACACGCAAAGGAGTTCGTTTGTATCATGTTTTTGTTTATTACTACATAATCAATTAATCGATACATCTCAAAGTGTTTGCTCTAAATTGTAAAGTAGGGTTGTATTGGGGATAGGTTATGAAAAAACTGTCATATTACATTATTTTCTACTTTGAACAAAATAACCAAGAAGCATACAGGGGAAAATCGGTCTCATACTTAAATATGTATCTTATTTAGTGATGCATACGACAGCCATACATAAGTACGCGTATGTATGTATGTATACATTAGTCCACCCAAGTTTGCGTGTCACCCAACTTTTACAAATGATGTTCTATCTGAACAGAACACTATAATGCATGCATGTCAAAGTTGTGTACAAGTTTCGAAACACTCGAACCAAGGAGTTTTTATGCACAATATGATATCCTGGAATTATCCAAGAAACCGGTGGACGGACACAGTTGCGAAATATACTGACGAAGCACAAGTTTCACGTCGCAGCATTTTATATTATTTTCTCATTCAATAAATTTTCATATATGAAAGATTAACAGTGATCTAACGCCATGAGTTATTTGAACTGGGCGAAACAAAATTCTGATCAATTGCCACAAATGACCTGCGAATTGGTTCTTGGAGAGCATGAACCGTCATCATACAAAGCTGGGGACACCATAAACGGTCATCTACTCCTCAATACATCCCAGCCATTCTACGTATACGGTACCACAAAATTGATAGTTTACAGCAGCAAAGTAATTAACGGTTAATATTATTGATTACTCAACAGCAATTAGGGTAGTCTTGGAAGGATACGCCATTGTGACGTCAGAGGGTGAAAAAGTCAAATCAAAACCTGACAATTTTCTGAAAATAGGCGTGGACGTTTTGGGTCAAGGTATATATTTAAATGCTACATATGTCATTTTCATGTTCCATTTTGTTCATGTAACTATTTCATCTTGTACAGGAAAAATACTTGCATGTGGAGAACATCATCTTTCTTTTGCCATAACAATTCACCCTCAGAACAAAGTGGGAGAATTGCCAGGAAGTATGCAAACTTCGCATGGTTTCATCACGTATAAATTGGTGGCTTATCTGAAGCAAGAGAACAAAAGTCATAGGCAGACTGAGAAATCAGTGAGTGTTCTTGGTTTTTTGAATCTTTCAGTCTTTGAACCTTCACTAATGACCCCGGTCGTATACGAGAAACTTCAAAAGTCTTCGTCCCTCAGCGTATTTCCCTCTGTCCTTTCCAAATCAAGGCTTAAAATTTCACTTCGATTAAGAAAATCTGGATTTCTGCCAGGGGAAAGTATCTTTTTCGAATTGAATATGAGTAATCCTGGAAATTATGAGATTGTTGCAAGTAGTGTGACACTTGTTCAGAAATTCACATACAATTCCGGAACTACTCAAAAAGTACAACTGTTTGAAATCAGAAGTATAGAAACGAAAGTGCTGCAAGGGTCAACTGCTTTATGGGCAGATTCAGTCATCATGGATGGATGTGATGGAATAGTTGTGTCACAAAGTGGGATAATTATTGAAATTTCGCACTTTCTTAAGGTGTGTATAAATCTACCTAATTTCAACCTATGGAGCTACTGATATATCCTCCATTATGTAATAACTAATGACCAATATTTTTGTTTGGCAGGTTCGTATCAAAACAAATGGCCCTGACGAACATTTTCTTATGGAAGTTCCCTTGAAAATAGGCAGCACTAAGCGAAATTAATAAACTCGAATCTTCATAAACTTTTTTTAAAATATCAACCATTTGTATTTCGGTAAAATATGCAATTTAACAATATTTTTTGATTATTTGATTCTTGAGATTATTCGAGTCTTTAACAAACTAATGTTATGCAGTTTGACATGCTACACAACCAACTTAATTCATAAGACACGTATCATGCATATTTGCATACGCATGCACAACCATATTAATAAGAGGCTCAATTACTAAAATTTAGACTTATTCAACAATAAATCTATTTAAACTCAATCAAGTTTCATATTAATTATCATATTAAGTCATAAGTATTTTATACGACAAGTGTTGTCTTAGGCAAAAGGTAAAAATTCATTGTTGTGAGTATCGAAGGTCGAGCAATTGCATGCAATATGGTGAGTTGGCAGTGAATATCAAAGTTAAAAACTAAATAATGGATGGATTGTTAAGAGATTAGAATTATGCAAATTATTCTTCTTTAAATTGCAGGAATTGTCCCGTTATGGATATATTGGTCCAAAACTGTCTTGCACTCCAGATCAGCTTCACATACTTTTCTCACGCTCGAATCTTCTGGAGAATCTTTGATGGCTTCAAGAATATGATGAATGTAGGTTGACTCATAATTGAAATTCCATTCCGTAGGAAGGTAATAACTGGGGAATGAAACATTGATCAAGACAATTATGACAAAGAATCCTAGGAGTAATCCAGCACATATTTTTTGCATCCTCATCTCCCATTCTTTCTTCTCAAAATTCTTTAGGACCAAAATCGATACTAGGAACCCAGTCACGGCTCCCCCGATGTGACCTAAATTAATTTTAAACTTTATTGTTTTGTAGCTAAATACTTATTTGTACGAACATGCATATTCATTATATCATCGTCGTTAAGTTTAACACTCTACTAAATACTTCTTGTTTCTTCCAACATTCATTAATTTTATGCAGGGTCATTATCCATGCTAGGAAATGGTAAAAGTCATTAATAAGGAGGATAGACTTTTACCACTTAAAAATATTTCACTCAAAATTTCAGTCAATAATCAACGATGACGTGAAGGAATATGCATGTTGTAAGTATGTAATATTTAAAAAGTTGCAAACTTTCTACGCAAGATAGGCAAATATATACAATAGGCAAGGGGAGAAAAAAACATTTTGCATGTTAACTGACCTGCATGGCTCGTCTGTATCAATCAATAAAAGATTTAATAAAGATTAGTAAATACGATTATTGGACTAATTAAATATGGAGAGAAATTCATACGTTGGTCTCTATCTTCAGTCCAAATTTCACATATGAATTGATGGCAATGTCATATCCGATATACAGTAAAAGCCAAAATAGGCGACAGCACTTCCTGTCCATTTCGGTCCAGTTTAAAATGATTGTCGACAAATGTGCGAAAAGCAACCCGTACACCCCAGCCGAGGCGCCCACGCCATACACTGTGGGTGACATGACCGTGATCAGCAACGAACCTCCCACAACAGACGCCATATAAATTATTGAGGTTCTCTTCCAATTATGTACCATTTCCAACAGGACGCCTAGAATTAGTTGAAATAGCACGTTCCCCCAAACGTGAGAAGTTGAGGAGTGAGCCAGCATTATCGTCTAAATTATTTAATTACAATTAATTTTTGAACGAGAGTTAGCATCGGACGCTACTAATGTTTGAACCAATTTTATTTTTACCACATATCTCCAAAGTTCATGCCGTCTGTAAGGGTCATATCCAAAGAGAAGGAGCAACGTATCGTCGCCATAATAGTAGAAAAGACCAAGCTGGATGGATTATAAAGTAAATCCATTCATTCATTATAATCAATGCCACTAAAAGTATAAAGAAAAAACGGGTATTTGCCTGGATTAATGAGATAGCAATCATATATATAGGAAAAAATTTTTTAAGAGGCGCAGCTTTAGGTTCTGGGATTATGACCGTAGTTTGGCCGTATGGAGTGGGTGTGGTTGGCGAGGGTGTGTGTCTCTGTTCCAGATCAATCACTTCGACTGCAGGGTCATGAATGGTGCTCAGTTGACGCTTTATGCTCCGTTTGTTCACGGGTAGAATCACATCTTCTGCTATCATTCCAAGCTTCTCAGAGTTTTGACGAACAAATTGACGCTAAATGTATCAAGTAAATTTATTTAAGCGCTTGATTTTAGAAACATATTCAGTTTTTGACGTAATTTTAGTTCTTACGAGATTGGAGTATGAATACGCGGCTGGGGCTGGGGAATTACCCCCCTGTCCCTGCCTTGAGTCCTCTTGCTCCATTTTTCTTAGTACACTATTTAAAATCTCACTAGAATATTTTCTCACTTAACGGATTTTATTCTCTACTCTTAAAATTATTCAACCCAATTTTTTTAACTTAAATTGTTGAATTGTGTTTATTAAAATATCGCGATCATAACAGTAGGTTTCCTGTTTTCACAACAAATTTGAATATCAGATTTGATTAGACAAATGCTTATTTATGTAGTCCGGTGCGTGAGTCTCTAGTTGCCGGAGGAAGGCGAACGCATGAATAAATGAGTCAGATTTACGGGTAAAAAGTTTAACAGACCTTATCTCCGGAAATATCTATCCATCCAATAACGCATAAAAGCTGTTGACAAATAAACCACTACACTACAGTCCTACATATTATGCATGGCAATACATACATACATATAAGCAGTTCCTAACTGAGTTATCTGTTTTTTTGGTTAAACACGGAATATGAAATCAGCTCCAAATATCACAGAACCACAGATAAAAGTTTTGTTAAAATATGCAATACAATTTCGATGAGATTGTTCAAACAACAAAAACTTACTAAAGATTGGATCGTTTGGTAACGCGAAGACACTTTGTGAAAATGCCAACCAAAAACTCTCGGTATATCTGAATGCCGAATGAGTGTAGTTACAATAAATATCAATGTAAAGAGTGTGGTTTTAAGTAATTATGATTCTATTATTTAATAACGATTGTGACACAATAAAATACCCAGGAAAATTACGTATAAGGAATACATAAATGCACCGGGTTATTTATATCTTCCTTAATTTTTTAACCCTACAATGTACATACACACCCGAATTTCGTTACGCGTAGAACTTTTAGTCGCCTATAAGGTTTTTCTGGTTCTTTGTACTGTCTGCCAGCACAAGATTACTGCTGACATAAACAACTTTTACTGCTCATAGGAACTATGGCTAACATAGCATAATAATCTCACTCACTCTTTCTAAGCAAGTAAAAGGAAAATGAGCTCTGCAACTCTCAAGGACTTTCAGGCACATTCGTAAGCTAACTTTCTTACTGAAACGATAAAAAACCGGATTGCAGTGCAAACATATAAGTAAATACATTTATGATACACCCTCTGGGTCTGGAACGTGAGAGAATGATTCATTTAGTTCATGCTCATATGGATTTCAGAGGCTTCGTGTCATACATTCACAATAAATACATGGACACAAATTGGTTGAGTTTCGTGTAGCGTGTAGCTTCCAGGATAAATCAGGACAAAAGAGAGTATAGCACAATAAGTACATCTGCACACACATATGCAAATGACAGGTAGAATGCTTTAACTTTACCAAGAACATCATACATACAATCACCACACTCGTACAAATGAAATGACGGCATAAGCAACACCGTGAGTTAGTAATCCAAATTGTGCTTATTACAAATATCTACATTGTAGCAAATGGTCGGGTAGTGGTAGCTTATTAACATTCATGCCACATATATGTAGATACAACAAAATGAAATATTTACATAAATTATGGCTGATGATTCCATAAGTTTTAAATGGTAAACAAGTATAAATATGTTTTTTGGGATCATAAGCCCCACTTAAAACAAACTGTCATCCGATTATAATTTTATGTCGCCATGAGATGTATGTATGATGCATCTCATGACGATGATATCTATTACTTTCTCATCTAGATGGTAGGGCACTTAATACTTTACACGTAAACATGTTCTCATGACTAATTCGTTTCGTGGATGACATGGTCGTTATTGAGTCATGAATGTGTTACACTATAAACATCCACATATGCATATATATCTTATAAGGCAGGGAATAGTAAAATCCGGTATACTGATATATTCTTTAAATAGTTCGCTTTGGGGGACATGGGGAAAAAGTTATGCGGAGGAATCACGTTACAACAATAATGAAAATTGTAAAACTTGTTCATTTTTCTTTTCCCCTACACATATTTCCGAGTCGGTTCTAATGCTTCTTATCGTATCTTCCTATTTCGAAAGGCTACCTAAACCTACCTGCTTGACATTCAACGATAACATGAGAAAAATGAAATGAGAAAAATAGAAGAACGAGCTTTTTTTAATAATCTTAAACATTTCGACAACAGTCTCAAATGTAAATCCAAAAATAGAATTTATATTTGCATACAATAATCATTATTACTTAGAAAAATTAGCTCATCTTCATTAGCACCTCTAATACTCTACGGATTCTTGATTAGTTTACTTTATTTTTTTCAAAATACAACATTGTTAATGGTGGTTTAGTTCGCCCATTAAATGATTTTCCTTTGTCAATCAGTAGCCGAGGAATTATAAATAACTTACTTTTTGGCAATATGAGTTACCATTCTGAACTGTTCGTTCATTCCCTGCATAACAGATTTCCTGAAAGAACTTGCACCTTAAATTAGAATGCAAATCTTATTGAACAAGTTTGCTATAAAATGGTTTCTATCAACAATACTGCTGTTATCACACACGCATTTGGTCAGTGGGAATACGAAAATAAGTGCAAGAAAAGCCAGTGGACCTGATGGAACTTCAACCTCGGAAGAAATTACAGAAGTTTGGTTTCATGGAGTGTACCCCGCAGTCTACGTAATTGGAATCGTAATTTGCGGCGGAATCTTGATTTGGATAGCTGTGAGAACCATCATATTCTACATGGCACATTATCCGTCTAGCTTTAGGGCGCTGGGTGATGGAACACTGGATTTTATTACGGCCAGAGTTTTGAAAGGTACAACAATTCAAAAAATGCAAAACAACAATGCAAAAAAAGTGTTTTGTCAAATTGAAAAATGCCAAAATCACGATTCAAATTTGCTATGTATCTACAAGCTAAATTTTATTTATATTTTCAGGAATAGCGGCTGAATTTTGAACATACTTGTGGAAAGTATAACACTATCCATCAATTATTATGATTTTATGGTGTTTTTGTATGCATGAATATTTATCATACAATAATTAACCTCAAAACCATGCAATAGGTTACTTTTCTCTTCACTAGGAGCAAAATTATTTAGACTTCAAAAATGTTGCAAAAACTAATTTTCTCTTGTTTAGTATTTTTCACATTTCTACACATCATTTTTTGCAGTAATCACGATTTCTCTACTGACAATTTAAATATTATTAACGACGGTCCAAGTAACGTTTGTGAAAATCAACCAACATCATGTATTTCCTACATCAAGTTATTCATTGGAGGATTTTGCGGATTTATTCTTCTCTACATATTTGTTCGCTTGGCATATTTTGGTAAAAGTCAGCTTGGATTCAAAAGAGATGGAGAAATTAGCAGTACCGACTATTTAAATATATTGATGGGTGAGTTATTTAACTATTTATTAATGCAAGCCACTATTAAAGAGTGATTAAATTGGCATATCAAATAATAATGTGTAGGTATAGACGATTGGATCAATGAATTGGGAGCGTAAGCAAACAAATAAAATGTCATTTTATTAAATATCTTTGAACTTTTATGTACAGATTATCACGCTATATTTTTGATTGTACATACATATTTACCATTTTGTATACATAAATAAATACTGTGTTTTGAAAGCGCTGAAGTTTATATTGTTCCAAGTGCACTAAATTCATAGGCTACACAGCCGTTCTTCCTGCTGCTGCTTGTGGTCCTGTTTCAAGTCGTCTCATAATATTTTCCAACTCCTCCGGACTGCGTCTCATCAGTTCGGAGGCAGTTTGGAAACTCTTTGGGTAAAACGGCATGTTTTTGTCCGAGCTAATCCAATCCTTGGCTTGAACGGGACTTTGCATCAAGACATGCTCCATCTCCAATCGGATGTCTTCGCAAAATTGGTCCAGTGGCAAGTCATTCGCCGCATAGCTGAACGGATTTTCAATTTCTTGACCAATCTCTAAAATTCCCAGCAACGCAAATCCAGCCAGAGCAACAATAGGCAGCGTATTCCACTCAAATCTGGACACAATTTGGATCGGTATTGCCAATGTGTAGATCCAAGTGATGTGAGTGAGATGGACAGAATATGCAATAGGAATCGGCGTTTTTCTGATTTTTTCAAACGTCGTTAGGCACCCAACAAGTTGAGAGAGATCTGTAATATCATGCCCAAGTTAAAAAATCATGTAATGAAAGTCCAGTTTAGTTTAATTGAATACATTTGTGCATGGCTGTGATGACAATGGCATCGCATTTCGGCTGGTCCCATGGCTGATTCTGGCAATACTTGATGTAGCTGGCAATGTAGTAGGAAATCTCCAAAGGTATGTTTGTGCAGTTGACGTCTCTTTGAGTGGTAATAACGTCGTCAAATGTCTCTTTATGAGAAATAGACACATTTCTTGGAGTAGCATGGGTTGTTGTAATATGAGACAAGAGATTGCTTAGATCTGCGTATTTGTAGCCATATTCCTCTCTCAAGTAATGCTTTGTAGCCACTGCAAAAGCCAGGACTAGATTTATTGCACTCTTCTTTTCTACAATGTTTTGAGAGTCGTGGGGGGTGACGCCAGTCCAGATTAAACGTGTCAAGTTGCGACTGTAGATTGTCATTTGGCACCAGAGCTCACTACCTTGAGAGTATCTACATAGTTGAGTCATAAAATATTCGTATATAATAATTAGATATTTTAGAACGTAATGAGGAACTGTTGAACCGACAGTAAAAATAGTGACAAACCTTTCATATGAAGTTTGCGTCCGAAATGCCAGTAAAAGACCTGTAACAACTCCCATAATATCGATTAAGATTGGCATTGGAAAATGAATGGGGAATTTATTGAGATGAATGAATATAATGCCTGTTGTGAAAAGAACAACAAGGGTCACTTGCCACCATATGTGTAAAATTACTGTTCCTCGAAGTCTAAATACTCTGGACCACATACTTGTACCGATTGAGTTGGTCATCTTATTTTGTCACCTTAATTCGGATTAATTTTTTTCAAATTCTTCATTCGGGCTGTCGTAGTTCGAATGGATCAGCCGCTACAGCAAGTAGAATACCTGCTACGACATTAATAAGTACGCACGTACGTACGTTAAGGACACATGCTTAGGTGCAAAACCGATAGATCCGGGATTCGGAGCATGGTATTTGGTATATGTATGTCAGTGTTTAGGTTGTCATACAGTATCCCTATAAAGTTTTAGTTATGCAGGACATAGTGAAATTTTTGGCACATCACTCTTGTTGGAATTGCATAGAATTTTTTAAACGTGTTAGAATTTATTTATAAAGAGTAATTAAAATAAGTAGGTACTAACTCGTAATCATAATTTATCATTTAAACTTCTAAGGATTCGCTGCTGGCGATGTCGATACTATCAAACAAATCAAGCAAATGTAATGCATATTACGAAATTAAATGAAACCATGTTATAATAAAACGCAAACTGGATCCACGAATAACACGGAATGAAGGGCAAGAGATGTCAATATCCAGCACGTTTTAGTACATACATACATACGTATGTACATTATTGTACATATCGGTTTCATGTGCTAGCCGGGCTGTCAGGCTAGCACAAGTCTGCAGTATAACCTTAATTGTCTTTGTCCTTGGAAGGCCATTATGTAGTCAGCACAAAACGGACATACAATCTCGTAATTGGATCCATTTTCTATATTGCAGATCCCAAGTAGACATCCTAAACATTTTTTGCGAATAGAACTACCAACCATCATCAGTTTGTTTAGTTGGTATTCTACCATTAATATTCACATAAATCCGTTTATTACATTTGTACACGTATGATAGATATTTTGATGAGCATGATGTACTTCTCGTCGAGTTTTGGGTGCAATTCAATGTACGACAGAAGTCTCCTAGCACAATACACACAATACACACAATACATACAGCGGTGTTGTTGAGATGCTAAGCCAAATCATGAAGATGCAAAAAATATGCCAAAATCAGGATAAAGGTAGTAAACAATTACGTCATATCGATTATATAACAAGAGTCTGAAGATAAACTCGCCTCTTAAACTGGTGAAGTCTAATCCTAAGCAAGTATGAGTTATTTACTCCAGTTCTTTTACTTATATAGAGCAACCAACTCTCCGGTCTCGTAGAATTTATAACCGAGCCGAGCAGATGTGTGAAAGTTTGAAAGAGCCGAGCACTATGTGCATACATAACTATATACACAATCTGCACTCGTCGCTCTGCAACCCAATATTTTAGTGTGTGCAATTCTGCGAAAGAGTTGGCATAAACACAGAATCTCAAATAAACATGTCTTTTCATTAAGTTTTCACTAAATACTCATCTCATTTATACTCATCGAGGAAGAAAAGTGGCTGGAGAAAGTTGTGCTACGAGTTACACAATCTAAGGATACCTGCATTCGCACTTGGCACTCTGATCTGAAATAGAGCTTGTTCTCGCATTTGTACATATGTATTATTGAAGAATTTAGTCTAGATGATATATAATCACAGTTAAACAAAGGAGTCAGCTACAAGTATACAACGTGTAGAATATGGCGTTTAAAGGATTCTTCAAAACGATCAAGGACGAAGTAAAGAATGAAATTGGTCGCCAAATTGACAGGACTGTGAACAAAAAGGGTGGTGGTGTTGAGGATGGTGAGAATGGTGAAAATAGTGGAAAGGTAATTTGCAAACAGTGATAATGGCCAATATGTGGGTGAAATATATAGCACCACACAAACATTGATTATCATATGTCATTAGTGCGCATGATGCATGCGTTGCATATTATCATTTATCATGAATACCCGTATTTTACAGGTGGACATGTCACTCATTGAAGGGGTCTTGGGTCTATTAGGCGGTGGAGGTGGGAGTGGTAAATCTGGTTTGGAAAATCTTGGCAATATCATCAACGCTATTCAAGGTCAAACTGGGGGATTTCTTCCCGGAAGTGTTGGTAAATATCTGCCGGGCATATTGAAAGTTGCGGAAATCATTGGACACGGAATGGGAGACGATACGCCAAGGCAAATTAACATATTCTTGTTTATAACTATAGCCATAAATGTGTAAATTTGGCTTCTCCCCTACAGAAACGAGCAAAATGCAGATGGAAGTTTTGTTGACAACTTTATCAAGACCATTGTTGGAGGCAGGAAAATTCATGGAGGAAAATCAAGTTTTAAAGTGAAGCCAGTTGAGAGGGTGAGTAAATAATTCGTATTAGAGACAAAGTTGATTGAGATTTTTGTTCACCAGTTAGAAAATATTTAATATGGAGCACAATCTAATTGTTTTCGTTCTACCTTTATCAAACCATCAGGGTGCCGACAATCTGTTTCATTCGCCATTGCGAACAGGACGGGTAAATATTACATTCTGCTAATATTAATAACTGTTTGGTGTTTTGTGATTGATTAGGAGTGTGACGCTGACTCTAAGACTGTTGCGTAGTATTATTTATCAGAGATATTATTTTTTCACTGCTTATCAATATATGAGGCCTCGCTCCAGTTTGGCAATAACACGAATTTCTGGAACATTCAGCATCTAGCGATTAATGGAAATTGATGTTTATTTCACGTGGGAGCATGACTCCTGCCCAAAATATTGCATGCAAACATCTTCCAAGTTTTCCTATGTACATGTGTATGTATTTACTTTTACATATATTCGGTTTGATGGTAACAATGAGAGTTTGCATATGAGCAATGATCACGAACTTTATAAATAACCTTCAACGCACGGGACAACTGGAAAATCATTTCATCTATTTATTACCCGAATGAGCTCATTTCTATTTGCATAATTAAAAAAATATTATCACTTTTATCAAACTTGTTCAAATGCCCAAGGAAATAATTCAGGAGGGTTCATGAAGATTTTGTATTTACACTTCTTACAAGGGAACCTTAAGTACTGTCACATCTCGATTTCCTTTCGGATGGTCTTAATTGATAGATAATTTAGTGTAACCAAAACTTTGTCATAGAACATGGGGTGCAAAATCACGTTTTTGCGAAATATTTGGCGAAAGGTGCACCAAAAAATACTCGAGATTTAAAAATATTCGAGATTTTAAGCCTTTTGGAAAACTGGAAAAATTTTCTATTGCATGTATATACGACCGTCGTAGGCAAAGGAAGGAAAAGGCTTAAAATCGTAAATGGCAAATCGCAAATAGTAGGAAAAGGCTTAAAATCTCGAAGTATGGAAATGTTATTTTGTTGAATATGTTAAAAACTGACTATATAAAATTTTGAAAATTTTGTGCAACTTGCAAAAATAATCATAGCAAACAAATTTGAAAAATATTTAAGTAAAATAGACTAGCATTGGTCATGATATCGTTTTTCATGCAAACTGTGAATTTCAATTTTTGAAATTTTCGCCCAGTTAAATAGTTGAATTGAGAAAAAAATTATTTTTGAAAACTTTTTTGCCATGCTTAGAAGAAGTTTAACATTTCAATTTTATTGACATTTCTAAAAAGCGATAAAATTCAAATTTAGAACAGTTTGCAGATTTTTGCAATTTGAAAAAAAATTGGCAAATGTTTGCATCGTTTTCTGCATATTGGTGATCAGCATGAAATTCCGGACAGACATATAATTTATAAACTTCATTTCATTATTCCGAAGGCTGTTATCTATGTTAAAAGCATTGGAAAAATTACACGTTTTGGTGCACCTTTCGCCAAATATTTCGCAAAAACGTGATTTTGCACCCCATGTTCTATGACAAAGTTTTGGTTACACTAAATTATCTATCAATTAACCTTTAGGATCCCATTTATAAAATGTTGTCAAGAAAAATCGTATCACTAAGTCCCTAATTAATTTCCAATTAAATATCCTTCAGGCCCGAATAATTGTCAGTAAATTGTCTTCACGCACCCAAGCTGATGAATCTTTTCCGACCACACGGACCCGAATTTTATTTTCAAGAAAAAACCAACAGAATATGTTCGTATTATCACATGCAACGATATTTAAGAAAAACTACTACGATTCATGAGTAAACATAATTATGAAAAATATTTAATTTAAATGGGTGGCAAAGATGATTCGTCCGAAAATTGAGCACCAGTGAGCAGATTTCCATCTTCACCAAATACTACGATTTCATGATTAGGACTTACAATAAATTGAACTGCATTTGGGCCCAGAGTATCAATGTCTTCGGGAAGTCGTGGTTGCGATATTTGAGTGTGGGGCTGACTCTGCGTATTTTGTGGAGTGGTTGAGATTTTCTACAATGTAGCAAAAATTATTATTGGTATTATCGTCATTACCATTATACAATTATGGAAATTACCTTCAGCTTTTTATCAGTGTGATACCGCTTGAAACAAGAGTCACCTCCTTGAATACAAAGCCGAACCTTGCAAATCTCACAGCTGAAAGGGGTCGTCTTGCGTTTCGGAGAGTATTCAGCGTGGTGCTTGCAATAAATGCAGTCAGAGTACGATGGCGTTCCATTTTTATCTAAGTGTTTGACAGCAATATGGTGACAAGGTTTCAATCGAACTGGAAAGGCTGGATTTTCAGTTCGTGGTACTGTTGGAGGTCTTCTAATTGGTTTCTTGAGGGTTGGATATTTTTCTTGAATTTCTCTGACTATCTTCATGACAAAATCTTTGTAGGGTACAGCTCTCTGGTCAGCATGCAAGTGGTTGTACAGTATCATACTGTTGTAGGTAGCTACATCGATCATATTAAACACCACTTTCTTATACCATTTGTACGATTTCCGAACGGACTGATAGGGCTTGATACTCTTGTCAACATTGTCGACAGCTCCCATGATTGAGTTGTAAAGTAGCACCGTTGCTGGTTTCTCCCTGGTGTTCCTCGGATTGGACGACTCTGCAATGCGCATGGAATGGGGGACAAAAGTGTTCAACATGCATACCTCCCTCCTGTCACTCCAGCTATTTACATAGTTATTCTTATAATTGGGGTATTATTATTCTTGGGTAATGCATAAACTTGTAGCGTACCGTTCAATCAAAATTTCATCATCACAATAGGTTTCAACACGTCCTTTGGCCAGTTTCCCCCTCATCTTCGGCATCCCTTTCCGACGTCGCTGTACTGTGCCCAGCACATAAGTCTTTTCGGCGAGCATTATTTTGGCTAATTTCGGTCCCAGAAACCAATTGTCCAAAACGACACGATGAGCCTTGTTTAGATAACCTTGCAGTAGAGTGAGTACTGTTGCGCCACCAAATCCGAGATCCTTCACCCAGGTCCGATCAGCTAGAGGAGTAGATTTCCCTTGGTATGGCAAGATATTCAGGACGAACTTGAGGGCACAATCGCACAAGACGAACATTTTGATCCCGAACCGACCTCGCTTCTTAGGATTATACTGGCGGAATGACAATCGTCCTTTGTAGGCAAGAAGAGTCTCATCAATGCAAATATTTTTGCCTGGTAATATTGCACTGGAGAAATTGCCCAAAATATCGTGCATGAAGCTGCCCAATTTGCAAAAACGATCTCTTCCTGTGTAATTCTCATTGTTTGAAAAATGTAAAGCTCTCAGGATGCCTTGAAATCTGTAAAGTTGAATTTATGCATGCATTTTATGTATGTACATATGTACCATTATTTATCTCATGCTACCCTATCATACCGATTTCGAGACATAACGGTTGCAAAGAACGGAGTTTGAATCAACTCATCGGTACTCCAATATTCTCGAATGGACGGCTTCTTCACCAGCCCCATCATGAAAGTAATCGCTAAGAATTGCCAAATCTGCGCCAAATCGACCGGTTTCCAATCCGTGTATGAAGCAGGGTGCCTTGTCTAATCCTGTTCTGCGTACCGGTTCGTCTCTCGCACCATATCCCCAATGATTCCGTCAGTGAGGAATTTCTGCAGCATTTGTAGAGGGGACGTCCTTCTTGAAACGCCAAATTCCGGGCGGATTTTGTCTTCGGACTCGTCAAAATCTTCAACGACAGGGGCGAACAGCTCATTTTCCCTGAACTAGATCATACAATGTAAGTATGAGGATATATATCATAAAATTGGAATATTAGGACTTACGGTGGGGTCGCGATTCGCAGTGCCATCCAACGAATCTGAATCGTCCTCGGAATCCCTTTGTGTTGCACTGTCGCTATCCTCCTCCTCAGACCCCGAATCATGAAAATGCTCTTCTGAATCGCTTTCTGCACCGTATACAATATATGTATATGCACATACATATATGATATTTAAATATATATGAATTTGTTCAAAATTACCGTCTGACATCTTGGAATTGGCAAAATTGACCTGCAAAATCACTTTTCGTAGTCGCAAAATATTTTTTTTTTTAAATACACGTATTTGTGTATCTGGGATTCAACGGATTTTGTCGTGTGTCCATGACATTCGTGTATCTGGGACACACGACCAAATTTCAAAATTCCATGACATTCATGGAGTTGGGATTTGGGGGATTTTTTACAATTCCATGACACTTGTGTACATGGGATTTAAGTGGAAAATTTATTATTAACATAAACATTGATAAACTATGAAATACACTTAGTTGGCTAGTAGTGGAAAATTAATAAATTCCATGACATTCGTGGACTGGGATCCTAAAGGTTAAGACCATCCGAAAGGAAATCGAGATGTGACAGTACTTAAGGTTCCCTTGTTAGACAGATGAATTATTTTTCTTAGGTGAAGCACATGAAAAGGGTGTCATACTTATTGCCAACGATAAATAGCCAAAAACTCACCCAAGTATGCAAAAATTCAGCAAAATCACTTCACATAAGAATTTTAGGAGTCATTTTGCTATTTATAGAATTTTAGTCAAAAGTCAGCATACATATTCTTAAAGCTAAATACTTCTTGTTGACCTTGTAATGATAATTGAACATTTGGCCGGTGAAACATTTTGGCTGGCAGGAGCAAATAATTCTAAAAGCCGATTGTGATGCATGAGAATGGATATGTACATAGATGTAAATAGTTTTGTATGTATTGGTCATTATTAAACTAGTGTTATATAATGCTGTTTTAGCATGGGGAACCTCGGGGTGCAGAGGCTGTGCAAGATTATGAGAAACTGAAAAGTAAATGCTTAGAACGGGGTGTATTATTCGAAGATTCAGAATTTCCAGCTGAAGATGCCAGCGTTTTCTTTACGCGAAGTGGTCGAAGGAATTTCCAATGGCTTAGACCTCATGTGAGAGTCAAAAAAATTATGACATTAAGATATGCATTATGATACTTTTAAAAATTAAATATAATTCCTACAGTTTTTTTTGGATGGTTAGGAAATATGTTCTGACCCAAAATTCTTTGTCGAAGGGGCAACTAGATTTGACGTGAAGCAAGGTGAACTTGGGGTTAGTGCGATTTTTATTATTCGTGTTAGGTAAGACTTATATTGGTCGGAAATTGTTCTACTAGGATTGCTGGTTGCTTGCAGCAGTAGCAAATTTAACACTGAATCCAGCCTTGTTTCATCAAATTGTCCCTGAAGATAATTCATTTATTAATGACTATGCTGGAATTTTCCACTTTAGGTAATTACGAATTTGAATTAGTGTCATTTTGATGTAAAAAATGTGTACTTATGTATTTGGCACATACTCGTACATGTATATATATGTAATTACTTATTATGCTGTGATTATGATAGATTTTGGCAGTATGGACGATGGGTAGATGTCGTCGTAGATGATCGTTTGCCAACCTTTGGGGGTAAATTAATGTTCATGCACTCTGAGGAGAGAAATGAGATGTGGAGTGCATTGTTCGAGAAAGCATATGCCAAGTGAGTGTGCATATCCATTATTGTGCTTGTGGAATATTTTCGATAACTAACCTTCAAATTTTTCATAGATTGCACGGTTCTTACGAAGCATTGAAAGGGGGTACGACATGTGAAGCACTCGAAGGTAAGTTTCTTCTAAAGTCTGACGAGGCTAGCATACGGCAAAGTTGATCAAAATCTTTACTTCATCAGTAAATGCAAACTTTAAACTAATTTTTCTGGTCTGATGTGAAGATTTCACAGGGGGCGTGACGGAAATGTACGATATTAGAACTGCGCCTAAAAACCTATTTCAGATGATTTTGAAAGCGTATGAAAGGAGCAGTTTTCTGGGTTGTTCTATTGAGGTGCTTGCAACAACTATTTTTGGAAAAATTAAAGCTTTTTGTAATGCAAGACGTTCTGATTTCGAAACAGCCCGATCCAAACGTTGTTGAAGCGGAGACACCGATGGGCCTTATTCGTGGGCATGTTAGTTAACTGAATTATGTAGTAGATGAGTTTGTAGTTATGTATGTACTAATCTACAACATGGTTTCAGGCATATTCTATAACTGACGTAAAATTGGTGGACATTGAAACGCCCAGAGTAAAAGGGAAAATTCCATTGTTACGAATTCGAAATCCTTGGGGAAATGAAGCCGAGTGGAAAGGGGCGTGGTCAGACGGGTATGAATACATGATGTTCAGTTTGTAATAAAGATGTGTAGTATCGGTATTTCAAGACCCATTTTATTACACTTCATTCTCTTCTCGTCGAAAGTTCACCCGAATGGTCGTACATCAATGACGACACAAAAGAAGAAATAGGTCTAACTTTCGACGCCGATGGCGAATTTTGGATGTCGTTTAAGGATTTTCAGACCTACTTTGACCGTCTTGAAATTTGCAATTTGAGTCCCGATGACCTGGCTGTAGATGACCTGCCAGGAAAGAAAAAATGGAATATGAACGTATATGAAGGAGCGTGGATTCGTGGAGGTACATAAATATACATACGTTCATAAGAAGTACATGTATAAGTATATTTTATGTATTACATCTGTCCACAGCCACTGCTGGTGGTTGCCGAAACTATTTGGGTACCATTTAGATACATACTAATATTTCGAACATGAATTATAAACCGTAATCTCACGAAGAATCGTTAATAATTCATTATAGAAACATTTGCGCATAATCCTCAATATATTATTGACCTGGAGGACCCTGATGAAGATGACGACGAATCAAAGTGCACTGTAATTGTTGCATTAATGCAGAAAAATCGCAGAGCACAACGCAAGCTGGGGATGGATTGTCTAACAATCGGTTTCGCAATTTATAGTGTAAATTTTTTATGATGTCATTTTGCAACTGTTCAATCATTTTTTACATAAATCAATTTTTTAACACAGTTAACAGGCGATAATATTCAGTCTCCACTTCCTGTCAAGTTTTTTAAATACAACGCCAGTATTGCTCGGTCACCTACATTTATTAATCTGCGTGAGGTGTGTAGTAGATTTAAACTAGATCCAGGAAAATACGTGGTCGTGCCGTCGACTTTTGAACCAAATGAGGTATCATTTTAAGTTTTTTTCTTGCATCCAATTTTTGAAATTTTAATTATGGAAAATAGGAAGGAGAATTTATTATCCGTGTCTTCTCGGAAGGGCCAAATTCAATGACGTAATGCTTTTTATTCATTCTAGCAATGTGAAATTCAATTATCTTACTGAAATTGATTTCATTTGTTAGAGAAAATGACAGCGACGTTGGAATCGGGGAAATCGATGATAAGGTAAAGCTTATCAATTTCCTTGTCCATGGGGAATAAATTAAACTTAAAACGCATAAATATACATACTAATAATTGCGTAATATACATACATATGTATGAAATGTTTTGATTTGAAGATTTTGATACAAATTACATTGATAGATTTGCATGTGCATGATTGAACGTAGTAATAATAACCATTAAACCTAATTTGAACCTGTAAAATTGCTTGTATTTAACCCTTTAAGTATATTTTTGCCGTATGTAGATTAAAGGTGCTGGTGACTCCTCTGGAAATGCAGATGATGGTTTTAGTAATAGTGGTGGTAGCGACAAGGTAGAAAAAGTAGCAAAGAAATTTTACGTTTTCTCTCTTCTTACTTTCCCTTTAGCTTAGTTCTAAATTTGTTTTCTGGGCGTCCGGTCAATTTAGTACAGTCAATTTGGTCTTTTACGATCGTGGTATAACTAATCCCATGGCAGGCAATTCATTTTTTGCAAAAATTAACAATTTGTGATAAGCTTACAATTGTATAAATGCTTAATTTCCTTAATGAGTTTAGTTAATTGAAATAATTTTAATTAAGACCAAATTTACCATACCAATCTGGTCAAACCAAATTGACTACCAAATTGACCTATGTGGCACCAATTTTCTGTGTATTGTCGTCTTGTGGCCTTAGATGAAAGGAACTTGGGTGTTAATGCTATTCATTGTTCAGAATACTCAATAATCCTGTCACATAACGTACACAATGATTTTTTGTTAAGCTTATAGCTTACAAATGTCTTATGCATAGCATGACTTCTTGCTATGCATATAAACTATTTCCTTCGGCAACTCGCTTTATTGGATTATTGATTAGTCAACACAACAAAAACGCGAGCAAAACACCTCTAGTAAATGAGTAAGGAAAAATTCTTTAACCAATAAAGAGTTGCGTTTACTTATTGAAGAAGGGAAAGTATTTTATTTTTTGGTTTGAATTTTAGTTGAAGAATTTTACAATTTTTCCAAAATGAACGGTGAAAGTGGTAAAAGCAAGACAACGACTCGTGGTTGTGGTATCGACGCCTTGCTGATAAGATTACTTGCTCGTGGAGTTGTGCTTGCACTACAAAATAAATCAGCAATGCCATCTATTTGTGCTGGTGATAAAGCAATCCCCGTCGATAATCCGCACACAAGTTCGAATTCTGATAATAAAGCAGCACTCGTTGGTCAGAACCCAACAAGAGATGTGCTACGGAAAAAATGCAAAATATTACTTTCAGATGCTTTGGTTGATTATGATGTAAATTTTTATATACATTTATTAACTTATTAACTACTCGCAAGCATGTTAGTGTGTACATGACCATGCAATGCTACATACTTGGATTTGCATATGCGCTTTAATTATTCATCAGTGTAATGTCTATGAACATGTATTTGCACTTTTCAAGAACTATACTTTCTCTACATGGATTTATACATCTTGTTAATTTGTGTGATTATGTGGATAATTATTGAATAAGACGCTTTTCTGCAGGTGAAGGAGACAGAGCCGGAAGAAGCTGAGGCAGCTGAAAGAGTTCAACAATTTTTCAAAACCGTTGCTGGCGATGACATGGGAATTGACTGGTCTGAACTGAAAGAGGTTTTGGATCTAGCCTTAAAACGAGGTACGAGAATGATAAATTACTGCATATCAGGTCTTTGATCACTTTTATTTTCCTTTTATGGTGATTTTACGAATGTAGCCATATTTTTTCATGAAATAAGTTTGGATGATTTTGTGTCCTATGGTTTTTCCCTATATACAAAAACTCTGCCCTCCACGAATATATACTTATCGGTTGTCTCTTGTATAAGAAAATAATTTTGATTTTCTTCGAATTTATCTCTACCCGTGACTGGTGTCGAAATTTTTTTTTCTGCCGTGTTTGATGACGCAATCAAATCATTACAAATTTGATGCTCTTTCGATAGATCTTGGTAAGAGTGCCAGAAAATTTCTAATGACGCTGTTGGGACTTGAAACTAATCCTCGCACAGTTGACAGTATAAATTGGTAGCGGGTCTCACTTATTTTTAATGGCAATTTTCACACGCTGGTTCGGTATTGAGTACTTACATAAAAGCTGTATTAAAATGCACTCTCTGTATGTGGTGGCGTTAATTCTCTTAAATTCAACTATATAAATTGACATTTCTAATCGATATTATCAATAGTGGTTAGTTAGTCACATTCTTTTTGTAAATGGTGGTGAAGGGTATTTTTGGTATTTTTGTAGTAGCTTTAATATTCGCTACTCAACCAATGCTTGTATGCAATTTTTCCTTTGTATTTACTTCATTGAGTATTTTAAATTGACGTGCAATGCGCAAAAGTTATAAAATTAATTTTTTGCACAATACTTACAGAGTTTGCCTTTGAGGGATTCAGCAGAGAAGTGTGTCGTTCTATGGTGGCAATGATGGTAATAGGAAATATATGAATGCATTAATATCTTTTCTGCTTGTTTTATGAATATATGTATGTATTTACATAAGATGTTCTTATAGGATATTGACCGTTCAGGAAAACTCGGCTTGGATGAATTTGTATCTTTGTGGAAATCAATACGGTATATTTTTGCAGTAATATCTTTTTTCAAAATTATTTATTCATTGTGTTATGCACTATTTTTTTCAGGACTTGGAAGGTTTGTTTTTAAACAGAATTATAAAGATATGGAATTGAGATTGGAAAATTGTTATATGTTGTTTTTATAGAGTGTTTTCAAAATCTATGACCATGATAACTCAGGTCACTTATCATCATTTGAACTTCGTCAAGCCTTAACATCTGCTGGGTATCATGTTAATAACAAAGTACTTGAATCCCTTGTCCTTCGATATGGAGACCCTCAGGGACAGGTTATGTTTGACGACTTCATCATGTGTGCCGTTAAACTAAAGTGCATGATTGGTAAGCTTTCTACTATTTAAATAAAATAAATATTGCGTAAATATATATCACGTCATATATTGTGCATATAATTTTCAGAAATATATCGTGAAAAAGAGGTTGCAGGGGACCGAAGCGTAAATTTTACCTTGGAGGAGTGGGTGGAAAAAACTCTGTACTCTTAAATTGTCATTTCACGTCCTGAGAGTAGGACTATTAATTGTTACATCCTTCCACACTACACAAAGTGCACATATGCATCGGTATGTTGGATAAATAGATCCATGCGTTATTGACTATTAGGACAATTGATGTCAGCCAAATGCATAATCTTGCCTATATAAACTCCTCATCTGTTCCTACATAGTTTATCAAATTAAAATACCTCTCATCGTGTCATACAAAATGCCTTTTTAGTAGCCGATATACGTTAAATAAAGTTTACGTTTGCCATATTTATTATGTGAGCTACTACATTTAAATACTATAAAAAACAAGTAAATTAAGTATACAAGAACATTATGAATCTTTTATTTACAAATACTATTTAAATTAAGATCGTCGATAATTTACAACGGCTGGCCTATTAACGCTTAACCATGGAATATAGGCAGTGGCAGGTCTGGTCCGCAAATTACTCCAGTTGTCATAATCGTACGTAACTGGTCCCCCGTCATAATATAAACGGAGTGTGCAGAATAGACAAGAAATAAGCATGCAACACGTGAGATCCGATCTTGTCTCCCAATTCAAGTTGTTCTGAATTGTCAGTACAAGATAATTAATTATTAAATTCGTTAAATAGCATTGTAGCTGGTTAATTAATGTGTGTAAAAATGCTTACATATATAAACGACCCAGCTAACGCTAACGCTTTCATTTCCACCGGACAATTTTTTGCAAAACGAACGGTGAACAGGAACGAAGAATCTTCTGACGTTATTCCACTCCAGGGTCTTGCAGTTGCATATCTAAAAGACGTGTCTGGTTAAAATTAAATGACCATTTTGCGTAATTATATAACCATTATATCTCAATTGAGAATAGCAATATCGTCCTACTTTCGACCCTCCTTGTCAGCCATAATCATGGCACCCTCGGTGTCTGGGTCTGTTTTACATCCACAGTACAACATCAATGAGTCCATGCACCTGCACTTTGACTGCAATTGGGGACACATGACATGACAAAAAATGGCGTCAGGTTAATATTTGGAACGGGGTTGATTTTGCTAAAATTTGAACCATATATTTGAGTACCTGGAATTGGACCACAGCAGCGTCCGCTAAATCAGCCCCAGTTTGAGGAACTCCTGGGTGAATTTGAAGCCACTGGGTCATAAAACAGTGACCAAATTCCACCAAACTGCCAATCACGGCATCATCAGGTGTTTTTATCAATAGTCGCTAGAGAATTGTCAAATTTTCAACAGGTTTTCATATTTCGCAACATTGCTAATTATACCCACCTTCACTATACCCTGATGACAGCAGCATTCTTTTGAATAGCGGAGAAGCCAACAATTTTCGAGATGACCAGAAACTATTCTTAAAGCAAGTTCGCCATCCAATCCAAAAATTGCCAAATTAAACGGTTGACGAAAACAGCTCATGCAACATATGCAGTTCAATAATGCAGTTTTCGGAGGTGTATATTCTACAGCGTAGTATTTTGGCAACATGTCCTCTCCTGAACAAAAAATAACAAGATTCATATATGTATTTCATCATTGTGTAACGGTTTTTAACTGCATTAATCTAAATGCTCCTTAGTACTAATGTGTGTACCTCCACACAAGGCAAATGTTCGTGGACGCATCCTTGCATTTTGATCAACCTCCTTTGCGAATTCGATGGCTTTGATAATAGACAAATGCACGAAAAATAACTTATTTGAAACAAATAATACGCAATATAAATACAATAAATGAAGTCAATAAATCAAAGTATTACCAACGGGAACATCAGGCAAAGCTCTCACGCATAGCATATTCAAACTGTCCAGAAGGTTCATAATATGTCCGCTTTTATTTCTAAACTTGTAGTTGAGCATTCGTCTGACTAAAAAATCCTCAAATATAATTAACCGTGTATAACCTGCATGTTTTAAATATACAAGTAGGAAAAGTCAATTGCTTAATTACACGTTATACAGAAATCTGGGCCTAAACTTTCTGGTTCAAAATCAGCAAATCCTTCATGGTCTAGTGGAGGACAGGTCAATGTTCGGTGGAATTGATCCGCGTCTCCGCCATAATAGCATTTATCCTCCCTCGAACGTTTCTTCAATGCATTTCCCCCCGATGAATTTGCATTTGAACTTCTTGGTTGATTCACTACGACATTGGGGGTATTGAATTCTTGTATAAAATCATCATGTGGATGACCCTTGCCATTCCGACCATCCGCTTTGACAGTTATAGGTTGACTATGCTTATTAGTTATCGGGTTCTGTTGACTGCTCAAGGCTGCAGTATTCAATTCGCCTGGTTTCAGAGCATCTTTCAATATTTCAGTCTTGTCAATCGTTTTCGTATTTAACCTTCTTATAGGATGAGAAACTCCAGTATTGTTCTCTGACGAAAGGACTTGGGGTTTTCCGAACTTGTGAACTTCAGGAAATGTGGGCTGTAATTTGCTTTTACTTTCGCGTTTTGTCAAAAGCTTTTCGTCTACAGACAAAGCTTTCTCGTCGGAAATGTTTTCAGGAGGAATGTTCATTATGAGTTAGTTAATCAAGAAATTTCCCCACTCTTTGCTTCAATTCTCTTACAAGGAATGCCGATGTTGTTGTATTGACTAAATACCATGCCCACGACTTTCAGTATCTTAGGAACTTGCTCTATTACGGTTGTACAGAATCGTCGTCTAATTACTATTATTTATCATTTTACTACTACTTACAATTAGTATGAACTAAGATCATAATTTTTAAATCAGTGGTGCGCAAAGTTTTGGTATCAAACGAGATATAGTCCGAGACGGTCATTCTCTTTGTCATTCTTAATTTCTAAAATAAATACGGGGCCACCCCTGGTGTTTGCACCTGGGGGATTAATTTACTATTGCTACAGTTGTGCCACTTTAATCCATTTTAAGTATTACAAAATTTAATATCCTATTTTGCACGGTTTGGGAGGACATTTTTTCAAAAGACAAAATTTATTGATAGCTGTCGGATCTTTTTGATCCGCCTTCAAGTCAATTGATTTAAAAATTCCAAGACTTGCATAATTCGAAAAATTCTCACCTAGTTGTAAAGAGTGAAAATATATTATTGGGTAAATATATGCGGGTGGACTATGCACAGTTTTTATTCCACAACTGGAAATCTGCTCACATTGACTGATTCCAGTGATTCCAGACTTAATTTTTATACTCAAGCATGCATATGTTTATCATACTTTACATGTTACATACTTTAAATGACTATTAGTCAAAAATTATTAAAAAATATTAAACGAAACCTTCGTTTAGCTACTAAGATTAGATGCATGAGGACGAGGACATGAGTAATAATTAAGAATATTATAAATCGGCTAAAATGAATGACGGATACACCTAAGCAAGTTTGCTCAGTGACAAATCTGAGGTAACGGTCTATTTTATTGTAACAAATTTCCCATCTTCTTGTAAATGTCTTGATAATGAATGGCAGATAGCATTCGAAATATTGACAAAATAAAACACAACTTTTTCTTCGACTTTTCCACTTAACTCCGTGTAATCCAATTATTATTTTATTTAGTACTTTTGAATAACTGGATATATGACTTATAGTAATGAATAGTAAGTACAGGTGGGATCAATAAATAGCAATCTGTAACGTAGCAAGCGGTGGAATTACTCCTCCAATATGCATCATCTTTGCTGGGGACGTTTCACGCATTCCCCTCCTCTGCAATACTGTGCAAATAAAAATGTTAATCAGATCAAATAAGTATTACTTAAATCTTCAATTTCAGTTAATATAAAAAATAGGAGTATGTGTAAATGTTGACTCGGGCTAAAACTAGAATTTAATAATATTTAGTGACGACTGCGGACCTTGTTTTTATCACATTTGGTGCCTTCCATGGCTGGGTGCGTCGACACTGCGTGAGTTCCATTTCCACAGTACAAAATCCAACAAATATTCTAAGGAATGTAACATAAAATGGTGTACTCTTAATAAAAATAGCGTATTTGAATAGCAGTACTCACGTTAAAAGGCGTCTTATTTCTTTGAAAGTACGGTTTAAAGTCTGGCCCTAGTCCCAAGGAACACTGAAAGTACGCATCGTAATTCTCCCCTGGTAGCTTTTGTTTTGTTGTCGACGTTTTTCCTTTCGTCACCACTTCTGAGAGACAAGTAGGTTTTGAGAGCATTTGAGAGGGATACTTCTTGGACCTCAGTTCGCTGGTACCGTACTCGATGAAATCTTGAAGGTTTTTACTAGAACAATTGGACCAGGTCACTTTACCTGGTCCCGTTGTGGGCGACATGATAAACTTATCCCGGTCGCATGTTTCTGATATACCAAGCCCATCGTGTTCCATCCCTACGTGCAGATATTTAGTTCTCAATAAGCAATGAAAACACAATAATAAAAAGTAATTATGAATCACACGTATCGCTACGCGTATTTCATTTTTGCTGCACATTCCTATATAATGTCATTTCATAATAATTATGAAATGACAAATTATTTGTCATATCCTAGATTACCGAGCGAGTGACCCATCTCATGAGTTATGATGAATGCAGAACCAAAACTATTTCCCTCAGCAACTGAATTGATACGAATTTCAATAAACATTATACATTTACATGTGCGTGTGCGTGTATATGCATAAATATACCTGAACAACTGTAATATCTGTAACACATAGTCCCGGCCCAAGCAAGCCCTGAAATATGTACAAGTTAATATTGTATTGTAGGGGCTATAAAAAATCCCTCAATCCTTCTATAAGAATTTCGGAAAATATAAACAATCAACATGCACAATGTAGTTTTAATACATAATTTCCATATAAGATGTGATTCGAGATTTATACATGCAGAAATATTTTGTAGTTCCTGCAGAATTACATATGAATTTGTTTTATATTAGCTCCATCCGATAATTTTACCTGCAGTAGATTTGAGCCCTTGCTCATGCAAGTCGATGCCGGTAAGGAGTAAAGCATGATCCCATAAGCCAGAGTTCAAATTTTGATTTCCTGCATACTCACAAAATGACGACAAGTATGCTTTCGCCTTCCCTCCGTTGGTGTCCAGCTCTTTCGGTGTCTTTTTCATCACTTCCAGGTGAACCAGACGAAAGCCAATGTCCACCCCAAGCGATTTTCCACCATACAATAAGTCCATCTATTTGCCAAATTATTATAAGGACGGGAAAAAATTTGCAAAATGATGGCAGTTAGCATGTAAATATGTACATACCATATTCACCATCGTTGTAGTGTAGTCTTTCAACTTGACCAACGTGTCATTGGGAAACTTTTTTTCCATTCGTTGATACATTGACTCGTCTGTGAACAAAGCCATTTCCACCCATTTCTTCTTGCTTTCCAACTCGCGAATTTTCCTTTCCATCAGAAGGGTTGCAGCAGAAGCAGATTTAAACAACGAGGGAGGACGACGAAATCCGCCATAATCTTGGTTTTCTTCCTCTGCATCGTCATAATTGAAATAGTCCCATCCGAACCAGCTCGGAAAATAAGATGCGTAGTGTCCAAAACTATCTTGTTCTGTCGAATACACGAGAGAAATTGATGGATCATCATCGTAGACAGGTTGCCGTTGAGATTCCCGTTGTTGTGCATCCTTCGCAGCAAGACGTGCTGCGCCTTCCAACTCATTCAAGGGGACACGAGCAACTAATTTCGAAATTATTGTGATGAGTTACGAGACGAATGTCAAGGGCACTATTAATTTTACCATCAGATCCAGTCATCCAATTAGAAAGATGCGTAGTTGTCCATTCAGGGGACATAATCAAGTGCGAAAATATTTGCTCGTTTTTATTAGTTTTCCGGCGTGGTCTAGATCTAGATTTATTAAAGCTTCGATATAAACTCCCTTCGTCGTTTCTTGGTTTAATAAGCCACAAGCCCTCCTCAGTTACTACGATCCCGGTCTGCAACAGAATTAAGTAGATGCGTATTTAACTGTTTAGACTTGCAACTATTTATGTATATAAATCTATTAGGACGTTACCAAAGAGTTTGGCTCTTGGCATGTTGAAAATGCGGCAGTGCCACCTCCGTCGACATACCCTTTCCAATGACAATTGGTTGACTCCTGCAACGAGTATGAGGTGACGTGATCCCCATCTTTAAAGACAACGGAGTTTAATAACGAAGGGTCAGGTTCTAGCTTAATGTCGATCTGCTTGTCTCCAGTAATTATTTTAATGCGATTCAAATTATTGTCCGAGGTACGTCTTGCCCGGTGAGCTCGTTTACCAGTCTCATATCCAAAGATGTGAACTTCTCCTTCTTCCCAATTTCCTATACCAATAAGCATAAGAATAAGGAGTGAGTAACATGAAGAGTGAATTAAGTAATTTGTGCGTATGTGTGTATGAATAAAGCGTACAATATAATGCTAATTTCCCAAAATGTAGGTAGAAAATGCATGAATACAAATAGGTTTAAACATGGTAAAAATGGGCATCATATTTTTACGAGACGACCTTGACTTTGTTCAAGTTCTGCAAAATCTTGGAAACATCGAGACCGACACGTGTAAAAATAAGTTATTAACTTTAGGAATTCGACTTAACGTTGCTGAAGGTACAATTATGCAATCCAAGTATATTTATATATGTGTACATAGACTACAGAATTCAGCTTGGATTCGGTTGCTTGCACCTTGCTACCGCAATAATAAATTGGATAAAACAAAGGAGGTACACAAGTAAATAGGAAGCCAAATAATATGATATTCCAGAGTGTTTACCAGTGGTGTCGAAAAATTCCTTGCCAAATAATTCTCCACCGTTTGTGCTCTGACTATCTCCCTAGAATGAAAAAAAGGAATCATAGATTTGCAGATCTATTAATATTTATCAGTATAGATATTCATTAAACACATCTTCGTTGCATTGTCGTATGTCTTCTGACTTTCCTACTGATATTAAATCACCAATATAACATTAATCAAATAACTTGTTTATAATTACCTCAGTGTGAAACAACAAAAATGAAAGTAGTAGCAAAATTAGTGACGGTTGCATGGCACTTTAACAGCGCAGAACCTTCGCAAAAACGGTTTGAATTTAAAAATTAACCGAACTTGTCGAACGACTAGAAATTTATTGAAGCCACAACGAGACGCTCCGAACTTTCTGGTTTGTATTTTAGCAAAATTAAGCTGAATCCAGATTTAGTCAAATTCTCTTCAAGTGACCATATCGCTCGCCATTCGCTACTTTTTACGAGGCGACTCACACAACAAACAACGAATTACTGACGGAACAGGGTTGTATTCATTCGCAGATTTGGTAGTCTGCATTCTTTACGGCAGAGTAGGATGTACATTTGTAGGTTTGTTGAGCATTATTGTACGGATCACTGCATACAAAGTCAACAGCGTTGTCTATCCTAGCAGAATAGTTGTGTAATGCTATAATTTCGTTAAAAAATATATAATTATACAGTGAACGTTCATCACACTGCTTCGCTGTCCATAGCATTATTCTTGGGGCTCCGACAATGTATACATATATTCACCAAATACATAAATTTAGTGGAATTTGCACATGGGCATGGTTAATAATGGTGGCCAACTCATCCTCAGGATCAGATTTGATAGAGTGTGACTCGCTGTACCGAACCTCCTCAACGTGCCTTGCTTATTATTTGCTAGCTTTGGATTGACAAAGGTTAAATGTCCAATTGTGTCGTCCACAAACATGTTCAAGCAACTAAAAACTTTAAATGAATTTGCTTACTTAATTTTCCAGTAATAATCGCTTCGACAGTTTCGACAAACATTTTCTAAATAAAAATTTCTCCACATGCAGCGTTTCAAATTTATGTATCCTTAACTAATCTGCATTGTAAATTGCACTTTAATTTACTTTTAGGTGGTTACGATGATATAATTTACGCTTGCTGTTAGGATAATTTGAACTTATTTACCTATATATATGCTTATACATACACATTTTTATTTACACCCTATGGCACGATATGTGACGTGTTATTAAGCTTCGCTTGGTGCGGCACAGGTGCCCAAACTAGCAGCATACGAACTTTCATTCAATTTCTATAATCTGGAATAAAAAGGAAGTAAGTCGTATAAATAGGGTTAGTTCCTAAAAATGTCAACTTATAAAATGTGAGCACACAGGTTTAATTGCTAACAATGAACCGGAAACGTGATTGTGATTATGGTAAATAATCATGGTCAATGATCCTCTACCAATGAATGATGGTTCCCCAACTCATTACGTACAACGAGTGCATTCTTTATACATATGTATCCCAATACAAGTCCTGGACATTTCACTGCAGTTTACAGAACTTTTTTTTACTGCGAAATTCATTTTTGCACACATAATAATATTAATGGTGCAAATTTAGTGCGCCATGTAGCGGTATTCGTCTTCGTTTAATAATAATGCATTAATACTAGTACCGTTGGTACTGAAATCTAAAACGCAATTAAAAATGATATACAATTGAGACAATCCCAACTTCATCCATAAAATAAAATCTACAGTTTTTGTTTTAATGTATTGAATGGCTTTTGCTCGTTGCACCAAGGCGATGTACAGCAATTGTGAGAGAAGTACACCATACATGTAGATCATAATGGAAAGTTTAATTAGAAAACATTCACCATAAGTACCATATATTGGCATGATGGTGTCTAACAGGTAATTAGTAAAAATTGCTAATGAGTAAAATTAACTAATACAGTCTTGGGTCTAATTTCCTTTCCCATGAAGGATATCGATCTCGATTGCAGTTGTAGAACCAAGGCAATACAACAATTTTCTCTTTCTCGGGGTCAATTATTTTTACTCTCTCCAAGTTTAATATGCGATATTTAATGTCTTTGTAGTATTGTTCGCGATAAAACGCTTGGAGTTCCTCCAAATCCTTGTTCTTAAAATGCAGGGGGAGCTCTGCGACTTGCTTCAAGTAATTATAACTACTTTCCGAGAGAGTGAGTTGCTTGATAAGTATGGATGGAAGGTACCCGTAATGCTGAAATTATTTGATAAGATGGATAAGAGAAGACGATCAATAAAAAACTGTTTTCTATGGAACTGATGGCTAAAAATCTGGTACCGTCATATGCATTCCACCGAGCAAGTGAGCTGCAGACCTTCCTCGGTTCCTGGTTGGATATCTACGTCAAAACAAAAACGTACAAATAGTTCCAAAAATTAAATACGATATATTGCTTTAATATTGTTTTCTTAAATTCTGCACGAACCCGGCTAAGTTGAAATGAGCCAAGGTATTGATATCCTTAGCTGTTTTTAATGTCCAGAATGTGGGGTCACCAATTGTGAATGGATGTTCGTATACAGGAAAGTCTGATAAATATGCTTGATCAATTGCACCGAATGGAAACCTAGTATCGGATTGATTTACTACTTGTCCCTGCTGAGCAAATCATTTTGAATAAAAATTGAGGAAACAAATGAATTTTCCTTACCAGATCCCAATGTCTATTGGGTCAGATTCTGGCACACAATGTTTTAAATAATTTACAGTTTCACGACTTGCAACTTCATCACTATCGCCAAATCCTATATTAATCAGAACTTCTTAATATGCATAAATACTTAAATCAACTATAACTTTTCAATGGACATGTTTTTGCATACAATTATATAAAATACCTAGTAAATCTTCCTCGTTAAAAAACTTCGTGGCATTATTCCATTCCAGGAATTTTTTCCAACGAAGCTTTTCTTGCAAATCCTCTGAAGCGAAACTATTAATATCAGTAGAATTCTGAATCTTCATCATGGCAGTTATTGAGGATGCGTCATCAATCAAGAAATAAACGATCTTGGACTGGAATTTTTGGAACCGTGGCTGATACTTAATTCGTTCCCAAATTAATGGTTTCCTGTAAAATCTTGAATGAGTATGCGTGGATTCGATAATAAAAAAAATGTCCACAACGTCAAACAATTCGTTCAGGTGTATTTCTAACGTGTCGACTTCGAAACCTATGTAGTTGAATGGTTGTCAGTCCTCAGTGTGCTATAAATAATTAGTTAACTAATTTGTACTAAGGTCATTCATTACCGAATTGAATGAGAAGTCCGATTTTCTTTTCCGAGTATGCGGAGAGCGTTCCATTATATTTTTCGCATTCAATCTGGTCTTTTGTTCTTAATGGCTGAATTATGCATGATTCATTGATTGGAATGGGAGGTTCTCTCGTGAGATAAGGAGTGAGTCGCATGATGAGATCATTGACGTACGTCCAGATGTCCTCACGGTTTTCTTGTTTTATGGCCGCAGTAAAGTTGGACCACAGAAAGTTGTCAAACACATTGGTAAAATTCGATCGCCCTTGATTATCGAAACGGACTTTTGGCCTATTTGTAGTATTGCCACACCCCAAGAATTTTCGAAAAGCAGGGTTAAGCTTCTGCTGTACAAGTAATTGAGTGCTTATCCCCAGTAGTGTGAGTACTGAAAGTACCAATAGACTAATAAGGTATACCATTTTCCGTTTTAATGACGTCATAACACGTGCTTTAAAATAATTATTTTAAGAACAAAATACAAAATTAACTAGATATTTATAAGTTTGTCGTTGTCGATTGTCTACAAAATCTGTTATTACAGTGATTTTTAACAGTGTAAAACAGCCTTGTACATAAATTAAGTGTAAAATTGCTCTTACATAGGCAACGACTACAAAAGGAAGAAGGTTTTATTTTGTATTGTCAAATGGTTTTATTCTCATATTTTACAACGATTGAAATTACTTCTTTTGATACGTACAATAAGTGTTTATATGTCAATTTTAACAATAAATAAACTGCATGGCATGAATTAAACGCACATGTAGTACATACTTTACCACTTGTTGAACTTTTCGAAAAACTGCTCAATTTTCTTTTCCTTGCTGAATAGGTTATCACATCCGTAGCCCTCGAACAATTCTCTCAAGTCAATTCCAAAAATTGTCCAAACTTTTTCTTCTACAATATCGTCAAATATAGTAATCGTAGCCAGAGCCAGACTGATAATGGTTAAAACCTCCGCGATAGATTCAATTATAACAATTTTGTTTCCCAATGGGTAGGAGACTAACAAGTTTATCACGTAATCTATAAGTCCAATTATTTCTGTAATCATTTTTAATAGTTCTGGTGCTGTCCCCGGATTTTGTAGTTCTACAGAGGAAACATAGTTATTAATTGTTAAGTTCGTGTTGTAAGAATTATCCACATATTCAATTTTTTAGCTCACCGATGAAGGTTAAAATTCGTTCTGGGAGGCCAACTTTAATAAATATATAAAAAATCAAATGTTATCAGAGCATTCTTTCAAAATATTTACTACTTCAAATTTTCATATTCAAGATAAGATTACCTTTGATGACACTGAATGTGAGGTAGACCTGATTTAAAAAGTGTAAAAGAAGTCCAAGCGTGGCTTTTGCAAAACCAATCCATCCAAAGATCCAAGAAATTATTTCTAGATCCTTAATAAAATTTTCGAAACCGTCACATTCCGGGACTTCTTTCCAGATCAACTTTTCCGGCTTTTTGTGGGGCTTAAATTTCTTTAAAAGCTTTCCCAGGACTCCTTTCTTCTTCTTTTTCTTCTTCTTGTCGTGGTGATGATGGTGTTCTTGATGGTGTGGCCAACCCCAACCTTTCTCTTTGTGCTGATGAGTTTCATGCCCGTAACCGTGGGCTTTAGACATCGAGTCATGGTGACCTTTCGATTCAGAATGAGACTCTGAGCTGTGCGCCTTGTCCACCTTGGATCTGGAATAAAATCATCATTTTACTAGTTCTGTATTATATCAATGTATTATTTAATATTATACAAAATATTTATTTCTTAGCTTAATTAAGCATTTTTACCTCATTGGGTCTACGTAGTAGTAAACTGGTTGATGTTGCAACCAGCTTACGGTTTGTTCCTTAAATCGGTCATCATTGTTACTCCAGCCATAATTATAATATTTACCTACCGGTTCTTTATACTGATACGCGTGATTATTTTGCCAGTAATGCTGGCTGCACAGTGTTGAATTATTATCAACACAATTTATAGTCCGATTAAAAAAATTGTCCGAGTAGTCTGAATTCTTATGGTGGTTGTAGCCATTGGAATTGTGATCTCCAGAATGGTGACTAGTGTTCTTGTATGGTCCAGAGGAAGAAAATTGTCCCACGACATGGATAGTTGTATAGCGTAAACTTAATAAAATACTGAGCAGTGGGTTTCCCCACCTCATTTCGTAAGAAAATATGCTTGGATTCTAATTATTGTAATTACTACCTGTCTCGACATTTCATCCACCGACTACCAAACACAACTGAGAAAAAATTCAAGCCATATCGTGATATTATAGAGACCATAATCTTCTACTTATGGTTATTTTTGGAACCGTGAGTCTAGTTTTGTGCTTTATTTGGGTGCCTTACAAACAGCGAATGTAAAAATAGCATAGAATTTTATATCAATAGCGGCTATTGAGGTAAAATATGATGAGGACTTCATAGGAAGTTTTTGACATCCGTCTTTCACGCAACATCAGCATCAGCAAGCTCGTAATGGGACATACAACATTCAATGCACTGTGATTGTTGCATTTCTAATGACCATGCTGTGCCGTATCGTATGTATCATAATATTATGCATGGTATGTACTACCAGCGTACTTCAGTAGCGTGTTAGAACTTGTCATTTGAAATTTTGCTCTACAGAAAATGACATGTGATCATGGTTTTAGAAGTGTGCGAGGTCAAGAATATTTAAAGTAAAGACACCGATCCGGAAAATGCAGATAATTCATGCACAAAATAATTTTTTTGCATATGTTGTATGTACATTTGTATGCACACATGTACATACTGACTTGTTGTAAACGATTGCTTGCAATATGCAATATCTCAATCCCTGGTTTGTAATTTTATACAGTGAGTAAAAGTTATAAATCATAAAAGTTGAAAATTTAAGATTTCCGAAATAATATGAAATTGTTGGTCTACTACGTTTGATAAATAATGTAGATTTTTTAATATGTCCATTTAGCAAGTATCATGTAGCAATTTCAAAATTGCTACAATGCAGACTCATAAAATCATATCGGATGGACGAATGTCATGCTGCTTTACTTGAATGGAATAATAGGATTAGCTCAACTTGTACATATTTTCATTTTTATTTATATTTAATTGGTCATTGAGTTGAATGTGTGTCGCGGTTTATTTTATCATTTTGTATCATTTTATACTTAAAATGGCATTGTTGCATATTATCCGAGTCAAAGTAACCGAATTATTTATTCTGCAAAGGAAAGGGACAAACTGCAATGTCATGTCTCAGTTTTTATTTTTAGACACATTATTACAGACTCGAGTGATGTATTTATACGGTAACTTCTATTTTTAGATAAAAGTTTAACGATGACCGGTTGCAGCTAGTTTCTTTTAATCATTATTTACAGACTTGTGATCAATTTGGTTACAGACTTATTGTGATTTAGCTTATTGTGACAAGCCGCCAAGCAATGATTAATCGGGGAGTGCGAAAATAATATAACTTTTGTAATCTCTGTCCACACAAGTTTTTTACACGTCTCACATTTCCTCACTTTTCAACAGCTAAGGTATATGTCATCATTGTACACATATTCATATGTGCATACATATGCATGTATTAGTACATATATGAGAACTCAAAAGCCAGGTACGAATAGTTTGTGACATTTATCTTTTCATGCTGCTACTCATTTTTATTGAGAGCTGCAGGAGTACATGTGCATATGTAGTACATATTGTGTACGTACAACTGCATATTAATAGTAATACTGCAATTTATTTTTTGGCTACAATTGTAATGTCTGAAATAAATCTTTTACAACAATGAAAGAAAGTTTAAAGTAAAGAGTGACCAGATGAAAAGATACTGAGAAAACGATTTTATTTTGTATTGTCAACGTGTGAAAATAAGTCTCTATAAAATCTATAAAATCTCTTCCCTAATTTTATGGGAAAAGAAAATGAACCATCATTTTTTGAGAAAGCTTTATATTAGAATTAATTTAATTCGCAATATTCATAAATTTATATCTACGTACGTACCACACATGAGACACAAATTGTTACGGGTTTATCTTTCTCAATGGATTGATCCCAGTTTCAAATAGTTTATATTCTTCTAGCCTTTTGATTCAGAATGAGCAATCTTTTTGTGTATGCCACAAAACAACAAGAAGATATTGGTTTTGATTTTTGTATGCCTCCTTCAAGTTCAAAATCATGACTGATCATGGCTTTTGAGTAACAAGGAATAGAATAATTTACAGGTTTATATCTTCAATCAAAACGTATGTATATTCCCACTGTCTGATTAATTTTAATGAAATGTACATACAACTTGCACATGTGAATAATTTTTTTTTCATGACTCAGTCAATAGCTATTCTTGGTAAACTGGGTGACTGAAAGTAGTGAATCGTGATGAGTGGTAGAAAAAGCAGGTAATTAAAAGTGAAGATGGGGTTTGTCCGATGAAACGGTGACTTTGCAGAATTATATGGCAAATGACAAATACTCAAAACTTGAAATGTACGTAAATGATATTGTGATGCGGTATTCCTATATTTGGTGGTAGACATTGAAGGCATTATTGATTTGCAACACACGAATATTATTTTAATTTTATCTATTGATTTTAAAGACAATTATATTTTGCGATTTATCCATTTCTATTCCTCCAATACACCTGAGATTGACAAAAAAGGTCGTGGACCAATTTAATCAAGATTTGCCCTAGAATCGTTGTTGGTCAGCAAATTCAACAAGAAGATGGCTACTGATGTGCTCCAAATTTTCCTAACTTACCTCATTTCACATCTTTTTGTCATACATTTTACCCATTTTTTTTATATTTTCTCTGCAAAATTAGCCTTCCATTTGTTTCTAGACTGATCAGTGCGAATTAAACAATCCATGTGTCAACATAATCTTAGAAGCAGTATAGAACAGTTTTCTTATTTTCAAAATGTGCATAATTTCGAAAATTTTGTTGCTTATTGCAGTATTTCTTGGGTTAAGTACAGTTTCTGGAGAACATGTTTCATCAACACCCCTGGTTTTTCCGATTACGCCTCGTTTTGGAGCTTTGGAAAAATGTACCAAAAAGTCTTAAATAACACTTAATTGATTATTACACCATTTTGTTAACATGTGTATAATATTTGATAATATAGGGAGTCAAACTTATGATATCAGCAACAGTTTGTCAACTGCGAACGAAACCACCCCAAAATTACCAAATGTGGCCTCTTCCCAGCTCCGTCGTTCCAGAAATGTGGCGAATCGTGGTGGCCTTGGACTTATCCTTGCAGCCTATTTTATTAAAGGATGTTTATATTTGTATGCATATTTCAAACTAATTTGTATCTGTATGGGAGTGTCGCTTTTGTTCCTCCTCCTCTGCCCCCTCCTTCCATTCCTCATTCCAGCTCTGATCCTCATTCTTCTTGTGGCTGTTGGGCTATCCATTGCGATCCCATTAATTGTCGCGGCCTCAGGTGGGGACGAAGACCTACTCCTAGTTTCAAACTAATTTACGAACTTGATCTGCTTATTAACTTATAAATACACTTATGTACATATTTATTATTTATTATTTATTATTTTTTATTTTTATTTACAAATTACAAATTTCTATTTACATATTTTTAATGATGACAATTATTCAGTATAAGACTATATAAGAATATGAGTAAACAACACATATAGGTTTGTTCATTATTTACATTTCTTGTGACTCTATTTTAAATTATTTATGTATGTACTTATTATATGCATGTAACCTCATGATTTTAGTGGTTAGTGTAGTTGCAGAGTTTATGAAAAATCTGCAATTCTTGACGCAGAAAACTTTAGGATTTACATATGTAGATTGTTGTACACATTGATATATATGTCCATGTATACAAAAAATCTGTGGAGGAAGTAATAATTAATAGAATTGGACACATTTATCGAACCATATTGTACCCGCAATCAATTTCTTTTGGCACAAAGAGGGGCAGAATTTTTGCTGAATTGAATTCACGTAGTTCGTATGAAAATATATTTCAATGCGAGTCAACAACGTTGCAGGAGTTGCTTGTTGAATACTCATGAACCGCAAAGTCGCCAGAAAAATCCCGAGGAAATCGTGTCGTACGCGTGTTTATCTACATGTTCTTGAATGAGTGAGTTGATTTTAACAGGAGGCTGAATGGGATGAAAAAGAGCCCGAAAATGAGACGGAGTGAGCCAAATGAGGTGAAGAAAGCGAACCCGGTCGTCGGGGTGGCTGCTTTCTCTATTCTCTCTTTCACTCCAACCCCGATACACGACCAGCTCCCCAAACACGCAGAGTCTCATCTCACCCAAACTTCCCCACTCATCAACTCTCACTATTGGACCAGAGGGTTATCTGACAACAGATAAAAGGTGTTATCAACACGATTTCCACCAATAATTGCGACTTTACAATTCTGAAAAATTTCGGGTATGATTATCAGTCTGACGGAAGCAGAACTATCTGTGTTTGTATTTATCAGAAATAACTCGGTTTGGTTTATTGTGTGTTATATTTTATCGTACGTATGTACATAGACCTAAATTCAATTACAGTGAAATTATATAACAAGAAAAGAATCAAGCACAGTTTTCCATGCTATGTACATGAATACTGCCGATGTCATGAATGGAGGTAAGCGAAAGCTAGTTATTTACTCAATTATGATTAAATTTAGCTGGAGAAATTTTATTGTTAATTTTATTTCTAATTATCAATTATTTAAAATCACTTTCATAAATATAATTCGCGCATCCAGCGCAATAACCTGTCGTACAATGTACGTATGTAATAATTAATTTACAAGAGCAGAAAGGTGAAATATGTTGAAATTGTGATGAATTTTCGTTACGAAAGAAAACTAGTTGAGAAAGTTGGCACCCATCTCAGTAGCAAAATCCATTAAATCAAATCTTACTTTTTGAATGGGGCAGAACAATAAGTTGACTTACTTCAAAGAGCAAGGAACACAATGGGAGGACAATGCTCGTAATATTTCTAACGCTTCTCGGTGCTCAGACTGAGGCTTCTCAGATACCACGACAAAGGATGAAAATACTCTTAATGCAATTAGCTAATCAACAAGTGAGCATCTTTTAGGGGGATGAAATGGACAACAAAACCAAATCCAAAGAAATGACGCTAAGTGAAAAGTTGAAGAAAGTATAGGGACTCACAAAACAAAATGTTACTACTACGGTAAAATTATGTTGGTTTTGAGGCACACATTAGTTGGCTATAGTATTTCATTATATAACACTTTCGACATTCCATCCCAAGTCCTCGTACATATTTCTTAGTTTGCATACGTATTGAACGAGTATTATCTGTATTATCCTAAATTATATCCGACCTATTTCTTTAAACACAGGTATTAAATAAGTATGCCTCCTGACACTTATTCATTGGATTTGATTCTGTGATTTTAGAGTTTTAATTTTTGTAAAAATTGTACAGATGCACATCTTTCTGATGTTGAATATTTTAATTTTAAGCTTGAATCATGCCATCACCAAATTATTCATGTTAACATAGCTTCACAGCAAACACACAGCACAGCACATCAAACATCATCTGCAGTGAAAAGAGGAATAAGCCATTGGATATTGTAGATTAAAATAAAAAGATGAAAACAAAAGTTGTGTTTTTGGGTTGGGCCACCTACAGCGGTTGCAAATAGCTTTCCCCATAATTGACTTTCCCCAGATCACTTTTTATCCAGCAGGGTCAAACGTCAGCTTAAGTCACATTTTTATTGACTTTACTCATCTCGGAGGCAAAGAATATGCTACTCTAAAGGTTTTGACTTTCTACTTTCTTGACAATAATACGATGCCTGCTACTGATCACAGAAGATTATGTTCAAGCTCAACAAATGGTATACGCGTACGTTCGATACTATCTTTTCCTTCCTACAACGGTCGTCGACATTCAATTCTCACGATATTTCACGTATTATGAGCTTCGTTTTTGGCATCAACCTTAGGTACTACTCGCAACTTGGATACACACAACGTACATTCGTGTCAATCTACCCTCCAGCTATCAAGAACACAAAATAAAATTGTAGGATTTATTACAGCAAACCAATACCCTTGGGGAATATTAGGCTTTATTAGTTTAATTTTATATAAAGGATTATTGGATTCGAAAAGTGAAACAATTCAGACGATGTAAATATTTTTCAAATTAAAATTTCAGGCAGAACAAGGATGCATACATTACTTGGCCTAGTATGTAGGATACATATAATAGTGTCTGAGTTGTGCAAAACTGTTACATATGTGTGTAAATCATGATATGAAATCACAACCTTCCTCGTTCAATATTTCCGTCGAATTCCTGCACATACAATTTTCCAAACTTTTGTATTTTCAACTGAGCAGGGAATAAGGGTTGTTCATTTAATTACTTCAATCATCAAATGAGAAGCAACAGTTTAGTTTAGAGTGTTGACTGAGCATACACAAAATTGGATGCTCAATTGAATTGCTTTTGGCTGGTGGAGCATCTCTCGCCCGAACAAAAAGCAAACAATCCAATCGAATCGAATGTCCAAACAAGTATCAAACAACACATCATCCTTGGCGTTATTATTGCGAAAGGAAACAAAATCCAAAACAATTCATTGCTACGAGAGCGAGCATTTGTGTTTACACGGCTCATCTTTTGTCAACAAATTTCGAATTGAGATCAACCTGGGCTGCGTATGTACATACATACAGACCAACTGCCACTAGTACATACGTACATATACGGATATGGCTATCTTTTCTTAGCCTCTACAAAATGAAACATCTTGTAAGCAAACATTTCATGGCTCCAAGGCTTATTGTTTCAAAATTGATCAATAATGAACCAACTTTTTCTGTTAAAATGTGCTTTTGAGAAATTTTGTTGTATTTCAGCAAAGTTCAACTGTTTTTCATCATAATGAATACATAAATGACGTTTTGTGGTATCAAGCAGATTAATAACTACATATTTTCTAATCGATCTATTCCTTATACATATACTTATTTACAAATGTGCAGCTGCAATAATAGTTTTGTGACATTATCCCTCGCTCCAAATAGACACCTCACTATCCGCATTAGAATGAGGAGATCAATTAGCCATGGTCACGATTCATGAATGTATGTACTAAATAGCATGTATTTGTATGTGGCAGTGCTAGAATCTCCACAATCAGAAATCAGCCAGGCCACAGAAATAAATTCGACTCGGCTAAAAATAGGCACTCGACAACTGTCGTTCCCTTTGTGATTTTGTCACTGCAAACTTATAAAATTTAAGTAGCTCCCAAAGTCACTGGAACGGTTGGATGGGACTGATGATGATAATTGGGCAGGCAAAGACGCAAAGGCGAGTCGATTGAAAATCGCTGAATGGGAATAAGATTCGATTCGCCTCGTTGACTTTCCCAACCAATAACACGACACATACGATCGTACGACCCTAATAAAGTCGGCAGAAAGAAGCAATGGGATTTTTATTTTGATGTGGAAAATAATAACGCGAAATTCCCTGTCTGTGCCTTCTACTCATCTCTTTATCTGTGTATCATTGATGTATTTTTCATGAGTTGATAATAATATCCACCAGAGTAGGTATCTGGACAACTTGAGAAAAAACTCAATACGCTCGACGTTGTATGTATTAATTACAGAACACAATTTTTGGATTATTGTTATAGAATGAAATATGGCTTCTAAATATACTCTTGCAAAATGTCATGCTTAAAATTTATAGCATGGGACTGATGATATTATTATTGCCGCAGTTTGTTCGCGTGGCTGTCGGTTCTGAACGGGATAAAGTACTAATAAACGTACTAGTTTGTGTTTCAATTTGATTTTTATTCAATCTGGAGTATTATTGAGAACAATTGTCCCCACAAATGGATGGGTTTGGTTGAGAGAAACAAATAAAAGCTCATTTCTACTCCAGCTAAACGTCCCAAGCTAACCGAAATGAAGAAAAGGAGGCAAAATGATACTTTTCCATTCGTTCCAATGTATACTGTTTCCCACTGGCTTTCTCCTCACCCTCTCCTCGTAACACATAGCAAGAATGTGCAGAGGGCTTCACCCCAATCACATCGAAGCAACCCTTCTTTCTCTGTCATTTTGGCCAGAACAAATCGTCAGACGACTTCTCACTGTTGTTGGCTATATTGCAACACGGTATAACTTGGGCGTAAAATGTTATGGAAATGATACCGTTTACAATATGGATTTGCTCTGGGCCACCACTGTTTGTAAACTTTTTTGTTGATATCTCCTACTGCAAAAATAATGTATTGGAAAGTAGCCAAAGTCTTTATTAAAGTGTATCATCCTGGCAAATATGTACGTGTTCATCTAAATTTTGACCCATATTCTTATCATTAATATATTATTGGTGTAATCTCTATCTCTCATTATCTTGCTTTATCTCGATTCTAAGAAACGTAATCACCATTTATCCATAACCAGCATATAACCTACATACATACATAGTTCATCCTTGTGCGTAGGTGTGCATCAACTATGTCGGTGTGATTTTGCTCCGATGGTGAATTGAAGGTTGTTTGTATTGTCAATTAAACACATAAAATGATAACAATTCTGACTTATCCGTGGACGATGCGTTGTTTGCAAAATATACTGAGCCAATCCACGCAAAATAACGAAGCCTAGTCCTAACGGAGCATGTTTGTTTTTGAGCGGATGTTTGAGATGAGACGTGTGCATCATCGACAACCAGTCCATCAGTCTGCAGAAGCAGATTGCATTTACAACAATCATCTTTTATCATCAGCATAGTCTCAACGACATGGGCGCTTATCTGCATGACGTGATGATGCCACCGGATGTCACAATTTTAAGTGTTCATTAGTTAGTACAGATTCACATATCATCGACCCTGGGTTTTCATGTGATTTACTTCGTTGTGTAATTTTATAGTGTGTACAATTAAATTTAATTAAGTAGATATAATAATTAGAAAGTTATTTATATCGTAAATGGGGAACACACAAATATAAAGGATCAACATGGTTTGATTTTTTTTAAATATTTTTAATTAACATTTTATTTATTAAATTTCATAATTTTGCATAAAAACTGAATTTGTTTTAAAGCCTTATATTTTTCTGGATTTACATTTTCCCAGGAACATATAAACAGCTTATTCACCCCTACAACATAAAACAGGAGAAACCGTTAATTTCATCTCGCCCCATGTCCCCAAGACCAACCTTCTCCGTTATGGACAACTTTCTCTCAGGAAACCATCCTCATCATCATCACAATCCAAACAGTCAATCTCCTCATCCTGTTGTCCCACCACCACCTCCTCCCCCTCCTCCGACCCATCATCTTCACCCCCAACCACACCCGGGACCCTCCTTGGTCCCCCTTCATCATCGCCCCATGGTCGGTGGTCACCACTCGCCAACAGCGCCTCCGAACTCAGCCCAATCATCCCAACTGTGGAACTCCTCCCACAGGATCTCAACCTCTTCTGACGGAAATCTCAACAATAATGGAATCCACCAGTCTCCCTTTGCCCCAGGAGGAGGAACGGAAGCCTTGTTGGCCTTCCCATCCACCACTGGGGGAGGACAAGGAATGACCTCATTGCCCCCATATTTGTACCCACCTCCTTCCACTTACCAAGGGGGACCACCTCATCCTGGCAGATATGCACCTGGAAATGCTAACACTTTCTCCTCGGCTCCATTGACCGCTACCCAAACATACCACCAACTCGCATCATATACAAATCCCAACCAACATCCTCATCACTATTACGCACACGATAAGCAAGAAGGGGTCGTCCTCAAGCCCCCATTACCAGCAAACAGCTACTTGCTTAATGGTCAATTTGTCGCTACAGCTTCCAATTTTGACTTGCATTCAAATCCCGGAAATTCAGACAAATCTCATTGTAACTCGAAATTAGACATCGGAGGTGGAAAGCAGTTGGAAGAAATCAGTGGAAACTGGCTCAGGTTTTTAATTACTCTTTTAAAATCCTTGGAGTTGATAACTTTATTTAGAACGTAGTTAATATTTTGATGGTGAAACAATTTTCTAGAAATCATCAGAGTTCATCAGGGGCACAGGTGTCATTGAATTTAAACCCAAAACCAATTTCCTTATCCACTACCCATCAACCACCCTATTCCAACTTTTATGAGAAAGTTCATAGGGGAGACGAGGACTCGCAGTGTTCTACGAACGAGGAGAGAACTCATCAAGGTAAAAATTACTTTTCTCTCTCTCTTCCTTAAAAACTAATCCCGGTTTTCATCATCCCCACAAACACTCATTCAGCCTGTGAGTGACCAAGATGTGTGTGAATTATGTACGAAGAGAAAGATTTTGATAGCGAGATAAACCATTCGAATATTATTCAATCCAAAGCTTTGTTATAATTATTGGGAAGCCAAAATTTATTTTGAAAGAGCTCTGCCTGAGCATATTTTCAAAAGGTTTATTTATTTTTCATTCGATTTTCTGCAATGGGCATATATCTTCATACGTAACCGAAATTAGACAATGAGAGTGGCTAAGAATTTGTATTTCATAAAAAATGCAAACTAGCTACACCATTAAAAAATTTGCATGCTTTTATTTTACACTTATTTCAATTCATTAATTATTTGTAAAATATATTCGCAAAATGGTTGATTATTGATTTAGATTACGAAAATTATCTAGAAATTTACTGAAGAGAAAATGATTGCAACAAGACTATTATATCGAATGAACTGATTAGTGTTGGCAGAACAAAGGTTAATTAGGCATGGATAAATAATAAATGGAGCTTTTAACGCTAGCATTTAGTCAGAAATCCCAATGGGAGCTCAAATGAAATAGGAACTTGTTGAAATTTGTTGAAATCACAAAAAACTTTCCCCTTCTCTGCTCAACTCCCTACTCAAATTAATGGAAAGCTCCACAGAAGTTTACATGCATGCATACTACATTAGTGTATGCATCAATGTAACAGTGTACATTGTATACCATCAGAATATATGCATTGGACATAATACATATGCAAAGATCTTGCCTAATTTGGGACTCAAACCCTCAAAATCATACCACAAAGATGACCTTATCAGTTGTATTTGCACCGAAAAACGGGACCCGGTCATTATGCATTGCCACGTTTGAGAAGAATGGTCGAGTAAATAAAAATTCTACTTGGGCATCAGGATAAGAAACAATAGGCATGAGCCTATCTGGCAGGGCAGAAGCTCCCAGGTGAGCATGTAGATTGTAGAAAGTCAAGTAAGCGATTAAAAGTAAAAGGATTTTAATAATTTAATCCCCAACCAACAAAGTGAATCAAGCTGTTGATGTGATGGTTTCTCTCATCTCTCGTCGGTCGGGTTCACCAAGCCAAAAATGTTCCTCGTTTCGCTTGTCTTTTCACGAACTCTGCAGCAAAATAAAAAGCTGAGTGAATGACGATGTGAATAATAGTGGATGGTGCTTGGTGTTGGTGGCTATAAGTAAACTTTCACAGAGTGAGAGAGAGAGAAGAACTGAAGGGAGATTAATTAATAAGCATAGAATGGATCGAGCCAGCCGGGATTTGCATTTATAATTATGGTATCACATTCATAGTGCATATGTACGTATGCATCATTCAGCCTGGTAATCATGTTTCACTTTCACCAACCGCACTTACATATATACATGTGCACTAAAACATGCCCTTATATCATGATTGTTGGATTTTGAGGTTTTCCCTTGTTTCACTTTCCGAGAAAGAATGATAATGCTGGGGAAGCTGATGATGGACTTTTTATACGGAAAAATCCTTCCAACTTGTTAAAAAAACATTAAAAAATCCTTGGCTGGGAAAGTGAAGCTATGTACTTTCCTTGGTACGACGATATGAGTTTGGGTGAATTATTAATTGGCAGATTTCACAGAATTTTAAATATGCTTTTAAAAGAACAATTCTCACAAAAATATAAATGATGAAACTTCCTCCTGGGCATGTAAAATAAAAATTTAACAAAAGTCTTGGTAAACTGTTACATATTTCAAATCTTCTCCGTCCACGATCTTTCTTTCTCTCTCTTGCATAAGCTGATTTAAGTCCTTTGTTTTAAGCCGATTTACTTTGAACGTTTTTTTACATTTAGTTACCAACACGTTGAACCTGTTCCTTTCTTCAATTAATTGCTCGCTGCTCTAAGAATGTCAGTTTGATTGAAATGGCTGTGTATATTTAGATACATATATGCGATCCAAGTAGTTTTTGATGAGTAGGCGGGCGACAACTAAATTCATTCAATTCCATATTTAGTGCCCCCAAGGAGTTTCTTGAGCCATGAACTAACATTTCACATTTTTTATTAATAAAAAGAGTCTCATGTAATCACTTATTCTCTACGTGCATTTCATTTGAATAGATGTAACACAGGGTAAAGAATTTGCTTGATTTAGTACAAAATGCTGACTTAAGTTGATTGATTTTTTCTCTCACAAAGATCGAGGGGATGGCATTTCATCCCGGAGCTCGTCCACAGGTTCAAGCAACAACTCATTGTTGTCGACGTCTGGTGCTGCCCCTCACTCGCAATGGGGGTCCTTGTCATTCTCCTCCACATCAGTCTCATTTACTCAGCAGTTGACATCCTTGCATGTAAGTTCCAATCTAACCACTTCCGCCCATATTTTTCCGCAACAAACAACTGAGCGAGATGAGGTGAAAACAAAACTGGGAGAAAGGTTGTGGATTTCTCTATTGAACCAAATCTGCTAACAAAAATTGCAATAAAAACCTCATCTAACTCATAGAATTATCCGAGTATTATGTAAATATCTATTTATGTATATATCTCTACGATATTTTCGTGACGCATGTGATTTCTGATATTGCTTATGGTGTTTACAAATAATTCTTAATTTACATGTAGGGTTCCTTCGCCAACCAACAGCACCACCACCACCACCAAGGAAGCGGTGGGGTCGGAATTTCACCGACGGTGACCCCTTCCTCCTCCTCCAACCCTACGACTGCATCTTACCACCAGCGTCGAGGTTCACTTCAGCTCTGGCAGTTTTTGGTCACTTTATTGGATGACCCGGCCAACATTGCTTGCATTTCATGGACCGGTCGTGGGATGGAGTTCAAGCTGATTGAGCCAGAAGAGGTATGTCCTTTATACAGATATACACATTTGCTTAAAATAGTTGGATAGAAAATTGTTTTTCATGAACAATTAAGTCAAACATAGCGTTTTAACATGTTGCAGGTTGCGAGACGCTGGGGTCAAATTAAAAGTAAGCAATTTAGCTTGTGAGGACAGTTTATGATACTTATATTCTTTTTATTTATGCAAAAGTATTCAAGTATCTTCTCGTGGACAGAACAGAAGGTTGATTTCTACTAATACATTTTATAATATACATACAGATCGTCCTGCCATGAACTACGACAAATTGTCTCGTTCTCTTCGCTACTAGTAAGCATCCAATTCAAACAGTATAGCTCATGCCAAAAATCATTCAGAACTTAATATATTCATGTCATATGTAAATACACCCACTTGTTCCGTGTATTTTTCAGCTATGAAAAAGGGATAATGCAGAAGGTGGCAGGCGAGAGGTACGTTTACAAGTTTGTGTGCGACCCAGAAGCATTGTTCGCGTTGGCTTTCACTGCTGCGTCGTCGTCTTCGGCTTCAGCCTCATCCACAACAGGAAATGGTAACAATGGAACGAACACTCCTTTGTCCAACTTTTCACCGGAAATTTGTGGTGCTGCTGGCGAGGGTGGTGGTGGAGGCGGCAGTGGAACCGTCGCTGGATTGAATATGAATCAGCACAATATTATTGGGGACAATGTGGGGAATTTGGGACAAAGTAGTACAATTTCTATTCCAACCTCAACTCCGGCATACTTGACCGTTTCTCCTCATGTTCCCGGAAGCGGAAGAGATGTCCCATTTTCTTTGGGCTTGAAGGAGCTCAACGAAGAGTTTCATTATAATTATGGTGGATACTTTAATCCTCACAACTTTAACTTTCACCAGAATCAGCAGCAACAGCATGCGAGTAATAATCAAGCTGGTGGTTATCTGCCTACTAATTCTCATACATCTCCATACGGTGGTCATTATGCTTACGAAGACCTCAATAGATGCAGTTCCACAAATGCGTCTTTATCGCATATCGATCATACCAGGTTAAGTACATGAACTAATTATTTAAATATGTTCGTATTATGCCAAAGTTTTATTTTATTTAGCCCGAACCGGGGCTTATCTCCGCCAGTCTGTCTGTCTTTCTGTATTTCTATCACTCAAGAAGGCGTTGATCGACCTTGGCCAAATTTGATAGAAACATCTGGGCTAGAGTTCGAAGTTGGGTTCGATCAAAAGAGATTTTGGACTGGTGGGGGTCACATTCGTGGCGTGGGTGGGGGTTTGGTGCAGAATGTTTGAAATAGTCGTAGAATTTGGCACCATGATCCCAATGGAGGTATAAATTTGAAATATATAGAAACATTGAAAAAAATGACTGGAGGGACACTAAAGGGACCCCCACCGAGTTTTAGAAACTATCCGAGAAAGCTAAAATTTGGTAGAGATGCATAATTGCTCTTCATGAAAGAATATGAAGCTAAGCATGAATAAAATGCAACGAAAGAGGCGTGGGTATTCCATATCAATTTATTTTCTAAAACGATCCCATACTCCAGCACAATTTCAGCTAATTTCGCCCAGTTTAAAAAACCAGTGAGGACTGGGTCTTTCTAGTAATAATTTGGTCGTTGTGACATGGTATTTTCACTTTATGGCCAATACCCCTAATATCAGCCTCATTCTACGATTATTCCTAATATTCTGCACCAACCTTCATGACCCCATCAGTCAACCACTTTACCGGATTTCCTCATCTCTGAACTAATTCCTCATTTGACCCATACTAAATGGGTGTACCAAATTCCAAGTCGATACGATGAGTTTAACGAGAATTATCGCGAGACAGACGGACATTGTGGTTCTATGAGCCCTGGCTCCGGCTAATAAGTGATAAATGATGTATCTATCAATAAATCCTAGTTCCAGCTAATCCTAATCCTAAGTTGTACTAATTGCGAGAGGTTTCTAAAATGTTACAATGTTACACAGGGGGAAAGATGAGACGGACAGTGAAGACAACGCAGGATCCTCATCATCATCAATCTCTACTAGTCCAAATCTCACAAGGAAGAATTTTCAAGGGGGTGGGGGCGTGGCTGGTGGAGAGAATATCCCATCCAATAGACGATTTTTTAGCAGCAGTCAACAAACAAAACTAGTCGTACCCGTTGTAGAAAATCGAGCCAGTTACAGACAATCATTTTCACTAGAGTTTAACACAAATACTTCAAAAGGACAAACCAACAAGGAGAGAATAAGGGAAAAGGACTCCTCAGGGATAACTGCGAATAATAACAATAACAACAATAATGATGATGAAGATAATGATAAGTATGAATAGATTAACATGCTTCATTTTCCTGCCATCATACATGCATATTTAGTATTTAGTAGAATAATAATTTTGCATAAGTATGAATTTTTTAGGATACTAGCCAAATCATAGTAAATCCCAATTTGGCAGTTTTTACAACGATCTAGGATCTCTTCTATGATTTATGATCTCTTATTTTTGTGTTCAATATACATGCTGTTAATCATGAACTGTATTATAACTAGGCTTGTCGTTACAAATAGTCATTTTGTGTCTAAATTTCCATCTTTTCAATATTTCTAGATATTCTTTTGATATAAGAAAATCTCAAATAAACGAGCTAATTAATTTTTCAAGATTTGTTTTTACATCTGAAAACAACGTCTAAAATACGGGTTCTATATATTTTTCACCATGTTCATATTGTTCATGCTCAATTTACGAAAGTTTCAACCTTTATCTCATTTGTTAGACAAACAGGATGGAATTGCACAATATTACTTCCCGTCAACGGTTAATACATAAATTGTTAACTGTGTGTTAAAAGAACATCTAAACAGAATAACAATACACTTAACATTCCAATGTGATGACGCAAAAGTGGAGTGGTGGTGCACTGGGCTTTGTGTGAAAAATGTATTACAAATGCAATTCAAAGAATTTATTTCGATAATGCGATTGTATTTAATTCGGGTATATATTGTCATATTTGGAGTTCATAAAAAGGTAAAAACTGGTTCAAGTTGCTTTGAAGCTTGTCATTTTGTTAGCATATGTACAAATATTATATGTAAAACATAAGAAAAAAGCTATACGTAATTACTGTAATTGTAATGAGTTTTCTTTTGCCGAGTCTAAATAGTAGAAAATAGACAACAAAACAAACACCCATTAGTTTCATTAGTGGATATGTATTAACAAAATTTATGCACATACCTCCGTCGTCCCCACCAGATACGTTGGACTTCAGTACCACTCTCCGTATGTTATCAACAACGGTTTGTACGGATTCGACATAACCTTTGGCATAGCCATGGTCGTGAAGGACCGTCAATAAGCGAGCTCCTTCAATAACCGTGTCATCCATTTCCTCCAATCGATCATGTTCGTCGTTGACACTTAAGTGTTCCTCAAAACCTCCAGCATATTCAACGCCATAGTTCTTTAATAACGTGTCGTACCATAGGCCTCGTTTTTTCTCACGTTCCTTCTTCTGCGACATTGCAGTGTCCAGATTTAATTTGTCTACTTCTTTGTCCCAACGGATTTTGGCTGCAGCAAGATTCAAAACTCTACGACGAACTTTTTTGCTCCTTGTTTTCGTTTTTATAGAATTGTTGTTATTCCAAACTCTACGACAAAGACTATTGTGAGCTTCGACCATTGTAGCATTTGGTACTACTAGTTGCACTTCTGAAGTCTCCTCAATGACAGGATCAATGGGAGTAGATGCAATGTTGTAATTTCTGAAAATCAAAAGCATTAAAAACTAGTATCACATTCATTAATCTTTATCACATGGCAAATATAGACTTACGTTACTCCAGGAACAAATATTGCTTTATATTGTTCTTGTTGGATGGTTGTTTTTGGAAGACTTGATATTGTGGTGTAAACGGTAGGAGGATCACATGCCAACTCTCTTGGAGTTTTAATTATATTCTTAACACTAGGTAAAAATGATAACGAGAGTTCACTTGGTAGGGACGGTCGTGCACTAGTTTTCTTTGTTCTCCAAGCAGAGGAAAAAGCGCCATAAGCTTGACACACAGCTCTTTCAAAATCGTTCAGATTTTGCCAAACATCGCTAGTAATTGGCTTGAGTTCCACCCGTCGTAGTTGCAGGGCTGAGGCAACACTAACAGGATCCATTGGGAAGAACTTTCCTGTTGAAGTCAAAATTCAAATGGTTAAAATTTGCTCCAGTAATATATAATGAGTGTAAAGGTCATACGTCTATCGCAACTAAGCACAAGTTCAGCGGATTTACTGCTACTCAATAAAGATCTTGCATCAGACTGTTGGGAATTAATATATGATTCCAGTCTCTCTATGGTGTGTAAAATTATTGAGCGGTCAAAAGTTTTTAGGTAACGCAGGATATTAGTCTGAGAGGGAGTTTTCCAACCACTACAAACTTCTTGCACCGGTTGTACTTTTTTTGAAAAACTTCCATGACCAGAAGACAAAATATCTTCCAAAAGCTCAAGATCTTCTTGATCTTGAGGACTTGCAGAGTAAATTTGGTTAGAACTACTAGCTGTTGTTGGTTGGGCAGATAACGGTTTCCAGTCGCGTTCCAGTTTAAAGGTGGAAGATGTTATTGGCTGCCCGGTTGCTGAAAGTTTTTGGTCATTCCACATTTCTATATTATCACCGTCATCATCATCATCATCATCCTCATCCTCATCCTCGATGTTTCCACTAATATCTGGAACTTCTTGACCATTTTGTTTTGTAGGGACGATTCCGATTACTTTACGCAAAACATTAATAATATTGCTCAGAAGTAGCAAATTTGATTTAGAAATTCTTCGGTAGTAAATGGAATGATACTGTAATGCATTCATAAACACAAATTGATAAAGTAATCTAATTATAATTAATATGATTAGTACTGAAACAATCTTAAAGTTCTATTATATCTATTTATATACCTGTGCCAGCGTTATGTTCGACAGTTTCCTGCGCAGTAGACGATATCTCGAGGGAAGACTGTTCCTTAATCTGTATGGAAATATTTTATCCAAGCCTTTCCACTCTAGCCCGTACTTCCTTACTGAGTACAACAAGAGCTGATCTTCTTCACTAAATACCAAAAAACAAACAAAAAATATAAGTATTTTTAATAGCTAATTAATGAAGCTACTAATATTCATTAGAATAAGCTCACAATGTCCATTTATCATAATTTCCGAATAAATATTCAGCCCTTTTCCGCCAAACATTGCAATGCCTCCAAGGAAGTGGATACTGCAATATGGAAAACTTCTTCCCGGCAAATAAAGCGTCTTTGTGCAACTCCATTACGACTAAAAGTGCAGCGTCTTCGGCAGGATAAAAATTCCCAATTGCGAAACGTGGATTAATTTCTTGCCATGTAATACCAAATGACAAGAGGTCAACTGGTCCAAACTTTTTTGTCAGGCGGTGCACAATTCGAGGGACATGACCAACATATTGTTTAATGTGAAGAAATGCGGTGAGTTTATCGTCGTAATTGCGCATAAAGGTATTTGTATCTGTGTTGCATATAAAGTTCTTATAAGCCTGGAATATTCTAATAGGAGAGCGGTTCGTTCCTAATTCATTCGCAACCTTTGCCCAATCAATCCCCTTAACACCACTCTGTGTTCCAATCAAGAGCTAAAATAAACAAAATTGAATTATGGTTAGCAGTTAATGAAGTAGTTTTCAAATAAATCAAAGGAAATGAATCACCTTCAGGTTACTCAACTCTGTTTTTGACATTTGACTATGGTTGTACTCACTACTTTTACAAAACCGATAAATGTTCTTCATCTCTTCTGCTGACTCCGTGCGATTGGTCAGCATAAACTACGACGAGAAGCAACAACAAAGTAGTAATTAATGAATATTTGGTCATTTAAACTAATTATGTATGCATATTTATAGCTTAATTTTTACCATATCTTTCTCAACCATCAGCCAGTCTACATCCTTCACGTCCAGTGTTTCCTCATGAGAAATTCGTTTCATATAGAGGACTTGAGATTCGTGCTGCTTCCACGCAATCAAATCCTTAAGATCAATGACAACATTTTGACCATCTTTTCCCACATTACGCAAAAGAAAAGTTTTGATTGGAGTTTTATCCCTTTCATGTTGAGCAACTAAGTCTTCAATCAAGTTGAGTTCCATCTTCATAAACCTGTTTAGGATAATACGGAACTTGTTGATTTTTAATGACTCTGCCATTCGATCGATTTTCATTACACTCCAAAGTTCTTGATCCATATCGCGTTTAATACTGTGGATTTGGTTCAAATCTTCCAACGAAAATCCCATTTCTAACATCATTTGCTGAAACCGACCATCAATGAAGAAAAGTTGTCGATGGTAATACGAATTATAAACACATAACTCTAATTTGTTGAGATCACAGGATTTCCCTATGAAACACAAAAAGTATTACAAATATAATCTTAAAATCATAATCTGAGTAATAATGTCTGCTGGTGCAAGGAACTCTTACATTCCATAGTCTTCTCATGAACAAACGGAAATTTCTCTTGACCACAGTTGCTTGAAGGCACAGTTAAAAATCCAGATTCCGTATCTGCAGAAATATATGGCGTTTTAAATTTATGCTTCAAATCAGTGGCAACTTGACTAAAGGAAGACATTGGTGCTTGTCGGATGTAATTGGAATTGCTTAAATTTTTTATCTGTAATAAAAACAAAACGCAGTAAATTATTTGAAAAGTTCAAGTAGTACAGCAATAAAAAACAATGAATAATCAAGAATTTGAATCTTGCATAGCATTTTCGATGATAAAATAAGATAATCTCAAGTTCATCAGTCAGTTCTTGGACAAAAGAAGCTAATCCCTTGATATCGACCAACTTTGAATCTGAAGTTATTTCCGGAATCGGAATTTTCAAGAGGGAGGAGGAAGGAGAAGTTTGTGGTGGCAAGGATGTCGACGAAGAGCATACTAACGGATCGTCTTGAAGATTCCTTGTAGCTTCAGCTCCTGTGAGGTTTACTGGGTCATTCTCTTGTGATTGAGATTGTGCTTCATTATATTCTTTGAGGATTTCGTCCAATTCCAAGTCAAGATTATCGTCAACAGCATCAACCGTTCCGAGACCTAAGCCACAGTCTAAGTGCATGGAAAAAATAATAATTACAAATTAATTAGCGATTTGTAAAAAAAAACTCAAATAAATATGAAATAAAATTTGTAATCTTGAAATTCTTACAATTAGCCGCTGTGTTCCAATTCCATTCGGGAAAGAACTCTTCCATTTTTGAAAAGCTGGTTTATAATAATGTACTTTAAATTATAAATATATTTTTACTTTATACTGTATATAAAAAACAGTGTTGGCTGACTTCACACATACTACTTTTGTTCGTGAATTTGTCCATTGATGTTTTAGTACGAATTAAAAAAGCGTTCTGAATTTGTATATGTAAAGTATGTAAATACAATTTTGAGCTAACAAATGGACCAAAATCGAATTAAATGCAAATTAAATTCTAGTAAAGCCACATGCAAATACGTATTTACAAAGTGCAAGGACATTGATCGACCGGCTTGAAATCATTACGTTCGGGGTGAAATGCATTGCACGGTTTGTTATTGTTGTGAATCAGCGGCGATTTTACTTTCATTTGATGACACGCGACGAATGCAGACTTCAGAGTCGAAGTGATGAATGAACACTTATCTTTCTTCTCGATAACATCTGTTTGAAGTTTCTGTCCTTCCATCACGGAAAGGTGAAATTTACTAAAAAACGACTACTGTTCAGCAGTGTAAAGTTATTTATTTGTGCAAATGTAGAATGGAATTTTGGACTTGTAAAAGAAAACACAAGATTTCAAAGTAAACTGCCATCAATTATCAATCAATTAGAATGGCACGAAGCAGCAGCATGAAATTATTGGACTACGTCAAGGCTGAGGTGACACGGGGTTATCAGCTGGAATTGGAAGAGGAACGATTTCAAGCAAGGCGAGAAAAAGTAGGAATTTTTTGCTCATTTGAATGAAATATTAAAATGACATTATTTGAATTCATGTTTTTATAAACTTTTGAACGCATTTTAAAGGTGTACATGTTTATGACAATTCCGCACGAGTTGGAGCGACTCATGGGATATGGATTCTTTCAATGTGCAGATGCATTCCTCTTCCTTTTTACATACCTTCCTTTAAGAGTTGGCTTCAAAGTTTGTCATTATCTTACGTACTGTTTTAAATCTCTGTTCCGAAGGTGGGTATATTTTGAAAATAGGTCAAGCAATCATTTATTAGTTATCAATCAATGTCTGATTTTAATTCATATGTACGTACTATTGTAGAACAACCAATACGAAGGAAGGAAATGGCCAATGGCGACCGGCCGATCGATGCGATCTCTTAAAATTATGTATTTTAATCGTCAGTGTGTACTTATTCACATATATCGACACGAGTGTGCTGTACCATGTGATTAAATCTCAGTCAGTTATCAAGCTGTACATATTTTTCAATATGTTAGAAGTTGGCGATAGGTTGTTTGCGTCATTTGTTCAGGACACAATTGGTAAGCTTTAAGAATATTTGATGATCTTTACTAGTTGATCATGATTATGTATCTTTTTGTCTGATTAGTGATTTGTAAATCTAATTGAGGTTGATTTTGTAGATGCGCTGCTTCTCACGGCTACAGAAGAATGTCCCAAAAAATCAAAGAGCAAAACCATGGGACTTACGTCACACTTATTGTTAACCATTCTTTCAGTTTTTGGGCACGCGTTAGTTATTCTGTTGCAAGGAACAACGTTATCAGTAGCCATAAATGCCAACAACCGTGCCTTGTTGACTGTCATGATGTCAAATAATTTCGTAGAGTTGAAAGGAGCTGTGTTCAAAAAGTTTGATAAAATCAATCTATTTCAAGTTCGTAAAAATTCCTTAAATTGGGTAAAATTAAGGGAAATTAGAAATATAATAATAATTAACAAGAAATATATATTAAATTTGTAGGTTGCTTGCAGCGATGTCAGAGAAAGATTTCACTTATTCATTCTACTGTTGGTCGTGTGCCTACAAACGATGAGGGAATATTCCTGGGAGGTAAACCATTTTTTTACAACCTTGTCACTATAATAATCCCATGTTGGAGTTTCTTAGGATTAGTTATTCGCAGACTTATTGGTACACAAATTAAATTTATTTCAGGAATCCAGATTCTGGGTGTTATTTCCAGACTGCGTAATGGTTTTACTGTCAGAAGTCGTCGTAGATTGGTTGAAACATGCCTTCATCACAAGATTTAACGAGATTCCTGCAGAGGTACTTAATTACTACATATGAATGTTTAGGTCCTTTTTAAATTAATGTTTCTGTGTTACACTATTTGTTAGGTGTACCGAGAGTACACCTTGTCACTTGCTTACGATTTAGCACAAACAAAACAACGGAAGGCGTTTTCGGATCACTCTGACATGGTTGGACGAAGACTTGGTTTTGTGCCCTTGCCTTTAGCCGTTGTTTTGGCCAGAGTTTTGAGACCATGTATTAGCCACGGAGATATGGGGACCATATTGCTGACATTCTTGGGATTTATAGCACTGGCCACGTTTAGGACATTGAATTCCATAATTTTGTTGGGTAAGTTGATAGTCAATGAGCTTTTCGTCATTTTAATTATTCGTAATAAATAGTTTAAGGTTGAAATTAAATTACCTTTATTTATGTATAGGAAAGGCATGCGACCTAATTGATCAACATGTAACATCGTCATCAGTTGCATCAATTCAAAGCCCTTCTCATGTCCAACAACAAGCTCCCTTGCATTTCCAAACCGCTGGGAATCTGATACAAACGCAAACAATGGAATCCATTAAATTGGAACCTGCAACCAATGATGCTAGAACAAGAACGCCAAGTCCAACGTCAAATCCTGCAAATTATATCTTGCAACATGATCATCTTGCAGAATTACGGAAACCACCTCCTTTGGAGAAGCGAGATAGTAGAATTAAGTTGTCGAGGTCTTATAGTGCTAGCCATACTCCGCGACCTTCGATCGGAAGCATTAATGATCTTCCTCCACTTCCACCGTATCCTTCAGATTATAACGATGACAGCAAGTTGCTTCCAGCCAATAGTTTAGTTAGCATATTGAGCGTTAATTTTAATGAAGAAATGATTGCCAACAACGAACAGATGGAATCGGAACAACCTTCAATCAAAAAAATGACCCGAAAACATTCTTTGGGTAGCAATTTGGCTGAGTCAGAAGATGTGCTGTCGGCACAGCCAAAGTCAGAAGAAGACACTGCTATTGCTACGACCACTAGTCATATAAAACTTGAAGCAATAGATGTTATTGAACAAGATCCAGAGGACGATAACAATCTCAATCTCAGCTATTGTGGATCTCCAGAATCAGACTCGGTACTGGAACAAACTACTTTGGAATTAGAAAAACTTATTTTAATGGAAGAAGCCAATGAGACCCAACGTGACCAAGACTTGGAGAAAGTTGTTGGTGGTATATCCAGCTCAGAGCACAATACAAACAGCTCAGGCGAAGTCAGACATCGTGTCAAGAAAAAATCGTTCACTGGATGGTTTAAAGATTTGGGTTCGTCGTCTAAAGTTAATGAAAATAACTCTGAAAAGTCGTAGACTACACAATAGTGTAGAATGACGCAAAGATAAGATTATTTATTTTACTCAAATCGATCGACAGATACATGTTGAAAATTATTTTTTGTAGCTTGTTCAAAATTGTCGCATCACACAAAAATATACATTATAGTATAGCTTTAAGTTCGTTATTATGTTAAAGCATTTAATAAATTTCCTAAATTCATCCCAAAAAATCCGGCATTTGAATTAGCTGAAGCTTGGCATAGTTTAAATTCCTCTAGTAATTTATCTTTGACATTCAGATTCTTAGGGCAAGTCATGCTGACACTAAGTTCCCCTTTGTACATGATGGAGTTAAAGTTACAACATGCTCCTCCCAGGAATGATGGACAACCTGATTGAACTGTGATTGCAGAAACATCTTTCTCCAAGAACTTCCGCCTCAAAGTTGATCCAGGAAAGATGTTGAGTATAACGGACCCTAGGGGAAGTAATCGGGCAAAATATTTGGTCAGATAGGAGTTTAAACCACCGATCAAGAGCACGAGACCAAAAGTGATGTATGGAGTCGTCGAAAAGATCATGTCTCCTATGGATTGCAACATGGCCCCAAGACGTGCGATGGGTTGGGTCGTGGCCGTCTCCCCTGCGATGGGAATTAGAGCCCTGTGTATGTAAATAAAATCAACATTTACTTGTGTGCCCAGTTTTTACACGCTTATCAATTTCGCGAACTCAGATTCACGCGAGCCGAATTTTCTTACACATAATTGCTGATTCTGTCAGCAGGAAACGGGATTGGCATTGGACAATTGATTTTGAACAGATTGGGAACATTGGTAACTTTGAGGTCCTCCTGTCCATCACAATCAGCAATTCTTCTAACAATCCCTGTCACAATCGAAACTGACAAGGCACCTAAAATGGAAAGAGATAAATTATTCGGTGCTTTAAAAAATTGCAAAGGTTCAAGTGATTATTTATACCAATGAATATACCAACGCGCATTATCTTTACTATGTATGTGTATATTATAATTAATTGACAGTCATGCAGAATTAATCTTATGCCCTCACCTGTTGGAGCCATGTTGGACATTGCAATTCGTCTGGCATTTTCCAAATATACTTCCTCAATCACTTTAGTCTCGGTATTGGACTCTAGTTTGTTCATCAGCGTTCTTAACATTTTATTGTTGTCAGACTGTGATACCCTTGCATGCGCCCAGTCCCACGCCATATAAAAAGGACCCAAACCCAACACCCTAAGGCCAAACTTGACCTTTTCCTTTAAACTCATTATTGAATTCTGGTTCCCCATAAATAAGTTGAGCATGACTTGATGCTCTGGAACCATTTTAAGTTCATCAAAAATACTAAAGAAGCTCGTTCCATCTGCAAGTGACTGATGCACTCTGAAAAAAATTACAGTTTGTCGGGTAACGTTCCGGATTATTTTCTCTGGGAGAACATTCGTGTATACGATGCACTCCCACAACGGCTGGTTTTTCTTAAATGGTCTGTCAACCAAAGATTTGTGAATATCTTTGATTTCATCTGTTGACACTTGGTCCTCATTGAACTCCAACTGGTCATTGAGTTGGAAAGGTTTGTTTTCGTCAAATCGTTTCCAAAAGTAGAAACCCATCCAGTTTTCCAAAGTTTGAGAAAGGACGCTAAATTTTTCATTGCAAATAGCAACTTGTAGTCGGGATTCCAATTCCTTCCTACCAATTTCACCATCCAGCAAAAACTTGGTGACATAAGTACCTTCCGGCTTCGTGTATATGGCGTCCGTGGCCATGATATTGCTTTGATAGGAAAAAAAAGTTTATTATCAAAAATGAGTCCATGATCAGTACGAATGGAATTAGCATAACAGTTTGGCGTAATATTTTGCATAATTTGGTACCTTTGAGGGGTCAACATTCTATCCAGGTCTGGACGAATTAGACGAGCTGCTAAGTACGCTAACAAACGAAATAAATATACTGGAAGACACACAAAAATAACGAATGCTGCGAATATCGTTAGTGCAAATAGAGCTAAAACCGTTTGGAGACAAACGGTTCCCCACGATTCAGTTTCGTCTGTTTTAGACATTTCGAAAAAATTGTAAGGGTTTTAACTTTTAACATAAAACTCTAATATGAACCAAAGAGGAAGTAAACTCTCGTAATTAATGCTTTTTACAAAGGATACATTATATGTATGTATATGTATGCAAATATTCTCTTTTGTAGACCAAGATCTCTAGAATTACTGAAGTGACTTGCAAACATCCAGTTGCAAGAAGCAGAAAGTAGAAGCTTGCAAAGCTTGACCACATATACATTCATAGGGAGACGAAGTAATGATTGCGAAATAGTGTAAAATCCAGTGATGTGAACCAGAATCTGGCAACTAAAAGCAGGTTCAGAATCATTTAATCCATGTTAGGTGGTGGTTATCCAGCAATTGCATGCTCCTCACGCTATTTAATGACACTTACCACGGTAAAGTGTGGGGTGGATCTTATTTCGCTTACACATTTTCATGAGGCAGAAGAAAATACAATTTGAATGCAGATTCAATGATTCTGAATCCGGTTTTATATAGAAAATTCCCACGCGTGGTACGTACCCCAGATTTACAATTCACATGTAACGTGTACACAATTGAAGAATACAGGTATACATTAACCTTAAAGGAAAACATTATGCGCCTTACGGAATGGAAGGTGGATCGCAATTAAGGATTGTGGTGGGATTCCATTCATTTTTAACAACGTGTGATCCGATTGCAATGCAAATTTTCAAAGGTATGACCAATATAGGTGGTTGGATTATTGACAAGGTTGAGCACAATAGACGAATAAGCGGATGTGATGGAGAGGTTTTATAATTAAAGGACTTTGAGCTTGCATCACATATCACGTGGCTTAATTTGTCATTCAAAACAAATTTTAAAATGTACCGGATGTCATTTAACTTGCAGAAATTATTTCGGAATTGTTTTCGAGATAAAATAATTTGAGACAATTTGTTAGTTTGGATAGTGCATCATGGGCTTTACATTGGACTCAATAATGATTATAAATTAATTAATTTTGATGAGTCATTTACTATTTTATGGTAATCGCTCCTACTGATGATTTGTCATAAATTTTTATTCTATAAAAGGCGTTCAGACTGGCATTTTAAAATATATAATTTTCGTAAATCTTCGAGTAATTAATTCAATAACTTTGCATAATAATGGCAGGTTTCGCAACTGTCAGACTTTTATTTTTCGCATACATTTTTGGCATAATTTTGTTGTTCCGAGCACAAGTTGAGAACGCTCCACTAAACGATGAAAGTAAACCACCATGCGTCTACGTAGCGAATATGGAGTCCGCATTAAAGAAAGCGTTTGCCAATTGCAAAAATGAACTGCATTTGACAGACGTTCCTGACTTGCATGCACCGATGGATATCTTGGACGAGTATTATAAAAATATGGTTAAAAATGGATTCGATGATAAGGTATGTACGAATGACTCTGGATTACGTAAAAATCACATAAAGTTATATATGTCTATAATGTCATTTCCTAATTATGTATTCATTTATTACATCGGGCTATGCTACAAAGTGTTTCAGTAAGTGTTTAATGGAGAAGTTAAACATGGTAAGAGTTAATTATTGATTCCCAGTGACAATAAATTGGTCGTAACTTCTTTCTATCCTAAATTTTCTTGGTAGTTGACTCTGGATGGCAAAACAGACTTAAAAGCTGTAGAAAAACTCTACCAAGGAGGCAACTTAACGGACGCAATTAGAAAAGACTTGGTGAAGGAATGGGACATTTGCAACATGAAAATTGGTATTCTTTTAACGAAACTAATTAAATCGATTAAAGCTATAAAACTTTATTAATTTAAAGTGTTAAATACAATACACTACGATATAGAAAAAGATTTTCCGGGTGGAGGCGACGAATCAAAAATTTGTCGCAAAGTAGCAGCAATTGATAACTGTTTGTTCAGCAAATCGCAAGAACTAAACCTTGTGAGTTGAAATATTGTCATTTATAAGTTTCATGATTTTTTTATAATATGTAATAATTCCCATAGCCCTGTCCGTTGTAAAAGGTATATGCACATATGTATGTATATACTGAATTTGAAATAATATGGACCACACGGAAATGGAAGTTAAAAATAGTAACAGTTTATTATGTAATACTATGTTAATGACTATTCAATGTATAAAAGCCTATAAACAATTAAAACGATTGTTGACGGGAAAAAGATAGTTTCTACAACTCTTGCATGTATGAATACCACATCGGTACGTCTTAACGGTTCCGCCGGTATCTCCTTTGTTCCGACAGTACTTGTGAGAGCATTAAAAAAGAAATTATATTTACTACAGAAGAGTGACGAATTCAATAAAATAATTACCTTCAGAGCACAGGGAAACCATCCTACGCAGACTGGATGGGAACATAAGCAGGGCACCCCACTCGCTCTGGTGACCGTGGAGCAGTCCGACGTTGCGATTATCACTGGACGAACCGCTCGAAGAAAGCTTTCCGAATTGTTCCCGTTTTCGTGAAAGTTACTCATGAGATCCAATTTGTTGACATATGTGACCGACTCTTTGCATATAGTTTTCAGATGAGGGGAAATCCAGTCGCTGGAAGTAATAAAAAAATAATAAATTTAAACCTATAGACCTATGCTTCTCAAGCATCAGAATATTGAAAGTGGAAAAATTCTATCCAAGAAACAAATACTTTTTATGCCATATAATATTGTAGTGCTTACCTGTGCTTTCCTGTAGCGAGCAAACTGTCAAGCGTGGAATTGGGGTGTGTGGCGTCAGATTCAGACGATGATAGTGAAAGTTGTCGCTCAGGAATTCGAATTGACCAAGGGTTTTTCTGTGTAAAGTCCAGATTAAATAAATACCAAACACAAAAATAATTTCAAGCGGTTAATATATTTAACCATATTCATAAAAATGTGTGCATTATGTACCTGGCGTAATTTTGTCATCGCATCCGGGGGAATAAAGTCACCTTTGATAAACTTTGTAACTATTGAATAAGCACAAATATAAACAATTACAACGATACAGATAATAGTAAATAAATAATTTCTACTGCTTTCTTGATCCAGACATTTAGTACTTTACTTTGCTTACCAAAGCAATAACTCATAAATGGAGGATCTCCGGTTAGTTCTTCCTCCCCTAGAACGTCCGTTTGGATTATTTGAATTTCCTTGAATCAGAAAATTGATAAATAAATATGCTACAACCCAGTAGTTCCGAATTTGTTTTAAATACATTTTTGAAATCAATGAATAACAAAACGGTTGAGCCATCTCCTGGAGATTCGAATGATAAGTTGATCGTCTCTTCGTTTACATCTGACAATATTTCTTCCTTGTAAATATCTCCCCCCTAAAAAAAGTAATTCAACAAAGTCAATTTACTTTCTGCCTACTGCATTTCCTAAGACGTTGACCAAGTTTAAATAAAGTTACCTGATTGCGAACATTTACCACTAAATCCAGACTAGCGTCTTTAATTATGATTGTGCACAGGAGGATGCCTAACCTTGTCCAGTAACTTGATACCGTCATTATAATTGTTTTTACATTGTTATTCGAGAGTAAATTATTGTGCTAAATAACTACAGAAGTGTGTTTCACTTCACTGTTATTGAGTTCTAAGGATGAGCTGAAGCACAGCTGAAGGTATAAGTAGAGCGTACAATTCTATACGTACATTTATGAATTAGGGTCTAAATGTCTCACTTTTCTCCTTTTTACTTTCCACCGTGTCGCTTTCCTCGTGATGAAATGTAAGCTCTTTTGTTAGCGAACCACAAAATGAGACTTTCTCCAACCAAAACTATAATGCAACTTGAACAGAGAAGTAAATGCAACTGAACGATTCTAAATAATTTCCATGAAGAGGACAACGTTTTCGAAATACTACTCGAGCCAAGAATTCCATTTAGACTCATATTCCTTTTTAGGTTCGCTGTATATCGCTCTCCACCCGTAAAATATAGGTCTTCCCAAAAGTTGTGGATCCCACTTTTTAGAACTTTCAGCACTATTTGATAAGCAATCTCGGAATGGAGACCTCGAATCCAAAACGTATAGATTCCTCTTGCAAACTCTTCATCGACAATGTGGCATTGAGCAGTTCCATTCGACCAGTATTCGACACCGTCCATATTTTGCTGTGCAAATTTCGATCCAACTTTTGTTCCATCATATTTCTTGGGGTCGTGGCTTGTTGCGAAATATGCGACGCATGCCACGGGCCAGTCTTTGGTCCCGTTTTCAGATATGTCAAACAGCTTGTTATATTCTGAATCGGGGGAGTCAACAGTCAGATCGAATTTTAAAAATTGGTTGGGAAATTCCGATACGAAATCAAAAGCTTCGTGAATGTTGAGAGCATATATTTTATAACCTTTCGAGAAAAACTGTGCCATTGATTGAATTCTATCAGTATTAGTCGGTACAACAATTTCTGTGGTCAGCATTCCTGAAAAAGAATAGTGCAGAACCAGCAGCACGGCCAAACTTGCTTGCAGGATTTTAGACCACTTTTTCTGAAAATGGTGACCAATCAAAATCATCCAAAAATCAAGACAGTAAGCTGTATTCCGATGAAATAATCCATAAAATATCGAGAAACCTAACAGTATGAGCCACACTGACAATTTGAAACTGTTCTTAAAAATGTCAAACATGCCTATTCTCCCAATTTCAAATGAGCTTCTACAGTACAGAAATTGGAACGAGTTTGTAAGCGTGGTCACTAATTTAAGACCTTGCACAAACCGTGGTTTTGCTTCGTAAGGTAAAGCGCAATGAATACAAAGAAATAAACCTCGAAAGTCAGTAATTAACGCAAAATTGTCTTCGTGTATTTTTGACTCCATTTTTTGAGTTTTTGTCAAATTTGTCTTGATCTTTAATAAGTATACAGCTCGTTCCAGTAGAAGTGATGTAAAATTTAGTTTCTTTTGAAGAATGGCCCAAATAAAAAAGAGACGTGAGCCGGCTGGTTGATATTTTCCTCTAATGGTTCGTTCCTCTATTGTAGCCAATCCAATTGTTTGAGATAAGTCTTGAAGTGACTTTTCAAGTATGTTCTCCCACACGACGTCCACCCCAGCTTGAACCAAAACTTCAGCTCCCATGAAATCTGACCTTGTTTTGTCCTTCCCAGGAAGGTACGAATTTGGTGATGACGAACAAAATGACGAAATGATTAATTGGACTATTATATTTGACTGATTCAAAGGGATAGTGATTGGTTTTGTGCCGTCAGTAGATGCTCCTAAATTACAGGAAATTTGATAACAAGAAACGGCCCAATGTACGCCTTGTAACAGGACTATGATAAGTGGTAGAAACTGTTCATAAGGCTGGATTTTTTGTATCTGCTGCAAGGTATCCTCTTCACCTTTAGATTTGTTATTCAAAGACTGGTCTACGACAAGTATTCCACGAGAATATTGCATCATTGGGAAAGATATTCTCCAAAATTTTGAAAACTCGCCCAAATTTAAGGACATAAAAATGATGATGGACCCATTCAAAAATCTTTGATGGACAAACTGAAGCCTCGTATACTGTAGACTCGTTGATTGTAGTGTAAGTGATTGATAGCTTTTCCTGTTATTGTCGTCGTTTTTGTCGTTGCACATTGTACTAAATTGTACAATTAAACTTTCCGATTCAAGACTAATGTTGGCAGAAATACCAATAAACAAGTTAACATTATTATTGAAGCTGTTATTGCTTGCGGCAAAATGTGCTTCAAAAAGTGTTGCAATAAAAAATAGAGCAATGTGTAGAACACCCATTTTCGAATGTGTACAAACAACTCCTGGATTTTACTTGGACGGTGTGTCTAATAAACGTTGGTTTGAAATGGAAAATGCATGACGGAAGCATTATGCAATGCCAATAAAGTTATGAAAACTATGCAGTTTATTCATCATTATGAAAATACAATGCAATGCAAAGAGTTCTTGACATTCTAACAATTCGGGAGCGCTATAGTGCACAATTGAATGGTGGTTCAAGACTGACAAATTTGATATCAACATCTCTAAATATATCTGAACCTGTGTATGGGTCCGCCTGTTCCATTCTTGAAGTAAAAATTGAGAAAATTGATTATTTGCCCACTGCAATTGAAATAATTACTACTGTTTACACCTCCAAAACTAGTTTACAAACATCGGTCTCGAGACATTATTGTTAACCTACATAAATATAACTTGTGACAAATTGACAACCTGACATCAACAACAACCACGTAAAAACGCTATGAATTATATATGACAGTTAATGATGTTTTCGCACCAGTAGTTGTACTATAGCCGTTGTAACCTTTATTAATATAAATATGTACAAATAGCACACATATTGCATATGTATGTACATACATATAATACGTATGTACATACGTGCCTAAAATTGTAGAATTTGTAAAATGATTTCAATGATTAACCTTAAAATTATACACACTTGACTTCCTAAATGTTTTAATCATGTGGAAACTGAATTTTATTTTAAATTAAAGTCAATCATATTCCCATTGTGCATTCTTTTATGTATCGATAAATCCCCATTGTTTTATCACGAGCACGTCAGATTTCATCCCATTTGCATATGTGGATATATACTTTATGAGCATAATAATTATATGCATACATATGTGCATATGTATGTATCTCTAGATTATACTTATCTCATAATCAAAATACAATTCAATCACCATCAGACAACAGTCTTTCAAATTCAATTCGTTTGTTTTAGTGTCAATTTACTTTTAACAAAAATTAGAAACATGAATAAAGAATCAAATTACTCTGAGACCCTTAAGGACAAGTTTGGTTGGGAGGAATATACGGTATTTTCCATTGTACTAGTGTTATCAACAGGGATTGGTCTTTTCTATGGAGTATATAAACGCAAAGAGCAAAGCAAAGACGAATATCTCATGGGTAAACTGCAATATTTAATACCTATGATAAAGATACATGTAATACATATAGGATACATATGAAAAAAAAATCAACGATTGAAAAATTCTCTTAAAATTTACATACAAAATTAGGTAGCAGACAAATGTCAGCAGTCCCCGTTGCCTTATCCTTGATGTCCAGTTTTATTTCTGCTATCGCGATGCTGGGAAATCCTATGGAAGTGTATTTATATGGAACACAATACTTAACCGTTATTATTTCGTTCATCCCAATGACCTTTGTGCTCATTTACGTGTATGCCAACGTGTATTTCAAAATGCAGTTGACTTCATCATACGAGGTATAGTAACATTATGTATTACCGTAGCCACCTAAGGTAGGGCTGTCTCATCTTACGAGAAACAAAAACCATGGACCGTAAATTTGGTCTCTGGCCTGCCCTACCTTAGGTGGCTACGGTAATACTTGTAGGCTTAGTAATTCGCAACCCCTTCAAAAGCGTAAGAAATTCATTTATTTGCAACAGTACCTGGAAATTCGCTTTAATTCTGCAGTTCGGTACCTTGTTTCCATCATTAATATTCTTTACTTGGTAAGTTTAAATTTAAAGTGCTAATTTTGTGGATAAGACATAAAATTGAAAACCATATTATTTTTACTCTATATTACAGATAATGTATTGTTCTCTTGTGGTGTATGGCCCAAGTCTTGCGCTGAACCAAGGTTGGATACATAAATTTGAATACATGCAGAAAATACTCAGCTTTATAATTATGTCATGATAAATTAATTTAAACAGTGACTGGATTCGACATTAATTTATCGGTTGCCATTATATTCGCCGTTTGCATATTTTACGCGTCAATTGGAGGATTTCGTGCCGTTTTGATGACGGATGCATTGCAAGCAATAATTATGATTGGGTCAATGTTGGCAATTAATATCAAAGGTTTCTCGGATGAAGGATTTCAATCAATATGGGAGAAACTGGAGGAAACACGCCGTATAGAATTTTTTCGATTTGACACTGACCCTAGGACGAGGCACACAGTTTGGTCCATTGTTTTTGGAGGATTTTTCATGTACCTTAATTTTTTAAGTACCTTAATTAAGTACCTTTTTAAGTACCTTAATTAAGTACATTTTTAAGTACCTTTCTTAAGGTACTTTAATAAAGTACCTTTTTAAGTACCTTTTTTTAAGGTACCTTAAAATTTTAAGGTACCTGAATTTTTTCGCCGGAACGCAGGCAAATATTCAACGGTACTCATCCATGCCTGATTTGAAGACTGTGAGGAAGTGAGTCATTCAAATATACAGGGTGGTTTAAATGTCAGGTTACAATGGAAAATTTTTCAATGGGAAAAATTCGCAAATCTCCATTAGTTACCGAAATTTTGCACCTGAAATCCAATATTTTAATAATTTTATCATCAGTGTTCCATAAGTTTTGATAAAAATTAATAAAAATCTCAATCCCAAATCTGTAACTAATGGAAATTTACGAATTTTTCCCATTGAAAAATTTTCCATTGTACTCTGACATTTAAACCACCCTGTACTTATTTATTGCTACTCTTATTTATGGATGAAAAATGGCGTGTTAAATTATTTAACGCACATTTGGAATATTTAACTTAAATATTCAAATCTGGCAGAGCGATTCTAATCAATTACGTGGCATTAACTGTAATGATGACGTGCGTGGTCATGAGCGGACTAATTATTCTTGGAAAGTACTTTCATTGTGACCCATATTCAGCGAAAGTACGATGACCATAAATGCTAATATATATATATGTATTTACATATATTTGACTGCTTAGATAATTATTAAGAGATGAGAATATTTTCAGTTGATCGAGTCCTCTGATCAAACAATTCCATTCTTGGTGATGGACATATTGGGCGACTATCCCGGATTGAGTGGAGTGTTTGTCGCTGGAATTACGTGTGCTAGCTTATCTACAGGTGAAGGGCGAATTTTCTACTGATTTCCCTAATTGTATAAATCATTCCATGTTCCAATAATTTAGTACAGTTTCCAGTGGACTAAATTCACTAGCAGCTATAATCACAGTAATAACTTTTTTTAATAATATTAAAGTCTTAAAAATTTATTGAACTCAATATTAAATAAATCTTAGGAAGATTATGTGAGAAAGTTTAAACCCGATATATCGGACGCAGTGCTCCTGAACGTTTCCAGGATTGTTTCTATTGTGTCAGGGATTCTCTCGTTTGGATTTGTCTTCATTGCAATGAATATGGGAAATATTTATCCTGTAATTTATTATATCTAATGTCACAAATATTTAACCCGTAATGCTTAAGTTTCTACAAATAATTAATTAAACTAGGTAGCAATTTCGATTGGGGGGATGGTTATGGGTCCAACAACAGGCCTCTTTACGCTAGGAATTATTTTTCCGTTCGCAAATTCGTGGGTAAATACACGACGTTGTAATACACAGCAAAATTATGACAATAATATATGATCTGATTATTTTTTTCCGTGTGTACAGGGTGCTTTCCTCGGGGTGGTTTCTTCTTTCATGTTCACAGGATTATTAACAATCGGTTCATCAATCGCTGGAATGAATAAACTTTTACCAGACCAGTCACTCTCAGTTTCTACAGAAAATTGTTCCGCCTACTTGTCGGGAATAGACTTGGAGAACATCAAACATGTGAACCATTCATATGCTCCAGGTTTTGATTGGAAGGAACGCCATGAAAATGATTCTCCTTACATTAAGCTCGTTTCCACATCTTATCTCTTGTTCCACGGAATTGGTGTGCTCGGCTCCGTTTTCTTTGGATTATTCTTTAGTTTGACAATAAAACTGAGCAATTTAGACAGGGATAAACCAGTCAAAAAAGAATGCTTAAATGAGTATTTTTTAACACTTTGGAAATGGGTTGCACCAAATCAAATTGCAAATTTAGTTGAGGAGAAAGATACCTTAAAAAATGGTGTAAGCGATGAAACTAATAAAACTCATGGATTGTAAACATTGTAACTAAATACTTTATAATGCATGCCAGATTTAATATTCCTACTTGAGCAATTATTACGCAGTAATTATAATTACTTCGTATACACCTAACCTACATATATACATTCATAGGTATCAAATTAATTATCCAATAGGTCATCTAGTTCATGGACAACTTTTACAACAGTTTGATAACATGTAATTGCTTTGTTAATAATTCTGACGACTGTATTTGAATTTAAGTTTTGTATTTCTTTAACGACTCGACTCTTCAAATTAAGCAGCTCTCTCTCCACCTTGTGAATTTGTGTCCTTGCTGAGATTTTTGTCAAACTCTTGTCCCTTATCTCCCCACCTATGATTTCGCAAGCTTCATTTACAGTGGCGATTGCGTTGTCGACAAGACGAGCAATTGTCCTACCAGTGCCTACATGTTCATCAGCTAATGCATCCTCTTTTATTGATTCCAGTCCATCCAATATTATTCGTTTTAAATCTGATACTTTGTCTTGAATTGCTTCAAAATCCAGATTTGAGACTGTTGGAATCAAATTAGTTAAATGAATTAAAATATTTGTGGATATACTTTTTTTTAATTAACATTATTACTAACCTTGATTTGGCACATCATCATTGCAGTCTACAGTTGTAATTATAGTTATAATTATGTTAACCACAACTGAGAACCACCCCAAATGTGGGGCTCTCAAAGAAGGCGATAAATTCCTGTACATTCTGGATATAACTAGTCTTGCACTAGTATGAAATTGAAAGTGCATTAACAGACTGCTAGTTTTATGACATCAGAATGCAACAATTGTGCTTTATATTAACGGCATTATTAAAACTAACAATAGTGTTTGCCAGTACTAAAGTTTCACGGCCAAATTAAGTTTATCGATTCCATATCCTGTCAAAATCAGGCTTTGATTTGTATGAAAAAGATAATTTTCATTGTTAAAAAATATGACAAAACTGGAAAAAATACTTCTGAGAAATTAGATTTCTTCGAGAGAGTGGGATTTTCATTAGTTTATTTGCATAAATAATAATAATAATAATAATAAGGAAAGATTGCACCCGAGTGATAAATACGCATTCTTTCTTACATACGTAACACTGTCGTGCTCCACTAGCAGCGTCGCACAGTCGACCACTCAGGTTACATCTGGTTTTGGACTCTCAGCTATTGTGGAGTTCGTAATTCATTACCACTCTGACTTCTGCTCCGGAAACGTTGAGTTGGACATATTTAATAATAATAACAATAATAATACTTCAAAAAGTAAAAATACGTCATTAAAACATTTTAATAGTCAGTCCTAACTGTGACAAGGTAAATATTATTTTTGTCTTGTAATCTCATGTTCAGTAAATTTCGGGCGAAAACCAGTGAAATTCCAAACTAGTATTTTACTAGATATTTACGAGATATTTACTAGATATTTTTAGGAACATGAGCAAGTTTACATACTATGACGATTTGGTCCAACCCGGAGCCAAACTTGTCTGCGTCCTTGGCGAGGTCATCTCTCCTGGAAACTTTTACGTAGTTTTACAATCGGAATGGAATAATTTGGAGCACTTGATGGAGGAAATGCAGTAAGTTTCAGTGAAAAATTATATATTTATACAATTGCATGATTATGATTATTAAAATAATTCATTCAATGCTCGTGTATTTTATCATTTTGTTTAGGTCGGTTTATGATCATATGGAACAGAGACCTGGGGACTTGGACAGAATGGAGAAGGGTCAACCGTTGGCTGTCTTGCGTCCACTGGACCGAGCCTGGCACCGGGCAGTTTTCCTTAACCACGACTCGTCTGGCCGTGATCTTTTTGTGGTAAGTGGTACTTTTTATACATCTTTCATATGTATATATGCCAATTTATAACATGTTACATGCCTAAAAAATGCTATTGTGTATCGTATTTTATAAGGTCAAGCTGGTAGACTACGGTGACATCATTAGCGTCGCTCTCAAGGATATCCGTCCTCTGCGCTCCGACCACGTCGCTGCCCTGATAGGCACAGGGATTCGATGCACCTTATGCCTTGGACCCTCCTACAATCCCCTCGTGACTCTCAATTCGGATGGAACAACGAGGACCGATTACTTCAATGAAGATGAGGGATGGACCCTGGAAGACCGATCCATGCTACTGGACTTCATCTACAATAAGGACGTGCTGGTCGACTTTCAGCAACGAACCGTGCTTTCATCCGTAAGTTCATGCAGATTTACTTACGTGTATGCAAATTACAAATTACGTAATTATTGACCATGCTATTTAAACATGCAGGGAGAGGTTGCATGGGAGGTTTTTATTCACCATGCCACACCCCACATTGAGAGGGAGTTGATGATCAAAACTCGTGGAACTTATTGCAAGGGAGAAGATGAGCCAGAGTATCAATATCCTGAAGACCCTTTCAACATATCTTCCCATTTGGACTCGTTTAAGAATGGCGAACTTCACCACGAGGGGTGGTTGTGAATAGTTGTGATCAACGCAAATCTTAATACTGAATCTTTTGAATTAAATGTAAATTAGCAGCAATGATTCGTTGAATAAAGGTTTTTTGAACGAAATCGTTCTTTCTGGTATTGTCTTATCGATATTGCTCATGCTAATCTAGCAAGCAAGTATTTATTTACATCGTTATTGCATTACATTTAGGGCGATGTGCGACTTGTGAGTTGGGGAGAAGTTTAGTATATCTTATTCCATGCACTCGAGTCCGGCCGAGTTGATTATTTGTAAAAAAAACTTAAAACTGTGTTTATCAAATATCACGTTAATTTGCACAATATTACAAGTGAAGTTTGTGGATGTGACTTAGGGTTAGTTACATAATAAGGCTGCACGTTAAATTGATTTGCCGTAAAAAATTGCATTTCTTGCAAGGTTAGTATATTTTTGAAAACAAACCATTGGATTTAAATTTAAAAACATGGAATTATTGTTTATTTTGTAATATGACAGATGCTGTTGGGGAGTGGAGGTGCAGGTCGTCCCTTGAAGTGCGTACCGTGTGACCTCTGGTCTAGTAGTTACGAATACTGGCTGAGCCATCTCAGCTCGGAATCACATCAGGCCCAGGTTGGGTCCTTGGACAACGGTCACGAGGCCTGGATTGAGGACAAGGATTGCTGCCTCCAAGTGACTGAAGTAAAGGACATTAGCACTCAGTCGTTAATTGCATATCTTGCAAAATTTGGAACAATAATTGACCTCGTTAGACAACAAGATGAAAGAAGGACGGAATTTTATTTCGTAAAGTATGATTCTCAGTAAGTTATTGACCTTAGTTATTTGTTAGTTTATCTGACTATATTATCAGCTATTTGAAACTCTGAAAATGTCACCTGTTTTAATTAATTGTAATTATTTTCTAGAGAACCAGTCAATAAAATTTTGACGGGTCAAAAGAAAGTAGCTCATCAAATTCAAGGGAAGCAAATATTTTTCCGTCGAAAGTATGAATACGCCCAAGGGATGCCAGAGTTGGCGAGTCTAGCGAAACGATCAAATCAAGCCCAGGATTTGAATAATAGTGCAACCGGTGATGCAAATGGGCCAGCAGTGTCGAGTATTGGACTTTTGGCGTCAGAATATTGGGAGTCCAATGATGACGATGATCCGACGGCATTGGAGTCTCTTCAGACCATGTACACTGAGGAGGAGGAAGAAGAACTTTTGAAAAGCCCACAGAGTGAGACTAACCTAGATCAAGAATCGGTGGCTGCGGATCCACCTGACCCAGGGATCCACGAAGAAAGAGGAACGGATGAAAAGGAACAAAAGAAAACTGAGGAGGACGACCATGATTTATTCAGTACAAAGATGATTGAGCATTTATCCAAAGTTTTATCAGATATGACACTCGAAGATCAGTTGGAAACCTTTTGCAAGAATATCATACTCTCTGAGCCATTTTTGGAAGGACGACATAAAATTTTGCAAGAATTGTCAGCCTTAATCAAATCCAGGTATCCTAAATGCACCCTTTTTCCGTTCGGGATGGATCATGTAGGAATTGGCAATAATGCTGATCCAGTCCATGTTTTTGTTGATTTGTTTGGTAAGTTAGTCGGCTCCTCAATTTGACTTTATTCATGCGTATACTATATGTATATGTATATACATATGTCAGTATGCATATTAATAATGTCATTGTCACTTTCAGACAATGTGCTATCCGTTCAGAAACAACCTTGGGAAATAAATTCATCTCAACATTGGAATAATCTGTTTCAAATTCTCAAAGTGGAACAGGATAATTCGAGGTTTTGCTCCAAAGTTTCCAAAACTGAAGACATTATAAATTTTGTACATGTAGAGTCAGGAATCATTGTCACTTTGAACATCTCGTCGCCAAGATATGCACTTGTCCAAGAAGCCTCCCTGCTGAAATTTTATTGTACTATCGATCCCCGAGTTCGACCATTATTGGTATTAATACGATATTGGTCTTCGACAAATACAATTCTGGACTCGCTTCCTGAAAATACCAATGGGCGAATTTTAGTGTTGCTCATGCTATTCCACTTGTCCAATCGAAATGTAATTCCTACTTTGGCTAAGCTTCAGAGCGAGAAACCTGATAGGAAAATTATTCATGAAGGAATAGATCTGTCTTTTTCTACCGATACGTCAAAACTTCCTGCTCCAAATACACTCATTTTACAGGATAAGTCTATCATGGCTTTGAGCACAATGAGCTTGATGCAAGATTTTTTCCAACGATTTGGAATAGCAAGTTTAAAAGACAATGCATTGTCATTATGGTATGGCAAGTTTATTAAGAAGGCCGATTTAACTCCACAAAATCAAAAAAATTTACCCGACGATTTTGCAACAAAGCTAAGAATAGGTCCAGATGGAGATATTTGTAAAAAGAGCCTTAACTTTGGAGATTCAGAACATCAATTTTGTGTTCAAGATTTGTTTGATCCAAGTTTAAACCTTTCCCTTAATATTGACAATGATGGAATGAAGAAATTTCAAATAACAGCGTGGAAAACCGGTGAAAAACTTGAACGTGTATTGAACTCTAGCAAACCATCTTTGATGAACATGTTCCTTACAACTGCTGAAGATGAAAGAATTGAGCAAGAAAGGGAAGCCGAAAAGCAGAGACAATTTCAGGAAATGCACAAATTAGTTCAGCAAGAGCAGCAACGTTTACTTCAGATAAAAAATGCAAAAGAGTTGGAAGAAAAGCAGCGTAAAGATCGTCAACAAGAAGAGGAAAGGATTCAACGTCAGCGTGAAAGAGAACACGTGGAGCTGCTGCAGCAACGCCGTAAAATTCGTGAAGAGGAAGAGCGAACGCAAAGGCTTCAAAAAGAGGACGATGACCGGAGGCGTCGCCTTCAACGGGAAAGGGAGGAAGAGAGACAACGGTTTATCAAAAATGAGGAGATGGAACAACGGCTTTTCATTCAAAAACAACAAGAAGAACAGAAATTCCAAAGACAACGAGAGCTGGAAAAACAGCAACAACAACCAATTCAAAACCAGAGATTGAAAGGAGAACATGATCGAACAGAAAGATTGCGACACAAACCGTTTCAAAAAGATCAATGGAATGCACCTCAAGTAGCGCCCCAGAATAATTCAGGTCCAACTTTCAGCAAAGCAAACACTCGTACGGCGTTTGGGGACAGTAGCACGAATCCAAATCTTTTTCCACTTGGACCACGACGTAATCTTTCAACAAACACCGCCAGTTTAATTAGGCAGGAGATTAATGGATATAATACAAATCAGAATAACGCTAATAATGATGATCGTTACGATGATCGTTACAAGACACTTCCATCAAACCAAGTTACTAGAAGAGACCCGATTCGTGAACCTGGGGGGATTATTAGTAATAACACAAGTAATGCAATTATTACTACACCAAAGGATGCGAAAAAGATGGACCAAGATGTAAGTTATTACTTTATCCACAGTGATACTGAAAGAGTAAATATTCTCACACACTATTTTTGAAACCTTTAGGATTGGCTTAACACAGAGTGGGAAGAATTTAGCAAAAGTTAAGTAACATAACAAATTATCATTAAATAAAATAAGGTCAAATAAAATAATAAATTATTATTATTGTAATTATAGTCTGGAGCAACCGACATTGCAGCCCCCTTCTTCATTTCTCAACTATGCTCAAAAGAAACCCATTGCACCTGTAGCCCCGTCACAGAAAATGCCAATTCTTCGAAACCCAAATCTGTCAATATATTCTGAAGAACCACCACCTCCTCCTCCTCCAAAGTATCCACGCATGCAGCATTATGTAAGATTAAGAAAAATGTGATGCTGATGAACACGAGGGTCGGCGGAAAGTACAAACCGCTTGTTACAAACCCCTCGTTTCAAACCGCTCATTACAAACCCGGCTCCTTACAAACCGCTTATTACAAACCCGCTCAATACAAACCCGGATCATTACAAACCCTGCTAATTATAAACCCAGGGCACATAATCCCAAAAATTAAGTTAGTAAAATGTCTAAATATTCAAACAAGTGTTCCCAATGTTTTTTTAAAATAGGATTTCATTTCATTTTAAAAATTAGATTTTAGACTTCTCAAAGGAGCGTACTCCTAAATGAAATGAAGTGTTACGGACATAGAGCTAAATAGATTACGGAATAACAATAAATATACCTCACACTGTGCACTCTTCATATTTTCATACTGTGATTTCAAGTACAAATTAACCTTTTAAAACGTACGGAGGCTTATTGGCCTCCTTGGAAACTTTGCATTGCTGTGCGAGGAGGCCTCTTAGCCTCGTAAAATTTTTTGGGTTTCTGCGGAACCAGGTCAAAAGACCTCTGAAAAATTTGTAGTAATAATAATTATTTTTATTAGTAATAATTATTTTTAAAAAACATATATGTAGGTACTGTAAAAAATCCGGGATATTCACATATGTACGCTCTTAGGCTCATCACTGGCCGGAGTACGTATATGACGCTACCATATGTTTTACCGTCTATGTACGTTTATCCTCCATACTGGATTGGTAATTTCCTATCGAGTTGGTGGTAGTCTGTTTCTGAATGGTAAAATTTTCAAACGGTAACGCTCGTTATTACCATACCATACCGGTCTATGTATGTATGTACATATACTTCGGCCAGTAATAATTTAATCTCAGTTTCCTACGAGTGTACTTCCATTGATTTATATTTTTGGGACATACTAGTTTATAAAAAGTTTGCGCAAAATTTCATGTTTTATATAAAAATTAATTCATGCAATCAGATTTGTAAAAACATATCTTGAATATTTGATTATTTTACAACTCACCAATCACCTTTTCGGGTTTATAGTGTCCAGGGTTTGTAATGAGCAGGGTTTGTAGTAAGCAGGTTTGTAATAAGCGGTTTGTAAGGAGCCGGGTTTTAAAGGAGCGGTTTGTAATGCGGGGTTTGTAATGAGCGGTTTGTACTTTCCTACAATCAACACGAGAGTCATAAATCATTACCAATTTATCTAGTAATTTCATAGCTGTGAGCCAATTGATATTTTTTATTTCTTTATTTATTTACTCAGGGAGGAGGAGTATCGGATTATGTTGTTGATCATTTATCATTGGGCGTGACTGCTACGAAAGGCCCATTACGTTATGAGGATGGTACTGCCTTTAGCCAAGAGGACGCAAGCCATGGTAAATCTACAAGACGACAAAGTACAGAGTTTCTGGACTCAGAAACTTCCGACGATAGCTCATCCTCAGAAGACGAGCAAGAAGAGGATGGTTATGAAATGGTACATTGTACCATTAAAATGTTTTTATTTTTATATTCAAACATTAAACATACTTGTAAAGTTTCAACTTGTATATTGATTATTTTCTTTTGTAGCCTATTGAAAATAGCAGACTTCTCAATCCATATCCAGTTCCAAAAATGACGTTGTGCCCTTTCATAAAAAACTTGTTTTGTGAAGCTATTGAATCGAATGACTTTGCTTATGGAATTCGAGGAAAATTACAAACATTATTCCTTCAATTTATGAAGGAATTTAACAACAGGTAAGAAACCATATATTGCGAAAGGGTAAAAAGGTAAAATTTGTTTTCGAACTTGGTGAAATAATCTATCTTTTGCATATACGCAGATTTTGGAAAAAATGTTTTGGGTTTGAAATTGAATTGGATCCAACCTATCAAGATACTAGCCCCGCAGATTATGCAAAGTTTGGGGATAAGAAATCTGCAAAAATGACCGATTTACTTAATTCTGTTCCATGCTTTGAAGAGAACTTCACTACAACCTTTTTCTGTCAAAGTACTGGGAAACTATCTACTCTATTAACCCATGCGCAGCCAAGTGATCTCAGGAATACGAAATTTATTCGAAAACAATCCACTCCGATGCTTAAAGTATTGATGGATGAAGTGCCTGCACATTTGGTTTGTTCAAGTCAAAACTTACGATTCAAAGTGGAAGTTTCTATTGTTCTTGACTACACCAATTTGAACAAACAATGTCGTCCTTATGTAAAAATGTCGTTCGACAAGGGATTATCAACTCAAAATGAAACGCTTGTATTATTCCAATTTTTTGGGTAGGCAAAAACTCCGTTATATAATTGATGTATGCTGTGCATACCTCCAGACAATAATACATAAATGACATTTTTAATACGTATGAATTTGGTTGTTTTCTAGAAAACTCTACAATAAAATGGGCACCCAATTTTTAACATACTGCTTCAAACGGTGGCTTGGTAAGTTATTGATTTGAGTGTTTATACAATAATTATTTACAAATTAATATCTCCCATATTCCCATGTATCTACATCGGGGCAAATCAATAATTTATTTTTACTTTGTTCTCTAGCTTCCTGTATTGATTTTGATATGAAAACTGCGGAACAGAAATGTATGCTCCTCAAACATCAGAATATTGAAAGTGGGAAGACTCTGTCAAAAAAGCAAAGACGAGGACTTCGTCGTCTGAAACGAGCTGAAAAGAAAAAACAAAAAAAGATGACAGAGTTTCAAGCTACCAGTTGGGCTGCTTCCACTGTTCCTCCGCCGCCACCACCACTTAACCGACCTAGCGTTGGGAGTGGTGATTATGAAATTGGTAGTCGATACCAGCAACCCTCAGGGAATAGCAGCATGTACTCAGCTATGGGTGGTGGACAACGTAGTGGCTCAAATTTGTTCAACACCCCTCAACCTCAGCAGCAACCCCCCCTGACTCAATATCAAAAGGAATTTCAACAACAGCAACCACCTGCACAACAACAACTTCCGCTAGCTCAACAAGGAGGACGAGGAGGACGATTTGTTCCTGGACGTGGAAAAACGTTTCAAATTCCTCCAAATTGGGATAGAACTATGAACATTACCAATCCCAAACCATCCCCAAATCCTCCAAACATGTATCGACGCCAGTTTTAACCTATAATTTCTACCTGCTTGTAGATACGAACCCAATTATATAGTTTGTTGAATTTTTGTTTTTGTTGCTATTTCAGCAAAATATTTGGAATGTTATACATTTGGATGAAATGCATAATTATTGGGGATGCAATCATTATCATGATGCTACAACTACTTATTGGAGAGCGATTATCAAATCAATCAATCGTATTTCGTACTTATAGATAGACTGTTATTACTTTTATACAGCAAGGTTAAAACAGCTTGCTAAAAAATTGTTCCTTCTAACTTTCATGCTAGTACTATACATATATTAGTAAATACTACTCTCTACCATCATTTCATAATTTGTATACTATTTATGTATGCATTATTTAGTAATTTGTCATAATATTATTGTTGTGCTTGCTTATTGTATATTTGCATAGTATGCAAATTATAATGGCAGAGGATAATGAATCTTAATTCCTAATTTATACAATATTTTATAGGGTGCCAATTTAACCGTCCAACGAAAATATAGCTTTATCCAACCAAAATTAATAATTTCGCCAATTATGAAATGGGCAACGAATTGATTTATTTTGCAACAACTTTCATTAAAATGCACAACAAAATAATTAAATTTCCAAATAAGAAATAAACGAATTCCTTGTCCTTAAGTACTTCAAATTTTACGATAAATAAGAAGGTATAAATATTTAGTCAACAATCAAGGCATTTCCACCAATTTCCAGCAATTTTGGTTGGAATAAACTAAATTTTCGTTGGATGGTATAAAATTGACCCTATTTTATATACCGAAATTTATAAAATGTTACTTAAAAACCACGTCAAAGACTGATAATAAAAAAAAATTGAATAAAACTTGTAGTTTTTGAATATCCCAGCCGTCCTCATTTTAATAAGGAGTCAAAGAAGTAGAAATGTACGATTCAATAATATTGTATAGTATTTCTTGTTTCAAGCGTTAGCAGGTGTAATTTATTGCATTAAAATTAAGTTTTGGTTATAAATATGCGGTTGGCACCCCATTTAAAAAATATGCAAAGACTGGACACTTAGTTTATAGTTTAGATTATCCAACAGCCCCCCAAAATCTATAATCTTATCCATATTGGCGATATCTGCGTGGAATCGTTGTCGGACGGGGAACAAATGTCCTTTGCGAAGTTGTTGGTGATTCTGCCCACTCCCAACATTGGGTTGGTGGTTGACGAGTTAGACCTGAAAATAATATGCTGTGATTTATTAACTTAGAATTTCGTTGACGGGTCTATGTAATTACCTGGATAACAATTTTTTGCACATCTGAATTGACACTCGTTGCCATAAATTACGCCATCACTAGCACAAATGGGGGTGTAGTCATAAGTACAAGCACAACCAATACATCGGTCATTACCCAAATTTCTGCTCGAATGTAAAAATTTAATTATTTTTTTATAAATCAGGAATAATCTTTTTGCTATGTCCATGTTGATATTTAAATTCATGAAACCTTACGGGTTAACGGTTGGTTTGAATGTTGGCGATCGCAGGGTAGTCCTACGAGTAGGAGGAGGAGCAGGGGCGGGCGTGCTTGGGGGAAAAAAGGGTCGTCTTGTCGTGGGGAAGTTATTTTCATAAAAAGCTGGTGATTTTACTGGACGACGCTCTCCCTTTTGGTGGTGATGGACTTTCTCCTCTCTCCAGTTGTACGGAACCGGACAGACTCCTTCGAATTTAATCCGGAGCCCTACAATATTGACATGTGTAGATGCGACAGCACTTTTCAAAACCTTATAAAATTATGCACATGTATACATGTCGGAGAGGTGAAGACTATGCTAAGTTACCTGGATTGCAATTCTCTGCGCATTCGAGGCTGCAAAGATTTGAGTACGTTACTCCATTGGACCCACAAAAAGGTTGGTAATTGGCCCCACAATTGCACTCGTTGCAACTTTTGGGACGTTGATTACGGTCAAAATAACCATTTTCGCCGTCAGAATTTGCATAACGAGCTTCAGTTTGACCAATAATGGTCCCTGTAACAAGACACAACAAAGAGGATGTAATTAGAACCGACATATTTGCTGACCCTGGTATGCAGAATAAGATAATGTTGATGAAATACTGTTGGAGTTAGAAATTTAAACTAAGTTGCTGAAAAACAGTATGTACATTCATGAAATATCCAAATACGTACATGGGCTTTCCACTGGATATGAAATACGAGGAAAAGGATTCATTCTTTTAAGTTACATTTCCAGAATGCAATGGTCATAAATAGATGTGGCATTCTTATTATGCCGTTTTCATTTCAATTGCGGTTTGTATAAGGAAAGAGAGATTAAATCAACGGAGGAAGTTTCCGTATTTTTACATATTGAGTTCGGTTTATTGAAATTGCAGTTGTGGTTTTTGGGCTTTACTCCATGAATTTAAAGTGTTTGTCGTTCCCAAAAAAGTATGTAATTATGTTTCAATGGAATCGTCAATGACATTAAAATACAAGGATTTGTTCATGATGACCGTGTATTTGGTGATTTCAATCAATCATATTCTGTCAAAATGGCGTTACCTGCGTATGTAATGCTGCATTTTATCTTGATTTACAACATATAAGTACTTATTCAATGTATGAGGAGGTGATAACTTATATTGCAACTTGATCCAGTTCGATCGATGTAAACTGCCAAATACCTCCATATGTAATTCATGCTGGAATTTTGAATCTCTTGCTATATTTGTCGAAGTGTCAGAAGTATCACCCGATCGATCAACAATGCTTAAAATAGTATATAGAAACTACATACTCATATTCATATTACATATGTTTGTATGTACGTAATGTACTTCACACGACAGGTGACAGGGGATTTACCAGCCGCCATCCTGATAATGATAATGGTACAATAACGTACAGATTAAATAAATTCTGATTAAAATTCTCAAATTAGGATATAAATCGAGAGTGCAATGGGTCATAACTAATTGTTCCCTTTCTCTGTCTCTCTTTTTCTCTCAGCACTTGTGATACATAATTTCAACAAAATGAAATCTTTTGCCGTCCTCGCCTTCGCCGTCCTTGTGGCAGCTATTTACGCCCAAGAGCCCACGACTCAGCCTCCAAGTGGTGTTGACTACGGTGGCCTTTGCAACGGTTTGCTCCTCCAATGCGACCGTAAATCGAACACTGTCGCCTGCATGCGTCGTACCCCTTCCAACGAAACAGGGGCCCCAGACAATTGTGAAACTGGAGCTGGAGTATGTTATACATCACACATGCCTGTTTTCCAGCCAGTCATATACCCCACTCAATAATCTCTCTCACAGGTAGACCTTGGAAGATGCCAGTGCACAAGAAACTGTGGCGATGGGGTTTATCAGGAAAATGGGGATTATGTCCCTTCGAAAGGAGTATGTGGAGGATTCGTAGGACAGCTATGCACAGGTCTGACAGAAAAAAAATCACCATCTGAAATAAATTTGTGGGAAACGTTAAGTTTCTTTGATTTTTTTACAGGACTTGTACCTCACTGCACTGAGCATGCAACATGTAATTTGCTGACCAGGTAATTAACATTTACTTTTACAGTGTGCAGTAAATTACTCGTCCCCATTAAACAATGCATTAAATTAACCAACAGCAAATGCGTGTGTGAAGCTGGATATGTCGTTACTCCGGATGGCAAGCACTGTCAACAATAAGTTGGAATTTTTCTTCTTTGTTCAAGATTGGCCAATTGTATAATAATTCGAAAATAAACTCGCATCGTGATTACGAAGTATTACATAAGAATGCTTGTGCATTAATTTATGGATAATAATTTCATGTTCACTAAAGAAATCGCCAATTTTTGAAGCGAAAAGGTGGCGAAATGAGTTTAAATTAATCCCCAAATGCAAAAACCTTTATAACCTTACGAAGGTAGACATGCACATTGCAATCATTCGTTCCTATTGTAGTAGTTGTTACAAATGGGATTTTTAAAATATTCATGAACTACATACTCAATTTAATTTGTATTGTTATTAAGTTAGATGTGCATCAGAGGCGAGAGCAAATGTATTCAAGTATTATCAGTAATGTCCAGAACAATAAGTTGTGAGAGGGGAGAGTTGTTGCAGTTGGCGTAGAATCAGAAACCCTTTACAGAAACGGAGGGCATGAAGGAGGAAGATGCAAAATCACCCACACGTGTGGCATTTTTGATTGACCAGAAGGAGGGGGACAACCTTAAAAGGATGTTCTGGAAGCTAAAGTGTTGGACGATGCCAATGTACCCTCATTTCCTATAAATTAGTCACGATTTTAGCTTTCACTGCATAAATAAGATTTCCTGCATAAATAAGAGTTAAAACTTTCACATTCACTTTGCACATAAATTTATACATTATAGCGATGACGTTTTTGTGAATATTGAATATAACGTGTTTTAGTTTGTTATATAATTTTGCTTATATAACCAGACTATATGTATGTACATATTTGCATATAAGTACTTCAACAGATAAGCTAGTCTTCATCATGCATATTGGTTATCAGGATTGCACTTATCATGGATTCATTATTGTGAAGGAACATCAGAATGCAGGTCCACTTCCACGGAATGAATGGACAGAATGTGCACAAGATTTCACAAAGTGAAGGATAGAATAAGCAAGAGCTGTCAAACGGAAGCGGATTAATTGAGGAATTATGGGTGACTGTCGGAGAAGATGTAATTAGTGTGCTACCATGATTTATTGCTTCTTCTCCGCACTGCAGCAAGGGTCGACTACGTCTCAGTCTAATCTCATCTAATCACTGATCGGTACAAATTACACCACTCCTGCCCAATTATTATATTTCATAACTATGCACACTCATATACCATCATCGTCTCAGTTTACGCTCCGTGTCACAAGAAAGATGAATGGATTAATGTACGCGTTTTGTGGTCGAAACTAACGGTCTGTAGATATTGATGAGGTATTGCTATATACAATTGCTCCCAAGAAATTGACATAAATTTTACTTGCTTCCTCCATTCTACATTTGTTCCAGGATTCAATTTTGGGTAACCAATCTATTAATTATTATTCCTATTATTATTGCATGTAATAGTGGTGAAATTAAATAAATGTGAGGAATTTGCGATGGAGAAAGTGTATCTGGAGGAAATACATAGCGGCAGAAGTAGGAGACCAGAGGTAAAGATGAATTGAGATTTGCTGTCAGTGCGGATAAATCATTTGGCAATCCGTACACGTCTTGCAGGGAGTCAACTCGGTGTGTAAATAGCAAATTGAGAAGATGATGGAGCGAGGACGGGCTGCTAAACCAGGAGGAAATAACATTTGTGGTGACTTCTCTCCTGACTGATTTATTAAGGAATTCAGCTTAGCCATAAGCAAGCAGAACGACTTGGTTGGCTGGAGACTGGAGAAGATCTATTCAATAAATCAACCCACGACTTTGTCCAATCTATCCATCTATTCAACTTGCATTACCTCCTCTACTGCTCTACGGGAGTCAATCAGACATTTCATGATGGCAAAAGTTGCTAATAGGAGAATATGATTAGCACAATTGCAGGAATTAAAAGAATAATCTTCTTAAGAGCAGCAAGTACTTATTTGGGTTAAGACTATATTATTCTGAAATTGTCATATTAAAGGTGGGAAGGACTATTTAGTCATTGATGAATGTTCGGAACAACCCGCATCACATTGTGTGATTTGCTACAACACCTTTCTCTTATTTTCTATCTTTTAGTTTGACAAAGTGACTCTTGGCTCATTTGTGGAAAGCTTATTCTGCCCGAGCGTTCTCAAGTACCCAACCAACGCGACTAAACCAGATTCATGCTGAGCCTGCTTGGCACACGCCGAAGAGTGAGAAATGTCTGAGAACTTGTGGAAAGCCTTAAACTCAGATTTGGATTTGAATCAGTTTATCCTCTCAAGGTTTGTCTCTGGGTGGATTTATCTTTCTGCAGCATCGGTCAATGCAGCGCTTGGTTAATTTCGATTGAAGGAGTATTTAGTGAGTTTCGAGAGAATTATGGGGGACAGATTGCCTGTTTTGGTTACGATGGTATAACGAAATGAAATGCAAAATAAGGTGGATGAATCTGCCAACCAAGTCCATAAATCTGCTGCTTGGAATGAGATCCTAAATGATCTGGAGAAAGCTGGAGGAGAATTAACCCGGAACTTAGAAATCCGGAGATCCTGGAACACCAAAATCCTTGGGTTTAATACGAATTTTGGTAATGCGGTGGTTGAAATGTTTTGGTTTATCCGTGGAAAACCGCAGTGCGTTTCTGAGCATGGTTTCCCTTTCCTATAAATAAGGCTGCCGTATCTTTCACCAAACAGCTTTGTCCATTATTGTAAATACTCTCTTAAGTATTTGTCAAAGACGAAAATAATTATTCGCCAAGGCCATCCTTCACGTAAAAAATGTTGTAGAAATTTTATTGATACTTCACAATCTTGTATTATTTGCATATGTGCATATTTATATTTCATTGCGTATATACATACATATATATAGCTGAAGAGCGATCAATGAAAAAAAATCACCCTATTAGTGTTACTGAGAGAGAAATAACTTAAATAAGCATCACCTCAAGTTCCATCACTTAGAATGAGTATTTTAATCACACCTTATTCCTCCTATTTAGTATTCCTTTACTCGATACCTTGTATATCTCGTATATGGATCGAAAATACAACACCATCTTTCATCTCACCCTTTTAATAATCTTGCTCCATTCGATTCCATTTGATTGCATGTATGCCTGTTTCTCCTCGTTATTAGACGACAGCACACGTGGACTGGAAACTTTAGTTCGCTTCACTCCCCTCTGTCTTCATTCCTTCGGGAGAAATTCACCACTCAACTCAAGTAACTCGTCTCTTACACAAAGAGAAAGTCTCCTCTTGTCAACGCAATCTCAATAATCTTCTCCTCATCATGAGCAGCCCTCCTCAGATGACGAGAAGGATGAGGAGACGACGGCGGTGTGCCCCGTTCTTGCATTCAAAGTTAAGTAAAACAAAGTGCATGCAATAAGTGGTATGTTGTGCTGATGACGATTTGCATTTACTCGCCTCTTCCTCCCCCAAGTGGGTAGTATCCGAGTAAATAATAAGGCACAAGTATGCATATGTACGAAGCAGAATTGCTTCTCACATATCATGTGCTATCACTCAAAATAATCACCTACGACACGATCACAGCCAAAGTAATCAAATTTCTACACGGTTAAAAGATCTCTCTCCTTCTTCAGCAGCAACCAAGTTAATCTAGGCAACGAGGAGCAGAACGACCAATTCAATTTAAATGCATTGCATTAAGTCGTGTGCCATTACCCACCAACACTCAGATCCGATATAGTTTATATTTATATGCACCTCACATGTGAAGACATTAAAGCAATCGTAATCATAAAGAAGGGGAAATTAAACATGCTCTCAGTTATGTGTGCATGTAGTACAAATAGTGCATCCATACATGTTTAAGTATGAGAAGAGTGGGTATGGATTCGTTCAACTTAAGTATGTAAGAAGATGTTTTATTCTCTGTTATCGTCGTCGCGACTCATAAACGTATTAGTTACATTTATGATCTCTGCTGCTATTATGTTGCCACATCTGAATGGGATATTTAATAGTTTAAATAAATATGGCCATGATGTCTGACGTTACTTGGATGCATAAATTTTTGGAATGAGGCACAAAAGGGAAGACAAATCCATGTAAGTAGAATGCACGATACTGCATGTAGACATGTGAAAAGGAATGATTGGATGCTTTCTCCAGAAATCTCAGTAATAATACTCTCTTATTGTCTCGAGCTCTCAGGTTATAATATGCGAATGAGAGTGTGAGTGAAGTGTGGAATGAAATCTTTTATGAATTGTTGATTTGCAGGACGGATGTGAATATGGTGATGGCAGTGGAAATGAAACATATTGAAATGTCGAATTGCAACATTTCAAGAGATCTGGCCAAACAAAAGGAACAGATTTGTAAAGGAAATTCTATCTCAAATCTAAAGTTGCATACCTTCCATCCCAGTGCCAGTGTACCAGAACAATAATCATAATCACACTTTCTGATCATGCAAGAAGTAATAACGTTCTCTGTGAAAGGCGTATTGCATGCATCTCTTGATTCTCTATACTTTGGTTAATGTATGAATACTCCGAAGGTTGTGTTTCCTTAAAGATTATATCGTTCTGAATGTCGTATATGTATGTTATATAAGTATACGTACTTGTTCGAGTTTGATGAGCAAAACGAGACCTGTGCAAGTATACAAGTTTATAAGTTAACTTGGACCATGTATAGGACGCATCATCGGGAGCCCATGGGATTGCAATTATACCACAAGACCGATGCTGAGAATTAGAAATTGTGTCTGTTTTACGTTTCAGATGAATAGGGCAAATATCAAAGGAAAGGTTTACATATGCACACGAGGAGGAAGGAGGAACTCATTCCTAAATATAATATTAGTGTTGTTGGACTCGCAGTGTCCATCCACCCACCCACCACCCTACTCCTTTAATAATGGATAATGGAGTGCAATTTAGATTTGAGATCCGCACAAGTCCACATTAGACGAGAGAATAGCAGAGTAATTGTGTTGCGGTTTGTTTGTTTATTGTAGATTGCTTGCAGAAGTAAGTGTGCGTGGAACGGGGAGAAAGTAGATAGCAGAGGAGAGAACTTTGGGTTTTGAGTGAATCAGAAATTTGAATATGGATTTTCTCAGATAAGAAAGAGAATAATGGATCCCTCGAGCGATGTTGGGCAGTGCAGGGAGTTGATATGCGATTTTAGTAGTGTGAGAATACAAAGACGGTGCAGGGAAAGCCAGACTCGTGCATGCATACATTCATCAGCTTGCGATTAGTCAGTGGTAAGACAAATCCTGAAAAAAATAGGTCTTCATGAAAGTATATACGTGGTCAACACGCAAATATTATTTAACGTACACATGTAAGTACGTACATGCATATGTATCATGCGTAGGTATATAAATAGATTATAATATTGTTCAATGAATATGATGAGTTAAATGATGGCCACATATCTCGTTAGTTTGTCAATTTTTCCACACCAATGTCTCTTAATCACTTAGACAAAATTTAGAATCGAATTCAAAATGGAAGTGATTTTCCTCCTCCGAGATTACGTTGGGAATAAATCGAGTTTAAAGACAACCGAATCACATGGATCGATGAGGTTGGTCTTCTTCCAATAAGTTCAGGATTGTTCTTTGCCCAAACTCCCCACGGAATGGTCAACGCACATGTAAATTTAAGCTTAACTTAGAGCGTATGGGAGAAAGGGGAGGAATCCTGCCTGCTCATGACGATGATGGAGGTGAAGATTCGATCCAAATTCTAAATTCAAAATCTAAGCAAGAGTGGCTATCGAGTACGTATGTGGTCCACTACCCAACAGCAGCAACCACTCAACTTTATAATTTAAATTCGTAGGAATGAGGGGTGAAAACTGGTCGGAGCATGGACATGCATATGTATGTATGCATATACACAGTTCAGGCGGATGGTCCCATCCAAAATTAAAGCCGTTTTCCTCCATGCCTTTCATTTCTTTATGTTACAGCTAAGCTCGTCCACTTACTTACCCCCTTGCAAGCAGGGTGGGTGGGAGGCTGGGGATCAATTAAAATGAGAAAGTTTCTCGTTTCTCGGGTGAATATGCATGAGCAGAACAGAGGAGATTGCTGGTGTGGAGGAAGAGATGGACGCGAATCCAAGATGTCCATTAGGATGTAGGGAGCAGCATGCATGGTCCAGCCAGACCCGGAGACAGGAGATCGGTATATATGAACAAACTAATTCTCCGCTGTCTGCTGGACATGACACGAGTTGGTAATAGTGGAGGTGGTGGTGGTGGTGGTAATTCACATGTGCTTCATTTGATTGCATATGCGTCACCCGAGTAAAGTCCGAAATTAACGAAAACACTCACTTCCATGCAGCACCTTGGTAGAAGAAGAAGAGATCCTCTCGGACTGGATGGAGGAGGATGCTGACCAGCAAAGCCCAACCCAAAATTCGCTCGACCAAGTTGGCGGCTGACCAACACCAACTGGCCAAAACTGAAGGAGGCGGATGAACGTGTAGAATGCACTCACTTTCACTTTCACGAGATCAGAGCAGAACACGAGAGATTTTTTGGATGGGAAAAAAGTGAAAAGAGAGAAAAATCCGGTTGAACCGAGTGCGGAGAGAGTCAGATAAAAACTGAAAGAATGGTACAACTGCTGAACAAAATTCATCCATTCACTTTTCCATCCATTGCATGCAGGGCTGCTGCTGGGAAGCGGTGTGATGATTGGAATAGCAGCGAACCAAAAGTATGGTACGTATTATACATAAGTACTGCGGATGGAAAGAAGGGTGGCTGTTGGGGTGAAAGTGAAAAAGGAAAAACTCTGCCATGCGTCGAATTTTACTCCTTTTCCCCTCATCGCCCGAATAACAGTCGCCCCAGTAGTCGTCCCAGCCATCCACGGACTCTTGTGTCTCTTAGAGATGAGCAACTCAATAATGCGATGAGGTTGACAAGCATAATTCGTAGTTGGAATTTGGATGCGACAACTACTTGTACCTTAAGTACTACAATTAAGATATTTAATATTTGCTACATAACCAATTAATCGAGCCAGCCTAATATTTAATATGTAATATGTAGGTAATATGGTAAATCATTCTATGCTATTTTTGGTAAGGTGAAGTGCTTTCTTTTCCATAAAATTAGACCCAAACAGGTTGGGACTGAAAAAGTGGGAAGGCCAAGGTTGGTATACGCAGGAGGGGAAAGTTTTATAATAAATCTTTCCAGCTTTCAAGATTAGGTACATGATGATGGGGTGAGTTTTTGGCTCTGGGGAAAATCCTCCCTTCTTTATTCCTGTACTCGGTCGGTGCATTCATTCAGAAAAAAGAACTTTTACTACCCCTTTTACTCCCATTCAACTTATTTCCTTGTCAGATGGGGAAAAAGTGTGTCACCAACATATTTACTTATCCTCACTCATTCTGTTTGGAGGAATAGCTTAATGAAATCATAATGATGGCCTGAAATCAACTCAAGTCTGCAACTTTATAGCTCACGAAGGAATCCTGTTTTATGTTTGGAATTTAAAACAAAGATACATACAGTTTCGTTCAGCTAGATAGGCTAGAAAGTAATGGCACGCAATCTGTTATTGTCTTAGGAGTTGTGAGTTATATGAGAATCTGGGACTTGATTAAGGTTGCTAATTGAAAACTATTTTGGAATTTGTTTGATTCCTTCCCTCGTGTGGAGGCACAAAACAAAGCACAAGCATTCAAGGCAAATTCAACTTGACGAGAATAGGAAATTTGCAGGGCACATGTATGAAAACAACTTTCACTATTCTCCATAGCATTCACGGATAGCAGGACGACTGGGAGGATAAAACAATACTTCATCACTTGATATCTAAGTATGTGAGTGAAATCAAAAGGTTTCCATTCATATGAGGAGAATTTGTTTGCAATAAGCTCAGGAGATTCGGCTGGCTGGTTGATAAATGTCTCTTTTCTATTCTCTTGGAAGTTGGCACTTTCAGAAACTTTGGTGCAAGTACAAACTCGACGACGACGACGACGAAAGGAAAATGTCATCTCGTCGCCGTCGTTTCTCTCCCTCAATCCAAGCACACTCCGCACTCGCCGTCTTTGTTCAGGCCACATATGCTTATTCTCTATTTCATGATATCAACACAAGAAGAGAATCGATAAATCTTCAAGTCATCAGCAAACTAGCATGAACAGCTCTCCTTTCATTACTTGCTTCAGTCACATGAAGGCTGTTATTCTACGTGTGTGCTTGATTTAATATGTAAAGTAATCTAATGCGAACTCCTCTTGGAGTTGGAGACCTTTTCAAATTTTCAATTCTGTTTCACTTTTGCTCATTCATCTTCTGAGACTGTGAGAACTGTGAGCATGGGTGATGCGGATACCTCGTGGCGACCTGCGACACACCTTACATGCACATATACTTACTTGCGCGGGTTGCATTGATAAATGTTGGGCAAGTGTTGTAGCTTTAATCAATTTTAACGCAGAGAAATTGATTCTATTGTTGATGAGAAATTAATGCGTACACACTTTCTCCCATTCTATACTTGACTGCTTATATGTATACTTGCATAAGATGTCGACACATCCATGTACATATGTCTGCATGATATGAAACTCGTGTAGGTCCGTAAACTTGATTCAGAGATTAAGCACTTAGAGATGGAAGGATTGAGTGGAGATTTGAAATGAGACGTAGGCTCATTCATGTATGTATGACGAGAAGTTAGTATCACAGATATGTGGGACATGAAACCTTATAATAGTTACCATTAACAGTTAGTATTAGGAGGTTGAGGTTAGGGAATTGAGTAGTTACTTACAGTCAGCATTCTATAAATGAGCAGGACGAGGAGATGATGACAACCAAGCCATTTACTTTTAGAATTCGCTTTGATTATGTGCTCACACTTTCATTAAACCGCGTGCATCTAATCTAAATTTTATTATTACGGATTTCCTTTCATCCTCACAATGTTAAAAATAAGCTAAATACCTGCGAATTTACCTGTCTAGTCCTTTTGAGAAATGATATATTTAGGTAGGTATAAGTTTAAAGCAATCGAGCATATTCTGCCAAACTTTCGAAAAAAAATCTCAACAACCACTTCTTTAATTTAAAAAGACGAAATGGAGTAAATAAACATGAATATGCATTTCTTTTGACTTTGCACTTTGATAGTAGTCGAAATATCCTGCTCTTAGAAGAGGTATAAATAAGTGAAGAAGTTGATGTGAGCAGTGCCAGCCACATACGAACGCATGCTCTGTCTCAGTTTGCATTAGAAATCTCATGAATGTGTGCATGTAGCTGCTCGAGCGTTGTATATGCATACTGTACATATGTACATGAGAATATGTGAAGGGAATGAAAGTTGGACAGGCAGTAAACCAAGAACAATCCAATCGCAATTGCTCCCAGTCAAAGGGAATGACTAAGCTTGAAGCTTAATTAGACGCCATTTCATCTGCAGAGAAATCCAATATTGTCCCTTCTACTCCACGGAGAAGATTTGACGAGCTGAGAAACAATCTTTCGAATACATTCTCATGTGCACACACACATAGTTTATTTGCCTTGAAGAATTTAACCTCTAATACTTTTTATCCTGGCATTTTTTTGAAATTACATAGGTAACTTTCATGAGTGTTTTTTAATGTACATACCACAAAATCAACAACGAAATCTTTCAAGGTATTCATGATTTCACTATCGCCATGTGTAGCTCAGGTTAACGATAAAAAATTAGAACCGCTTGTACTCAATTTGGTCAATTTGGAATTACGCAATCTTCAACTTTATAACCGAAATTTCTATACGACAATGTCAAGCAATAAATGAAAATCGTTTGTTTGAATGACCATACACCGAGCAAAGTTCGTAATTCATTAGAAAGTACATAAATGAAATCAACTATTGCATCTTTCCCGTGGAGGCAGTGGATTTCTGGACTGGACATCGCACATCTCACCCAACAACAGGCATGGCATTCAAGTATTGTTTGGTGGCATAATAATATAATGTGGAGGAGAGAGTGGAAGTTTGTTCGAACGTGTGTGTCTTATCGATCGGGAGCCTGGAGAGATTTTGAGGTTTTAAAGTACAAAGAGAGAGAAAGTGCTTTGCACTACTAAATGTCCAGCCAAAGAGTTCACTAATGAAACTTAAGCTTCGCTTCACATCACATCACACACATATACGAACGTATATTCTCCAACCGACCAACAACCAACTGCCCACCACCAAACCACCATCGCTTCGTTGCTTCCAAAGTCTAAATTTCTAACGAATCAGCAGCCCACACAGAGCAGTGTGCTTGGTGGCAAACTGGACGCTGAGGCTGACAATGAGTAGAAAGTGACCACCAGGAGAGCCGAGGGGTGCTTCACACCATCCACATTAGTTATTTCAGCTAAAAATCCAATCTCGGCATTGCTCTTTTTCCATTTCGAGTGAAAGTCGTCTCAAAAAGCCGCCTTGCAATGTCATCATTTGCCATGACGCTGTAAGGTTTCATGCAAGTCCCCCCCATTCCTGAGAAGAAAGAGACTACAAACTTCTAAAGTATACACGTGCCTACATGAACATATGTATGCATGCACATATAGGCTTCATTATGTTAGACTGTGTAGTCTCCTCGACCACTCCTCATTTATTAGAGAGAGAGTTTAGCTGGACTCTTATCTATAATTTAGAAGGATGTTGGTTTGTGTTGGCTGGACAGTGAAAGTTGAAAGAGAAGCTGACCAAAATTCTAACGAAATTCTAACTCAAAGCTTTCTCTCTCTTGGCTTGGCGGTGGTATTGGTCATTACTCCTCTGTCCGTTACTTCATATGCACACACATACATGCTCGTGTTTCAAATTTAAATTCAAATCCGAACTTGCTCTATAGGTAGCCCATTATGCCTCCACGTATATACATACAAATGTACATGTAGATGTATATATGTGGGGCATACGGTTGCTACCCAAATCAGTTTCTCCTGTCAAGTATGTATGTATGTACACCACAACCAAACTAAAATCTCAACTACTTTCCTAAGCTTCCAGTCTGATGGACGGACACAATGCTGTTCAACTGGACGAGACAGTTGAAACTGAGTATTATATTAAATCAAACTCTCTTCCACGAACAGAATAAACCGCTTTCTCCACGTTCCTCATATGACTCTAATCAATTATCTTGGTTCAAATAAATCATGATATTCAGTCTCACAAATAAATCTGAGAAATGTTAAAAATCTTATCTAGAGATGAACAAAAGAAAAGAGAAAGTTAAGGAGAAAGCATTTCAGAAAAATTAGATTTTTTCGTTGCTCCTCCGCTCCCTAGATGGAGACGGATCACATATTTTCAATTCGTTACCATTTTACGTTATTAGTCTCCACACTTTCTTTCCCGAGTCTCATTTTCTCTTTCCCCTAATTCCAGGCTGCATCTTCTGTCTAAATCATCGTCATCGTGTTGAACGACCATCATCAGCAGCAATGTTTGAGAAGGAACTTGCTAGTGTCTGCATGTTCTCTGAAAATCTCAAATTATTCCTTCAATCCGGATGCTCTTCTCTGGAACAAGAGCATTCAAAATTCAAATAGGAGAGAGTGAGAGGGATGTAGTCGCACAAGTAGCGAGCTATGTGCATAGGGCTGAACAAAGCCATTT